AAAAAGGACATAATCATGTCCAAACAATGTGGAATCGCATATGCTGTTACAAATATTCTTGTTAGGGGCTCATATGGGTTTCCTTTCATTAAATCCACGCACAAAGGCGTGCTCACAACATTGACAACAAGAAAATAAATATCATAATAAATCTTGAATTTACTAAACGGGTGAATCATTAATTTATATTTAGAGTTTAAATGTCGTTGCCTTTCAGCTTCTATTTCCATTTTTGTTTGGAAAATCTCTGAAGTTCTTGGATGTACTTCGCTTATTAAAATTAAATTCCTCCAATTATTTTCATACCCGCTTTTTTCTTTTTTATCTTCTGGAAGAGTGCAGTTGTGAGACATCTTTTATAATACAAAGTTATGAACTTGTCAATAAGACGTTTAAGAAATATTTATTCATTTAATATTGTTATTATTGTGAGCATTATTAAAATTTATTGCCATGGAGTTTTAGTTACAGTAACTAGTTACTAAGCTATAAGTTATTGTTGTCTAGCAAAATTTTATAAAGAGCGTCTTTGGCAGAAACATCAAACAAATTTTCGAGATCACTTTTGAACATATTCTTCGAGCATTATTGGACTACAAGCTTTGTCAATAATACATTTAATAATAATAATATAATATAATACTTTATTGTCCAACAGTACAAATAACCAATTACAGGACAATTTATAACACATACAGTAATATTACATATTAAAAAAGTGCAACACATATAAAATATGTAATAAAATATAGTAAATATAATAATATATCCTATTTGACAAAATTAAAGATTGATTCTATTCTCAATATTATTTATTGAGGAATAATTAATATCAGGAGAACCATTTAACATGTTAAAATTTCTACACATAATATAAATAGGAGATTTTTTAATAATATTAGTACGATAGTTGAACAGGAATGGGTACCCTGTCTTGGGACAAAATTATAAAGAAAAGATAACGAAGTATTAACTCTTCTAGTTTCTAAAGATATATTTAAAATATCTGTGGTGTAAAAAGTAATCTTAAAATGGTGTCAAAATCCAACACCAAGTGGTGTTAATATAACAACATGAATTATTGTTGAAAATGTGTACCGATCGCGGCAAAGGCGGTGTGGATCACGTGATGATCTTAAATCTCGCCTCTGTTGAATTACATGAAGAATATATAAACTCAGGTGGTCCTTTGCTTTGGTGTGACACTACAAGTTGTTCGATACTAAAGAGACCTCAAATAGGTGGAAACAGCTGTCAATACTTGAAGTATTTTAAGTTAGTGGAACGCACTAAAAACATTATCACTAGCGAGTTGAAGGTTCCATTTTCTGGAATAATACCACTGGTAATATACTAGTAATGCGTCAAGGAATTTCCTGTATCCTTTTTTTTTTCCTTTTTTCTGTGTAGTATGATTTAATTTGACCACAAACACATAATATTTAACACTGAAAAGGAGTTCAATTTACACCAGGTAAAATTTATTTTAATACTGTGTGAAAGTTAAATTAACACCATTTTAATATTTGAATTTACACCGGCCAACGAACCATATTTAACACCATTTTGGTTTATATCGATATAGACCATGTATGGTGTTAATTTGGTGTTAAAATGGTCATGAAATTTTGAACAGTGTAAGAAATCATATCTTTCAAGCAGTGTTTCATGACTATAATCCTGAGGTGGGTAGATACCAGATATTTTATAATTAAGATATTTTAAAAAATTTATATTAATTGATTCCAATTGCTTGTTGTAGATATTGTATATAGGATACCAAATTATCAAGCAATATTCCAGCCTTGAACGAACAAATGAAAAATACAGCAATTTTTGTTATATATTTGGAGTTTCTCATTCTCTAATCATATTAAAAATATTTGTCTTTTGTCCACAAAAATGTTGGGTTTTATAATTATAATTATAATTATAAAACCCAACATTTTTGTGGAAGAAAGGCAAATATTTTTAATATGATTAGAGAATGAGAAACTTGTGTCAAATGTAACACCTAGATCTTTATTATTATCACAACGTTCCAGAACAGTACTGTCTATATTATAATTAAATTTTATATTATTCTTTGCATTTAGAAATGTTTAGATATAATCTGTTTTTATTACACCAATCATTGATTTTATTGATTTGATTTTGTAGAAAGAAACAATCATCAACATTTTTTATGTTGAAATAGATTTTTAAATCATCTGCGAATAATAGTTTATTCATTCAATAATATCTGGCAAATCATTAATAAAAATCAGAAATAGCAAGGGCCCTAGGTTGGAACCCTGAGGAACACCCGATACAATGTCGATACAATGGGATTAGAATAAAAACCATTATAAAATACTATTTGCTCCCTATTAAATAAATAAGATTTAAATAAACTAATAAGATTGTCATTGAAACCAAAAGAATTCAGTTTGCTAATTAAAACAAAATGATCAATTTGATCAAATGCCTTTTTAAAATCCGTGTAAATAACGTCTACTTGATGTTTATTATCAATAGCTTCAGAAACATACTGATTAAACACTGATAAATTTGTTGAAGTACTACGTTTTTCAAAAAAGCCGTGTTGATATGGAGATAGTTTACATTTAATGTTTGAAAAAATATGTTTATGTACTATGGATTCAAAGACCTTGGCAAAATTTTAAATAATACAAATGGGCCTATAGTTACTAATTTCTGATTTTAAACCACTTTTGTAAACTGGACTTACACGAGATGTTTTCCAAATTGTTGGGAATGTCAATGTTTTTATAATTAAATTAAAAAGTATTATTAAAGGGTATACCAGTGTCTATGTGCATTCCAGAACATTTTAAATGATATGTCACTATCTTCCTCAATTATATCTATAAATTCTATATCAATGCAAGATATATTATTAGCAGTAAATAAGTTAAAAAATTCATCAACAGCTGGTTTTGATAATGTCCCTGGGTTTATTCTAAAGGACTGTAAACATACTTTTACATATATGTAAAAGTATGTTTACAGTCCTTTAGAATAAACCCAGGGACATTATCAAAACCAGCTGTTGATGAATTTTTTAACTTATTTACTGCTAATAATATATCTTGCATTGATATAGACTTTATAGATATAATTGAGGAAGATAGTGACATATCATTTAAAATGTTGTGTCTGGAATGCACATAGACACTGGAAAAATATTCAGCAAATGCGTTAACTATGGGTTGTGGCTCAGAATATTCAACGTTTCTAAACTGCATTAAACCGGGAATTCTACTATCCGTTATTTTACCATTGATAAAGGACCAAAATGATTTTGGATCAGTTTTCACTTTATTTTGAATATCATTTAAATAATTTAGTAATGCAACTTTGTTTTAACTTTCGATTGTTTAAGTAAGGTGTCAAACAATTTGTAAGCGTCCATTGATTTACAGGTTTTGTAATCGTCACCAAGGTGTTTTATACTTCTATTGTTGCCAGTTTGACAAACGTCATTGTGAAATAATGAATCCACGCGCAAATTCACGATTTGGGTGCCATTCAGATGGACAAATAAAAAAATTGGTTTCAGAAAATATCCCACTCAGAGGTCCAGAAGCTCTATTTGGACCCAATTCTCAGAATTCCTATGGGTGAGAAATTTTACACTGGAAAAATGTACTACCGCGACGGAACTAGCAAAAATTCTGGAAGATTACGCCTTTAATATGAAAAAATGCAATGGCGAAGACTATAAAGAGTCGTCTGTAAAGTCTATGTGGAATTCAACTGCAAAAATGGTACAAGAAAAATATTTTACGGAATACGGCATAAAAATCAATCCTTTCACGAATATATCTTTTAAATGTTCAAGATTGGCCAGAGATACCAAGCGAAGGCAGCTTCAAAGTTGTCCAGAAAAAAGAAAACTTAGTTCAAAAGCATTATCCACCGAAGAACTTTTAAAAATGATCCAAAGCTACAACGAAGAAACCCCCGATGGAGCACAAAAAAAGTTTTTTCACCTCTGCTCATATGAACTTGCTTGGAGAGGCCGTAAACTGCAAGATTCGCTTTTTCCAGAAGGAATTTAATAATATGGGAGAATTTACGGGCCGAATTGAATACAACAGCATTTTTTCGAAAATAACTCAAGGCGGGTCGAAAAGTTTGGCAAGCAGCAAATGGTTGGTAAGAAATTTATCAAACGAAGATTTATGCCCAGTTAGATAATTCTTGAAATTAATGGAAAAAAGAGGACCAAATATTTTATCAGACAGACTTTTTCTTACCGTTCACCCCAACTGGAAGAATGGATCTTGGTGGACAAAGATGTCAGCTGAAAAAATTGGAATAGACACAAAAAAACATAAAATAACAAACCATTCGCATCGATCTTCAGCTGTGTCAGCCTTGTTTAAGCAAGGTGTTGCTGAACAGGAGTTAATTAAATTAACGGGTCACTCAAATGCAAGCTCCCTAAAACCATACCTGCAGCTGGATTCTAGTCACCACCAGAAGTTGATCGAAAATCTCAGAACAACAAATGAAGCTGGACCTTCGAGTTCCCATATGCTACAGGTCAATAAAACACAAAATCGTGCTTTGGTAGAAAAGAATGGGCAAACTACCATAACATATAATAATTGTACATTTAATATTAACAAATAAATTAAGATTACATGTTTCGTTAATATGGTGCATTAATTGTCTTGTTTTTTCTCGTGAAATGTCTTGTCGAATATCACTCGAGAGAAAATTTTTACCGGCAAAATTTTCTTCTGGTTTCATTCAAGTTTGTTGCTTTTTGGCAATTTTCGCTCATGAAAATTGCCAAGCAACAAACTTTCATACCAGTCGAAAAATTTGCCGACAAAATTTGTTCTCTTGTGATATTATATACGAATATTTTCAAGGTTTTTTTTAAATAATAAACAAAAAATTATTGCAAAAATATTTTTATCTGATAAACCCTATATAATGGCAGTATATTTATATTTATATTTAAATTTATATTGATATAAATTACACAGCAATCCTAATTTAATAATACATTAAAATAAATTATATTTTTACTACAAATTACAAAACTTAATCACTATTTACAAAAAGGTAAATTTTAAATAACGTTTTAATTACTAACTGTATACATACATATATGCTTATAATTATAAATAAATAAAATAAATATTGTTTTCGAAAAAATCAACGTGTTGTAGATAACTCAGGTTAGTAGAATACTATGGGTACTTTTTCTACTATTTTAAAATTGACATGAATATTAATAGAAATCAAGATCGATATTCGAGTTACATTCCAGCGTATAATTCTGGGGAACATGTTTTTCCGTGATCCTTATAAAATCTGTTAACGGGCACAAAGTCCCACAACCAGGTAAAGTTTGTTCTTCCAAACTATTATCAACATCTCTGGAATAAAATACTTTAACAGCATACTGCTGAGAGTCCTTCAAATAATGTAATTCTATCAAAACAGCGGCGCTAAACTTGGGTACATGGGCTTTGAAAACATCAAGAGCTGCCAATATGTTTATCACGTTGTTTTCATGCCCTGAGTACAGGAAAATTTTAGTTTGTTCAGGGTACAACTTGTTTTCGGTTTTTGCCAACATTTGCTTGATGACTTGTCCTAACATACGGCCTGAAAATACACAGATATTAATTATTAAAAGTAAAAAAAATATTTTTACAAGTATTATACTATACACGGTGGTCAAAACTTAAGTATAGGACGAACAAAAATGCCAACCAAAACTGATAGCATATTTTGATTATAGACCCTTTTGGTAACACTAACATGTATTTATCAAAATCCCAGCTGATCCTATTTTAAAGTGTTGCAAACTTTTTTGTTTTTCTATTTCTATATATTATTTTGCAATTATTGTACTAAAACTACCTGTACAATTTTAATAAAATTAAGAAAAATGATAAACTTTGTATCATTTAAATTACTTTACTCCCCAGTATTAATTTATTGAGTCACTTATTATTTTTTACCACTCAAAACAAAACATAACAATACTGGAAGTTTGTCTATGAAATAATTACAACTTGCAAATATTGTAAAACAATAATTAAGGTTGTTATAAAAAAAATTGCTATACTTTATAACGCAAGTGACATTTTGCTTTGGTTGTTTATTTAATGTATACTTTATAAAATTAAAAATAGTATTTTAAAATGAAAATTAAACCAAAATTCAAGTTAAGCCATGAAGAAAATCAAAAGAAGGTATGTGCTGGCTGTGGAGACAAAATTGTTTTTGGTAATCGAAAATTCAGAGTTTTTTTCTGTGAAAAAATAAAAATTACTGCAGACTTTTTCAAACGAACACTTTAACTTAAGTGATTCAAAATTACCTACTTCAATATGGTAAAAACGGTATTTTTGCATAGCCATAATTGCCAAATTTTCAAAATTTAGAAATTGCTAGAGAATTTCGCGGCAGCCAAGAATGTATGTGCTTTATCTGCAAAATGGCAAGATATAAAGGGCATAAAAAATTATTAAGGGAAGAGGACGGACGAACGAACTAAAGTTTTGATATGCTCTTCCTTTCTAGGGGATATCGCTAGATGTAAGAAGCATGTTTGTACAGAGACTGAAGAATTTAAAAATACTGTTTCCATGTTAAAAACAATTCCATGTAAAACCCAAGAAAAAGTTTTACTGAAAATTTAAGGCAAGCAGTAATCGATTTTGCTTCAAAGAATCTTTAGTTATTTATTAGTTTTGTATTAGGTACCTTAAAACAATAAATAAGATATTGCAAACTGTATTTTACATTATTTTGTATTTATAATGTAATTTATCCATATTTCAGTCAAGTATCTGCCAAATTTTTAAAAACATTTGATAATGGTACTAGAGTATTTTATCGAAATGGCATAAACAATTTTAAAATACTAAGAAATATGCAAAACTTTAATAAAGGATCAGCTAGGATTTTGATAAATACATTTTTGTGTTACCAAAAGAGTCTATAATCAGATTATGCTATCAGTTTTGGTTCGTATTTTTGTTCATCCTATACTTTAGTTTTGACCACCGTGTATAATTAACTATAATAGTTAAGTACATATATACAGGGTGAGTCATTTAACTTGAAACTTTGAAATATCTCAGTTAGTATGCATTTTACGAAACAATGTTTAAAATAAAAATTTTGTTCGATTTTTCTTGTGTACGATTCTGCAATAATTTTTCTTTAAAAATATCACTTTTTTTTGTAACAATTATCTTATTAAATTAAATCTGATTTTTTCACTAATATTTAAGTTTCCTTTGGTTTAAGTTTTATACATTATTTCATTCGGTGATAATTATCAATTGCGCACCATGGTCACTTTTTACCTGCCAGCATTAAATCCTTTAATTTAAAGTATTATTGTACTATTTTTAATAAAAATACCTCATTTAAGGTTAAAATAACATTATTTTGTCAATTAATTAATTTAATCCTAATGGAGGTATAAAAAATGGTATTTAGTTATAAATAATAATTATTATTGAGATATAAAGAAACTATTTATAGCATAGCATTATTTAATCAATTTAGTTCGAAGATTAATTTGCAAACAAAAAGACCTCCTTTCGTTAAGCAGTTATTCATAATGGATTTTTTAACAGTGGAAGAAAAAATATAAATGATTTTGATTTATAGAGAAACAGAATCTTGATGATGCTGTTAATATCTACGCTCAGCGTTTTCCGGATAAAATTCGATCACGTACTTCATTTCACCGTACAGTCAAGCAGTTTACTACAAACGGGAGTGTTCAACCGAAAAAAAGAGTTCGTCGAGCAACAGTCACAGGTGGAAATAATGAATTGCAATCGAATTACACCTACCTCCGTTAAGCTTCTTTAGAATATCGTTAGAATTCTCTATTTCACATTGTTTACCAGCCAATTCCTCTATATCATCATAAACAGTGTTGGCCCATTCTGGTAATGTTAAATTAAGACTTTTTTCTGAACAAAGAGTCTGATAAATATTGAAAACGTCCACAAGAGAGTTCATAGGTTTTCCGGAATTTTTTGCAATGTATTGCAGAAGTTTTTTGTGTTCCTTGAGCACAATCAAGTATTCTGGTGAGGAGTAAATAGATTCCAGTTCCTTGTAGTAGGTTGGGCAGTAAGCAAGAGGCCTTCTAAGACTCTAAAATAAAAATTTTGTAAAAAATATTAATCTGACGTTAGGTATAACTCACAAAATCATAAGACCCTTTGTCGTATTCGTATGGGATGGGCAACCAGGTTACTTCTTCGTTCCACAGTTGGGAAGGGGCTGGCTTGAATAAACCGGCTAGGGCTAGTAGGGCTGACATTTTCGTTCTGTCAAAGTCCGTACTTTTAGCCCTTACAATATCAGGGGTGTATATTTGCCCCAAAAAGTTGTCATACCTTTCTCTTAGGAGGTGTCCCAGCTTATATGCTCTCTGTTTGCCAATCTGAAATAAGAAAAAGAATTTGGTGGATTTATTTAAATAATATTACATATGTTTTTTAATTCACCCTTACATTTGTCAGCTGACCCCAACCCATTGGTTCAAAATCCTTAAGCCCATACGGGTCAGTCGGGTATTGGTGACTTTTTTCCGGCGTTCTGCTTCCATGTCTGAAAAACTATGATAACCTCAATTAATTTGAATGTCATTTGACCTGTTAATATAAAACATCATTAATATAATCATAATAATAATAATAATAATAATAATAATAATATTTATTTATTTCAAAATAATTTGTACATTTAAAGTAAATTACAAAAATATTGGAAATATTGTCACAGGAGAAAAGTATAGAGCTAATATGTTAAAAATTCATTAAGATCCATTTCAACTAAATAATTAAAAACATTTGATTTAAAACCATTAAAATTTAACAGTCTTAAGACGAGTTGGTAATTTATTATAAAAAAATATTTGACAACTTTGACAATTAGCTATCACTGGGATTATTTATTGATTTGTCTAATTTCTAAATCACGACATACTATATAAAAAGTTGGAAAGATATGGAGTAAGAGGCTGTGCATTGAGGTGGACACAGTCCTATTTGACAGGTAGAAGCCAAAGGGTTAGATTGGTCAAGGATGGTAAAAGTTTTAGTTCTAAGCACCATAGGGCCATTTTTGTTTCTTATATACATAAATGATATTGAGAATGTGGTCTCTAGTGAAAATCAGGTCATGGTCAACTTTGCAGATGACACAAACTTGCTTGTAAGGGGACAAACTTACCCAGATGTACTGGCAGAGATTGGAAATTTGATGGAAGCTACTGAAAGGTATTTTTTTATGAATAGGCTGAAAATAAATGCTGATAAAACAAATTGTATTCTGTTTAAAAAAGTTCAAGATCAATTGACCACTCCAGCTAGTGCAAAAATAAACCAAAATAGAATAAATTTTACATCTGCGACTAAATTCTTGGATTACATCTAGATTGGTGTGTTCACACAGATTTTTTATGTAGCAAATTGAATGGGGTAGCATACTCGCTACGAGTTTAAAAAAATTACCTTGATAAGTCAACACTAATGGTAGTGTATTTCTCAAATTTCCAATCTCTGCTAAGGTACGGGATTATTTTTTGGGGAAGAAGTAAAAATATCAAAAACATTTTTGTCACACAGAAACGTACAGTTAGAATTATTAATAATAAAAAAGTGACATGTCCTGTAGAGGTTTGTTTAAATCAAGTAAAATATTGACAGTTACTGGGATATATATACGAACTACTGATTTTTATGTTTAAAAACAAGCACTTGTTTGAACAACTTAAATCTAGTCGAAACACAAGAACGCACTGTTACATGTATCCTAGTCACACATTACCATGGTATCCCAAAATTTAACAGTCAATTCTTATGTAAAATTTTCCCCTGCGTTGTACCTTACTAATCTAATTCTTTTTCGTTACCTACTCTCTAAAAATGAATTAGTCAAAAATTATTAATTTAATACACAGCATAATTACACAAATTTTCATAAAGATTGGTAAAGGCGTTTTATAGTTATTTTTTTTTTACTTATAATGCGTTAATTTTGACGGGCAGTGTAGTTTTTAGTTGCTGCTTTTTTACTTGTACGATGGTTAACCATGGAATACCATGGTATCCCAAAATTTAACAGCCAATTCTTATGTACAATTGTCCCCTGAATCCGAAAATGTCAAAAATTAAAAATTTAATTTAATATGTAATTGACTATATCTGAAAAACTGCTCCACTTTTATAATTTTTGACGTTATTTTCGGATTTAGGGGACAATTTAACATAAGAATTGGCTGTTACATTTTGGGATACCATAGTATTCCATGGTTAACCATGGTACAAGTGAAAAAGCAGCCACTAATAACTATTAAATTAGTCATTTTTGACTAATTCATTTTTAGAGAGTATTTAGCTGCATTTTAATTCATGGTGTCTGATTTGTATTCAAATAGTAAATTAGTTATAGGAAGTATTCTTAATAATAAAATTAAAACAAAGGTAATTATAGAATATATCAAGGTTAGAAAAAATATGTGAAAGCCTTGTCAAAGACCTGCAACCTTATTGTCGCAAGGTCCTAGTATTTTTAAATTTTTTTGCATACTAAAAAGTGTTATACCGGGTGTATCACGTATTAGTCGATTTTTCAGATATTCAATTTTAATTTGTTCATAACATAACACACACACAAAAATTACTAAAATACTTACCACATGAACCAGCTGTATCGTATCCTTATCGGTGTCCTTGCAAATCACCTGCGTGGCCAGCAAGACAGCCAGACTTAGACCCCATACACTGAATGGCCGCATGACCGAGAGTTTTTATTAATACTACAAATTAAAGGCAATGGTGCGCCCTTATCACTTGTTAATCATTTAACGAGCGTTACTCTCAAAAGTTAACATTTATATCATCTGCAGTGGTGGACTGGGCGGCGCGATACAGAGCCGTAACGCGTCGTTTCCTTATCTGCGACCTTTGAGGTTTTTATTCTGCGAGATCGGTCAGTGGCAACAAAAATAATTGTTAAATTCTGAATTATGATACGCAAAAACGAATAAATCATTTCGGTAACGTTTTTTTAGACAAAAAAATTGGATTTTACAGGTTTTGAAACCGGACCACTGAGTTAATTTTCACTTGGACTTTCACCGCACCTTTATGCCATTGAAAACTAAAATGCATTATTTGTATGCGTTGTACAAAGTAAATAACTAAAAGTAAAACTGGGCCTTTGTGCATTTTTAACATTGTTAATCAGTTGGCGTATCTCCACGTAATTTTTTGTTGTTAATATTTAGTGGAATTCCACGTAACACACTATAACACAAAAAGAGATTGATAATTCAAAAATAATAGTATATTATGTATCAATTTTGATAAACGCCATTTTATACACGAATTTAATTAAATTTAATAAACGAGGTGCATACTATACTTTTTTTACGACAAATACCTATTATTATCTTAAAATGATTTAAATCAAATATTTGTATAGAGCGCCATCTATGAGACAATAGGGGAATCTGAGTGAAATGTGAAATGTCAAATTTTTTTATTTTATAAACACAATTATAAAGGTTATAAATCGAAATGTATTTCTTGAAAATTGACAGTTTTTCACAGTAAAAGTAAAGAAAATGTTTTATGAGCACTTTACAGTGGAGTCCGTGCATGAATTTAAGTTTTAGTTTACTGCCGGCGAAATTAAACGGTCAGTACAATGTTCATATAAACTTTTCAAATATTGGAGTTGAGAAACTATTTAATACTTTTTTGTATTGAGATAATAAAATAATGTTCACATTTAGTATTATTTTACAAGAAAGGCAATTTATTTTAACGATTGTATGACATTTGACAACTGTCAACTAACTTAAAACTAACTTCAGCCCGTGACTAAAAACCTGTTGCTAACTTCAGCCCGTGACTAAAGCGCCATAAAGCCACAACTTGACAATGTGAATTTAAAAGGTCACTTAGTGTCATGAAAACATGTACGATAACCCATTATTTGGTACTGTCATAAACTATAATCAAAATTAAGTCTGGCTGATTTATGAAATTGGTAAATTGTTCTGGCGGCATCTTGAAAATCGTAAGAATTACAAAAATTTTGCTCTTATTTTCCCGGATTTGAAAATTTGTCACATGATAAATACACGTCTGGCTGTTATTTACAATCACGAAAGCCCCGCCAGAAGTTTTTTGGTGGCGGACGGACTGACATTTTTTTTAGCCATATTTAAGTTTTGCTTTACACAAATTATTTTCTTATCATACATTATGAAAAGTAAAAACAGAGATGACAAAATCGCCTGTATAATTGAACATGCCGAATTTAGCGCGCCTGTGGAGGGTTGGACGAGTCTGGCAAGGCTTTCGGAGGGTTCCACATTAGCCAGACTATATTTGCAGCTGTAATTATAATATAAACTATCATCTCACAAAATTTTTAGGACTGCGAAAATAAGGGCAATGGTTTTGATAATTTTTCCACCTGCCAGACATATTACCCATACTCACAGATTAGCCAGACTATTTTTTTTCTTAAGTTCACTATATCTCTCACTAATGGAATTATTTTTATCACTGGAAAAAAAAGTGCAATATATTTGTACTTTATAACGCATTTTCCGCCTTAACCCATCGGAAACCCCCCCCCCCCCTAAATATATATAAATTTTGCTCAGAATAACAAACCCAATAATTGTATCGGTGTTTGCCGACTGGGAAAATAAGTACCGAAAATCTTCACTGCCTCCCGGACTATTATAATAGCCCTTGTATATAAGTATGGCTGTTTAATTTAAATTTTGATTACTTACACATGTGTACTGCAGTACAAAAATATTTGTTAATTTTAACCAAATATTCCACGTAACTTTATGTAATCTGTTAACTAATTGATTAAGTAGTTTGTAATTATAATAAATAATAAATAATCTGTACCCTTAAAAATTAACAAAATGCTTACAAAATTGCTTATTATTAACAATAAATGAACACCCTGTATCGTAAAGAGCACATTTCTACCATTTTTTATATGTTTAAAAAAATCATATTTTTATTAATATTAATTGTTAAAATTTCAATTAAATTACTTTAAAGAACACCCTGTAGATAAGTGGGCCAGGAAATCTATGAAATTTAGTGCTTTTATCAACATGCGGGTATATTTAAACCAATGAAGATAAATTAAATGAATCATACATGTAATTATAACTTTTAATTCTTTAAAATAAAAGTTATAAATAAATTGTACCTATTTACTACTAGTTGTGGTGCCACTGACTATTTTGAATTGAACTATGCAACGCTCGTAACTGGTAATTTCCGGAGTTTCTTGGACAAGGATTTAGTAAATACAGGGTGTGCAATAATTACCTTTATAAACATAAACATAATACAATTTAATAGTTTTTTTTATAATTTCTTAAAATCCTCTCGTAATGTACAAACAATTTTTTACCCCACACTGTAAGACAAAAAATTAGGAAGCCACAAGTTAAAAATTTGTGATTTTTAAAAAGAAATTATTTTCCCCTATTCAAAATAAAAGTAATAAATACTATTGTCTGATAGTGGTAATAAAGAAGACTTTAATTTATTTTAAACAATAACAATTTGTTATCAAGACGATTGATATCGTCATAATACGAATGGATTCCTTTCAAAAAGTCATTGCTACGCATTTATTACGTAAAATTTATGTTTTGATGTAGAAAATTTCCCAAGAATAATATAAAGTTTATATTATTCTTGTATTATAAGCATGATTGTGTTTTCACAATCAGAGACAATGATTGCTTACATTATATATTAGAATTTAATTTTAGAAAATATTTTTGATTTTTTTTTATTCAATTCACTTTGGTTCATTTTAGTAAATAATAATTATATATTATATTGCAAAATAAATGTTTTCAAAATTATTTATTGTATATTGTAGGTATATATTTTAAATATTTGTGGTTTCTATGATTTAAAAAAATCACGTTTTATGTTTTTATCAGAATATCGATTTAATTTATTTACATGAATAAATATTTTTTAAACAATAAAATAAAATGATAATAAAAATTGTATAAATTTGTGTAACACGTGGGTGCCCAGTTTTTGATTTATGTTTTAATATTAGGTAAACTTTTTCTATAGATTCTTTATAATATTCCCGGTCAACATTTAACATAACACAGTATTGCTGTTATGTAACCCATTGCACTGTAACCAATAGGCAATATAACAATAACGTAACATTGTGATACTTTTGTAATATAACTAAATTACAACTAAGCAATGTAACAACAATGTAACATTGTGAAACTATTGTAATATAAGAAAATTAACAATAAGCAATATAACAAAAACGTAACATTGCGATACTATTGTAACGTAACAATTATATTTATGTTACGCACCTAACAAACTTATAACTTATACGCATTATTTACACCTTGCCTCGTCCAGGTATATAAACGAAGTTAAGACATTGCAAAATAATAATGCATTTATGTAACGACAATGTAACATTGTTATGTAACAATGTTACTTCAATAAGAGGGAAATAGGAACCTATTTGCAACCATCATGTTATGTAACTGTAATGTTAAACATCACGATTGTTGCATAACATTTTGGTTAATGTTACGTTACAGTGTCGAACGTTATGTTTATGTAATCCATTAAAAAGTTATATGAGTGATTTTACAAAAGTTGGTCAACTTTTGACCTCATTTTGTTTATATAGTTTTCGGAGAAAACTAAACAGTAGATAATATAATAAATATACTGTTCCAGACCGGGCCAGTCACTTTTTCAAACAGTTTCTGAAATATCTGTGTTTTCTAAATTTGAATGCAAGGGAAGTGACGAGTATACCAGGGGACTAATTAAATACATAATTTATTGGAAAATATAAGATTTATTGCAACTTTGAGCATATTATACAATAAATACCTTAAAATCAAATAATACCACACATCAGTGGCGGCTGGTGGATTTTGGGTATACCGATATCTCAATTATTAGATATGGGACCCACAGCAAATTTATATGAGTTTATAATGACATTAAATACAAGTTCTGCGCAAGCGGAATTTAAATTGAAATTTGCGAAAAAAGATAACCGAAACATCGAACATGGAACTGACGAAACGGATACAAATTTGAGATTATAATTCGGAATTAAGTATTTTACTGATATTTTTTATTAGTGGATGCTACTTATCAACAAATCACATGTAGCCTTATATAAATTACAATGAAATATATATACGTAAGAAAAAAACTACTCACCACAGTACTGAAATTTTGACTGGAACTATACGTGCATTCACCACAACTTCGCCGCTTGCATTGCTTTCAAGATGACTGTCGTGCAAAGGGCGGGGTCAGTAGGTAATTTTTTACCAACACTTGACTTAAAAGGAGGACTTGACGTTTAAACTTCAATATTTCGCAGGAATTTTGAATTTTAACATTGGACACAGAACTGACGGGTAAAAGTGAGTACAAAGATTATAAATTTTTTAAAAATTGCTATTATTCAAATCTATGATAAAATATGAAAAATACATTATTTAATGTTTTATAGTTTGTAGTAAAATTGAAAAATTTAAGATAAATTGAATATATTTTAAAATAAAATCACTCAAATATTTGATTCAGGAGTTGTGACACGCCAAGGTACTGATATTTTGAATATACAATCGTTGCATAACATTTTGGTTATTGTTACGTTACAATGTTGACCGTTTTATCTAATTTATTTTTTTCCTAAATTTAACTTTATTTTTTGACGATTTTATCTTCCTGTTGGGATATTGATGACTCGCTAAGATCTTACATTTTACCCCATAATATATTAGGAATTTTTTATAAAAAATCTCGTAATATTTAAGTCGTTGAAAAAACTCATTCATGAAAGTATACTTGGTTCACCCTGTATAAATTAAATTTGGTTATTTTACAAAAATTATAAAATTACTTTACATCATACCTACCACGTGTCATTTTAAATAAATAAATAATAATAAATAAATCAATCAAAAGAGCACAACATATTTATTGAGCAATGCTAGGGGTTGGAGCAAATAAGAATTTAAATTATTAAAGTTGTTAATTTTTGGTAGGTATTATTTTAATTGTATAATTTTTAATGCAATAGACTATATCTTGACAATTTCATAATGTAAAATTCCCAATTTATCAAACATCGTAACATTTATTTTAATATTATTTTTTTTGACGTATATCATGTCAAAGATCATCAAAATTGATATCCATTCACGCAAAGAGATAAAATATTTATTTTTGTGCAAAATAAACAGTTTACATACTTATTAATACATATGTTTAGAAGATAATGAATATTAATTGTTAATTTTAATTTGTAATACACATTATTTAAATTGTTGATTTATGATAATGCTGTTTAAATAAATGTTTAATCAGATACAATGTTTGTGGCTCCATCTATCGGTGTAATAATTAGGTAAAACAACGTAATAGTGGATTTCTCTAATACTAATTTTTTACTGCTTTTTTTAAATGAAAAAATATATAATATATTTCTTTTTTACTGTAATAGGTGGGTCGCTTTCAAAAAACACCCGCCTTCCGCTGTCCGTAAGTTTGAATTCCAATAACTTTGTTAAAAATTATCGGATTTAAAAACCAAGTGAAAGCCTAACAAGCCCTTTGCAAACTCTTTCAGAAAATGTTTGTTTAGTTATTTCAGAATATTTTTTTTATTTTGAAACTTGTGAAACACATTTTCGCATGTCCCATTAACGTTTTATAAAACTTACATACATGTTTTTTTTTAATATTGAATAACCAGAACTTTGTGTTGCTTTATAGCAATCCATAAATTTTAATCTACTTTTTTTAAATTTGTCTCATGTCCCGGACATTTTTTCCGTTGCGTTACGTCCGTCGCGTTACCGATAGAATATTAAAAAAACATATATATGGCAACTTTTTTGGCACTCACGTGATCAACAAATGATGTTCGGACATACACATTACCCAGCTGAATTTATTTATTCAATCATGAAGAAGATATCGGTTGAAACAGGTGCGGGTAACGCGAATGTAATAATTGTTTGTCCGCTAAGTTACTCAAAAAAAAAAATAATAATAAGGTAAGAAAAAATACTATTTTTTATGTTTATGTTTATTTTAGGGCACTAAAGCTCATTGAGAGTAATTAATGACATGTAATGTCTTATTATTATATTTTAAACATGGTTTCACAAAACTTTTTCCACTGCGTTACCGAGTCCATTACGTTACCTTATGGTAACGCAATGGAATTTAGGGTAACGCAATAGAATTTTTCGACAACAAAGTGGATATTTACCGACGCTTTTATTAAAAGTAGTTTATGATAAACCAATTTAAAATTATTTGTGATTACAACTCATGATATAAAGATTAAATCCAAGGGAAAAATCCACTCAATATACTAAAAGGGACGAAAGACCATCAGCTTATAGTCAAAGAAAAAGGGTATCTATAATTTCGAAATCTAAGTTGTTATTCTGCAATTGAGCACCACTACAAGGGATTTTGACGTTTACGTCAAAGAATTTTTGTTATAATTGTCATATTATAATGTCAACTGACATTAGTCAGTTTTAAGATGAATGAAATTGAGGAAGCAGCTGAAAAGGCGAAAAATTGCGGCCTGCTGCAGGAAAAATCAAAATCTTTATACGAAAAAACTTACTTCGAATATATTATATGGTGTAACATTGTTGTTTTTAATTTTTGACGTTTCATTATAGCCCGCTGGGTCATAATAACGCCCGCGGGCTATAAAAAGACGTTTACGTCAAAGAATTTTTGTTATAATTGTCATATTATAAGGTCATCGTACATAAAATCAATTATTTCCCAAATTTTTACTCGAGTTGATCTATTTTTTTATAGATGTCACTGTATATTTAAAAATATTACAAATATTTAATTTAAATAATTTTTGATAATAAGTATTGGTCGTAGAAAAAGTTTAGTATGCTTAAACTTTTTTAGACACTCATGTAATTTAAATTCGTGATTAAAATATCAAATATATGTATATACATAATATACTATTGTTTTTATTTTTTATGTAAAAAATAACAAAACATTCGGGTCTAAGTAAATAACTTTGCCTTTACTGTTAAACAATGCTTTTGTGTTTTAAAGCAAAAACAAATTTTGAAAACAATTTTTAAAAATAATACCTCTATGTATACATGTATGCATATAGGTATTATAAATCCTACCTACGCGTAGCTACGTAAGCAACTGTATTTATATACCTTATTTTCTTTATATTTTAAAAAGTACCATAAATTATGATGTCAAATCCCTAAATTCAAATACCAAAATGTTTACAAATAAAAATGAGATAATTCCTTCGTACAGTGTGCAGAGAAATTAGCGTAATTTAAAATTAATTAAACAAAGACAAATATAGTGGATCGTTTCGTACGATAATTTAATAGAAACAATTAACTATTTAAGTAACAGAATACTCGCAAAATATTTCCAATTTGTTCCAAAGAAAGAAGTGTGTAGTTTATATAGAATGACTGAAGTACCAAAAAGGAAAAATGTTGATTATGAAGAAGCCATTGAATGTACTGGTGAGTAAATTTTTATAAATAAATATTAAAGATTTAGACAATTAAAAAATCGACAATAGTAACACTAATTATTAAAAGTGGAAAATTTATAGTTTTTTAATATTTGTTTGAGGTTTTATAGTTTTGTTAAAAGACTTTTTATAAAATAAATAAGTGTTTATAGAAGAAATGTTCATAAACTTTCTCAAAATATTTCATTTCAAGGTCAAACTTTTTCAGTTTATTATTGTTTTTGGTTATTCTACAAATAGCATGTCGATATTTAATTCTCATAGGATGTGGCAATAAAATTAAAACACAACAAGAACCTAGACAGCACACAACGTCTTTAAGATGTCTTTTGTATGTCTGTATTATGCCTGAACGTCTGAAGATCTAAAAAAGACATCTTTAAGACGTTTTTTGATAGACGTCTTAAAGATATATTCATTTAATGTTCTAAAGACATCTTATAAATGCCTGATACCGCCGCTTATTTTTTTTTAATGTTTTGATAAAATAGTGAATTTTGACAAGTCAAAATCGAAATTATATCCCATAATCAGCCACTTCATAGTAAGATATAATTAGGTACCATGCTATTTTGGTGTAATAGAAACAACATTAATGTAGGATTTTGAGTTTTGACAACGATGATGGGTAAGAAAACTGAATAAATATATATCTAACATTTTTGTAGATTGGTTATTTTTCATACAATTAACAATATCCATTTGTAATAAAAACATTATAAACAAATATTTTTTAAAATTAAGTATTAAGACAAAATAACCTTAAAATATCCCAGCGAAAGTTTTTAAATCAAATTACCCGCACATTTCCTATAATGCAATACATTTTAATTACTTAATACCTTAAAAACGTTTTCAATAGGTAGTCTTTAACATCTTAAAGACGTCTTAACGACGTTTAGCAACGACTTAATAATGCCGTTAAAATGACATCTTAAAGACGGTGTGTTTTGTAACAATAGATATCTTAAAGACATCTTAAAGATGACTTACGTCGTAAACTGGACGTCTTAGAGATGTCATAAACGTCCGACATCTTTAAGATATCTTTAAGATGTATTTGTGATATCATTTGGTTATATTTCCTTTGCATACAGTATTTTTTATTTAAATACTATACCAGTTAACTATTTTTTGGTGACAGTATCGAAAAGCATGTAGCAAGAAACCCGCAGACCAAAGATCTGTCATATTATCTTTATAAAAAAATTGTATATTTGTAGGTTTTGGAAAATACAACATCCTGCTCATAATAGCATGTGGCCTATCCCTACTTTCATCAAACATAGAGTCCTACTCCATAGGCTATGTGCTGCCATCCGCAGAATGCGATCTAAGCCTAACAACCACCACAAAAGGCATTCTGACAACGGCCACTTTCGTGGGCATTCTAATAAGCAGCCTATTTTGGGGCTACTTGTCCGACAAAAAGGGCAGAAGAACGCTGATTTGCAAAACCCTTTTCATGACTTTTTTGGCCAGCGCATTATCCAGTTTTATGCCCTCTTTTTGGGGGTTTGTGGTGCTTAGATTCATCACAGGAATTTGGTAAGAAAGGCTTTTCTGTAATCTCTTAATAATATGTATTATGTTTTCTTATAGTATCTCTGGACCATCAGCAATCATATTCGCTTACTTCAGCGAGTTTCAAAACGCTAGGACCAGATCAAAATGTTTGGCTTTCATAAGCACTTTCATAGCATTTGCCTTGATATACCTACCAGCTTTGGCTTGGCTACTTTTGTCCATCGACATTAACATCGACATGGGTTTCGTAAACTTCACATCTTGGAGAGTTTTTATTTTGATAAATTCCGCACCTGCAGCTTTGGGTTCCCTGTGCATCTATTTTTTGCCTGAAAGTCCTCAGTATCTCTACTCGCAAGGAAAAGTGGATGAAGCTTTGGAAGTAATGAAGACCATGTATGTGAATAATACAAATAATAGTGTAAACGATTTTCCCATTGAAAACATACAAGAAAGTAACTCACAAGAGAAGCCCAGGAGAGTCAAAAATGTTATGGTGGAGATTTTCAAACAAGTCACTCTATGCTTTAACCCATCCGTTCTTAAATACACTCTGACTGCTTGCCTGTTACAAGTGGGCTGTTTCGGGTTGTCCAGTGGGCTTCTGCTGTGGTACCCAGACATAATCAATCAACTTTCCAAGGCTGGGAATGCAAGCTTGACCGTTTGCGAAGCACTAGGGTTTGAACATGACACCAAGGATGCAGAAGTTCTATGCAATTTAGAGTTAAATGACAATATTTATGTGCAAAATTTATTCATAGGTCTTGCGTATTTGATGGGATATACGTCTTGGAGTTTTGTTGTTAAAGCTATGGGAAATAGAATGGTTTTCAGTAAGTTTGCATTTTGGTAATATACTTAATAATAAATACGTGATGTTCTTACATCTCGCCTCTGTTAGCTTACTTAAGTAGTATATAAGCTCAGGTATTGTTTGTTTTGGGTGTGTTCCACTACACCAAGTTGCTTGACACTGGTGAGACCCATTTGAAGTTGGTGGAACGCACTCAAAACAAATCAATTCTGTCTTACTCAATAATACACATTATTTTTGTTTACAGTGACTTTCATGTCGATCTCTTCCCTGGGTGCAATCCTGATATGTTTCATCAGTCATAAAATCCTTATTGACGTCTTGTTCGTGGCCGTTTTGATGTTACCCGGTATATGTGTGGCCGTTGTGGCGGCCATGACAGTCGATCTTATGCCACCGAGTATTGCAGGAATGGCGATATGTCTCACTATGACAGCAGGAAGGCTGGGCAGCATTTTAACCAGCTCCTTGGTTGGTTTGATGTTGGAATTCAATTGTTCTATGACGTTTTGGTTGTACAGCGCTATTTTATTAGGTAACTAATTTATTTTTTTATTGCATGATTTCTTGGCAGCCCCTGGATTCGTAAAAACCATGACTTACCTAACCTGTAACCCTGATAGCAAAATTTGATTTTAAGAATCTTCTAAGAAGATATGACCCGGAATAATGGTATATTCTTAGAACCTTCCCTTATTGCTAAGAATGTTCTTAGGGACTTTTGAAACATTCAATAGATACCCTCTTAATGATGCAATTAGATTCTTAAAAGCTTCTTAAAACCTTCTTAAAAAGCATCCTAAGAACATTTTAAGAATACGTTTTTGGAATGTTCTTAGAAGGTTTCTTATGGAGCTTCTAGGAAGCTTTTGAGAATATTTCAAAATATGTCAGAAACTCACGTTCTAATATGTTGTATTCTACATTCGTAAAATTCTTTAGGAGGCTACAAATACGCCTCACTGTCATAATATGACAAGTTGTATGACATTATTTCATAAAAAGTAAAATTGGAAAAATTTGTGGGATAAGTCAGATTAGATTGAAGTTGAAGTTAGTAAGGATTATTATACATAAAAATGTTAATTCAGATATAAAAAATCGGTATACAAGTTAATAAATATTTATTTTTAACATAAAATAAAATACCTATAGTAAAAGTATTTTTGTTTTCGAATATTGTTTTAATTTGACAAATAACTATAAAAAAATATTTTGGATTGTGTTTTTTACTTAGTATTTAATACTAATTACTAATTAGGTACTTAAGTATATTTATATACCTTTATACGTAGTATATGGTATTATATAGGTAACTGAACTAAATATGCTTAACAGGAATATTCCTAACTAGAACCTGCCTATATGCCAGTAAGAATATTCTTAGGATCATGCTATATGTCTTTTAAGCATGTTCTTTAGAAGAAATATGGCATGATACTAAGAATATTCTCACTGGAAGGTTTAAAAAACATTCTTAGAATAAAGTGTGCTATCAGGGAAGCGGTTGGGATCGACAGACTAAGTAGAGTCGGAAAGTTGTTTAACTATCGTTAACAGCTGTTGCCCAAGAAATGACAAATTTTAAAATGGGTTAAAACATTTTTGCTTATTCTCAAAATTTGACTTGTAGATGCGAATTTAACGGGTTTTACAAGATTTTTTTTTAAATTTTAGTGTGTATTGGACTGGCGTTTATATTTCCCAAAAAAAGCTGTGATAATTTACACTGAATGAATTAAATTATGATATTACTGTTTTTATATATATTTTTTAATTTAACAATCTTTAAAAACCAATATGGTGAGGATATTGGAACAAAGGATTTTACCAAAATGTTTATAATTTGATTGATGTTTTTTTTTAAATAAAATTTAAAAAAAAAGATATTGTTTTATTTCTATAAATATTCTTAATAAGGTTAAATTGGTAAATGGTAAATTAACCTTAAAATTGACACAACGTTTAAAACTCATTTTTAATCTGTATAAACCGCACAAACCCAAAGCACAAGAATTGTAAACAACATAAAAATGGTTAGTTTCTTTCTTGTCACTACAACCACATTTCGAACAAACTACCATTGTATTTTAATATTGAGACCGACGTTTTTATTCCTTTATAAGCAAAAACACTCAAAATAAACTTGTTGAAAGTTGAAAGAAAGTAAAATAAAAAATTACTTAAATTTAGTATTAACATATTTTATTTGTTTTAAATAAAAATTAACCAAGGGACTGTAGTTTACAAGGAAATCAAAACATCTACTCTTATCGGCTAGGATTTATGTTTTATTTATAAACTAAACTTAACAATCAGATTTAGTTGGTACCATAAAATAATTTACGCTTTTTGTTATCTTGCGAATTTTTTTAAATTAAATAATTTTCTTTTGTTTAAAATAAAAAAAATGCATTTTCGGTCACGTTTACGTAGGTAGGTGATTATTAAATATTTAAACAGCAAAATTTAATACTCAAAATTTGTTATCTATTTTTAATATTATAAATAAAATAAAGTACACCATAGTGTAAATTAACTTTTTTGATGAAGTAAGAATTTTGTTATTTATCGTTTAGTCCAAAAATGGCCAAAATAGCACTTGGTTCTGGTCAAAAAACGGTGGCCTCGTTTGAAGATGCCATTCATATGACAGGTAAATTTTAAAAATATTTAAAATAATAGGTACCTACCTAATAATATAAACCTAGGTTTAAAATTTTGGCTCAACTTGTTGAACGCACTTTTTCCACTTCTCTGCTTTTTTCTATTTTTTAAATAATTTTTTTTACAGTTTCTATACCGAAATCGATAAGACCCGTATTTTTTCTTTTTGCTCAAATTTGTTGCGGTCACCTGTATTTTTTATTGAAAATGCAATAACTTGGCCAAAAATGTTTAGATCGTTGCAATTTTTTTTAAATTGTAGGTTAATGTTTACTATGTACATACAAATAAATATAAAAATTTAAGCTAATTCACACATTTTTTTTTATTTTTTTTTCTAAAAAAAATTACGTCAAAATTTTGACATTGCCACATTTTTTTTACTTCATATTTTTTTCGTTTGAAGTTGATAATATAAACAACTTTCACCAAAAGTCACGCGTTGGCTAAATTCGTCTTTTCAGAATTGTTATTTTTTTAATGAAAATGCCATTTTTGTTATTTATTGCTATTAAATCCCTCCAAGGCCACAATATGGGGCGGTTAGATATAACTTTTTATAATCGTTTCAAAATATTTGAATGATTATCTTTAGTATGTAGTTTTAAAACCAAGAAATGTTGAGCAATTACTTACACCCCTTTAATTCTAACCACCTCTATTATTATTTTTATTTTATTTTATAAATAGTTTTGCGTATGTTTTTATAGTAAAATGAAATGTTATTATTCACTTACCAGCAAAACAAACTAACGAACAGTCAAATCCGATACTTCTTTTAAACACAAAGGTTTCAAAGTCTTCTTAATTTATTTACTTCTGTACCTACACACTTTAAAACCTTCTAAACATTGAAATTTAATTAAGAGTTTGAAAATGACATTATTAAAAAATGCATTAATAGTTGGTATCACAGATGTAGATATAGAATTAAAATTTAATCAAAAATTGACAAATGACATATATATGTATTCAGAATTTTATTTTGAATCAAAATATGTAAAAATGCATAGGGTGTTTCATTAAAAAATAAAAATTTAAGACCATTTCTGGAAAAACAGGCACTACGATCTATATTTTATGCAACTAACTATTTACTCAATTATAGAATTTGATGGGTATAATAAAAGTATTGATAATACTTAGTGTTTTAAGTAACTAATCGTCCAATTACGCTAATAAGTACCATACAAAAATTTACGCTTACTGTTATCTTGTGCAATTTTTAAATTAAACAATTTTCTTCTGTTTAAAGTTGAAAAATTGTATTTTTTGGTCACGTTTACGAAGGTGAATATCAAATATTTAAACAGCAAAATTTTATATCTATTTTTATTATTTTTGATGAAGTAAGAATTTTTTTTATTTATGGTTTAGTCCAAAAATGGCCAAAATTGCACATAGTCCCGGTCAAAAAACGGTGGCCTCGTTTGAAGATGCCATTCGTATGACAGGTAAATTTTAAAAATATTTAAAATAATAGGTAATAATAAAAACCTAGGTTTAAAGTTTTGGCTCAACTTTATCCCTAAAATGTTTTACGCACTTTTTCCACTTCTCTGCTTTTTTCTATTTTTCAACGAAATTTTTTTATTATTATTTTTTTTTGCTTAAATTTGTTGCGTTCACCTGTAGAAAATTTTTGTAAAACAGAAACGTCGATTTTTTTCTTTTTAATGAAAATGCCATTTTCTAGTAAATTCGTGCTTCTTCGCAAAAATTTGGTATTTTATCTAGGGTCACGAAACTGGGATGACCTTTATAAAGTGTAACTTTTTGACATATTAAACATATTTTTGTCACTTCTGGTTTCACCGGAAATGCTCTAAGTAAGTAAATTATTAAAGATTTTAGAGTAAAATGTAAATTTTTAATATTTTTGCATGTGTTGCTTTTAAAAGATGTAAAAAGTATAAGTTAATTTTGGTTAAAATAATAAAAATCAAGTATTACATACCTAAAAGTAATAAATCGAATTCACAAGAAACTTCAAAGAAATGTAGAAAACAAACAATTCCGAAAAATTTTGGTCAGTTAACAGATATAAGTGAGGCAGTCGCGAAATTTGCTTTGACTAAGGCTCTAACAGGAAGGGAAATAAGTACTAAGCCTAAGAGGTCCAATAAATGTAAAATATTGTACACCAAACTTATAGTTGGGAAGAAGTTGACTAATTTCCCAACCCATGTTTCTCTGGGAGACTTTAGGTAGGTAATGTGTTAATATTTTTTAGGCTTTGGAAAGTTCAACCTCTTCGTCATAATCACCTGCGGAGGCTGCCTAATGTGCGTGATCCTAGAAACGATGTGCATGAGTTTCATCATCCCGGCCGCACAGTGCGATCTCAATTTGAATCTGTCGGAAAAAGGTCTACTTTCGTCGATAAGCTTTTTCGGCGTCGTTTCCAGCTCCCATCTTTGGGGGTTTTTGGCCGACACCAGAGGGCGCAAAATGGTGCTGGTGCAAAGTTTACTGTGCAGCAGTGTGTTAAGTTTCGCGTGCTGTTTAGTCCCGTGGAGTTGGTTGTTTATACTGCTCAGGTTTTTTAATGGGTTCTTGTAAGTAATCTTAAATGAAAGGCCCATAGGCAACTAATGTAACATTTTGTAGCATTGGTGGTTGTTCGGCAGTAATCTATGCTTACGCTGGTGAATTCCACGACCAAAATTTCCGTCCGAAAACAATTGCGTGGATGACCACCTTCGTAGCATTTGGCAACATGTTTTTGCCCAGCTTGGCATGGGCCATACTACCGCAACAATGGTCATACAACATACCCTTCATGAACATCACGTTCAAACCATGGCGATTGCTTTTGATAATCTACGCTCTTCCAAGTTTAGTAGTAGCTGCTTGTTTGATAGTGCTACCAGAAAGTCCCAAGTATCTCCTAACGCAAGGAAGATATAAGGAAGCGTTGGAAATTTTGAAAACCATGTACAAATTTAACTTTAACAAACAAGCAGATGATTACCCTGTAAGTGATATTCTATGGGATGAGTTGGATAATTCAGATGAAGTTAAAAAAAGAAGTCTGCTGGTGTCGATGTGGAGACAAACTGTACCTTTATTCAAGAAACCTTTTTTGATTAAGACCCTGATGTTCTGCAGTTTGCAGTTTTTAATATTTTTTTCGTAAGTCCATACTTCTTTAACAATTTTATCAATATATGGCCTGTATACCCAGATTACCATATCAGGTACTTACTTTATATTACTATATATATATTACTGCAAAATTAACGAGGAAATAACACTGCAAACGAGAAAATATTGACTAATGATCACATGACCACTATTCATTTATTTTCAACAAAATTAATTATTATAAAAAAACAGGACCCACACCGCATATAACGTCACTTCCGTCTCGTGTCGTTTTTTCTAGGTTTATTAATTACTCTCTTGAATCTTGAAACGTTCTCTTCCGCTTAATCTTTGAATTTGAATCCTCGACTCATTTGACATTTAAGGCATTTCAGGTTATGTATCTGTCAAAGTATAGTCAACGATATGTTGAAGTTAAAATTAATAAATCTTTATAGTATCGTAATATTTTCGACTCAAGTATAGAGCATACAATATTCATTTTTACATAGCTCAAATACCTACACGTAAGGCAGAATGAATAACATTCATCAGCACAAGATTTGAACGCTTGACTCAGGTGTAGAAATCAGAGCATACATCAACTTTGACTGCAAATACTTCAGGGAAGTATTGAGAAACTTGACCCATTGAGAAGTATTCAGCACCTTGAATTTCCCATATCAAATTCCTATTCATCACAAAATATTCAAAGACTATGAAGGTGAAAACGTTCACTTAAGATAGAATAAATAATAATCATCAGCACGAAATTTGGACACTTGACTCAGGAATAGAAATCAGAACATACATCAACTTTGACTGTTCAGCACCTTGAGTTACCTATACCGGATTTCTATTCATCACGAAATATTCAATGATAAGAGCAGCAAAGTATTTGGACACATAAGCTGCGAATATAAAACGTCAAATCTTGAATAGAACCATATTCAGGTCCATTGAATACGGTCAATATTTTTTCATTTGCAGTGAACAATCTTCGAAAAGTAAAAAATTGTATAATAACACTATGATAGTTTTAGAAACTTTTTTTCCTAACATTAAGTCGCTGATTTCAAAAATGTCATTAGTTTTCTCTAGGACGTCTAGGATTTAAAATAATTTCGTAATAAAATGCTATGCTCAATCACCTCAAAATGTAAGTTTTTTGTTAGTATTTTAATTATGTATTACATTATTTTGGCTTAAATTTATCTTGAATATACTAAAGTAATTGGTATACGGCATTTATCTTAACAATATGACATTTTAAATACTAAAACTAAAATTTTAATGTATTTTATGTAAAAAAACACCATTATTTGACATTTTTTGTCGTTTATTTTAATTATTAAATTGAAAGGGCAACAAAGTATACAAGTTTCAGTATTTTTTATTCAAATTAAGCCTTCAAAATTTAAATCGTATCAAATTGGATTGTAGTATTATTGTGCTTAATCCTCAGCATCTTTTGAAATTCCATCAAATGTCTTCTAGCAATGAATCTAACTTCTTTCCGCTATGGGGTATAGCCTATACCCATAGATATCTACCAATGATCTAGATTTTCAGTTACTTGGTGAAATCGTTCTCCATGTTCATCAGTTCGGCAAATTTATCAGGATGAAAAAAAAAGAAAATTTATTTTAAATGACATATTAACGCTAATTCTTTACAAAACGGAGAGCACTTTTTCAATGAAATGGCGCCAATTTTAGGCCCGATATGAACCAAGAACATTTTCAATGACAGCTTTAACACCATAGATGACAAGCTCGTCAACTTTGAGAGCATTTTTGAATGCTTGATTTTTCATTAAACGTCGTATATAAGGTCCATTTAATATTACTGCAAAATTAAAGTAGTAGGTATATCTCATAAAATTTTGTAATGAAATATCGAAAACCTAAATTTTACAGGAGAGATTTTTTTTGTGTGGGAGCTTTATTTTTAAAGTTATTTATCTGAAAACTGGTGAGGCATTATTTTATTAATGTAGAATTCAAATATTTAAGTTATATCGAATTCAATCTAAAATTTTCATTAAATTTTGTGGCATACGATATTTTATAAGAACATCTTTAGGAAAATGTAAAATTAGTCTTGTCGCTTAAGTTACATTTTGGAACATCAAACTTCTGTCATTTAAAAAAATGTCTGTGCAAACCAACCCTTAGGGACATTTTTGACAAGATGACAAGCAGTTTCAAAAAGTAGACAGAGAATCTAATCTTAAAACAATACAATCAACAATGAAATACGTCAAACTGACAACTTTCAGAAAGTAAGGTTAGTTGTCACTAAAGGCAGTTTTACATTTTAAAATCAACTGAATGACAGGTCGTTTGAAATTTTTTGGCCGTCATTGTACCGTTATAAATTTGAGTCAAATTATTTGACTTTATAACAACATACAATTACTACAAAAAAACACTTAACGAACCACACTACGTAAAAACAATTATAATTAGGATAACTATTAATATTGCAATGATAAAAAGGAATTCTAAGCTTTTGATCAAATAAAATATTGTTTTAAAACTTGGTAGCAATCACAATCCACATTGTGGATTGTGGTAGCAATCACCACGATGCAGGTATACTCACGAACAAACTGTTTAGAGCGGGAATAACGCCTTGATAGATCAAGGAATATTATCGTAAGCGACACAATGTTAAATCGCAAACGCCATGTCTCGGAGTTGCTTACGATTATTTGTCGGGAACATATAGGCGCTTACGTTATAAATCGGTAACAAATTAAAAAGAAGAGGCGCTTACAATAATAAAAATATTCAAATTGACCAATATTAGATTCCAAAATTGGAATAACTATTATGTTAACAAGTGCAGCTTATCGTAACTGACACTTTGATAAAATAAAAAGTAATTCAAAAAAATTGTCGCTTACGATGTTTTGTCAAATAACCATCGATATTGCGTTGGTTTTTCTTGGGCGTAAAGGTAACGCAACAAAAACAAAACAAATTTACAACGACGACATAAATGTTCGTCCCCTTTATCTGCCACTTCAATTTCCTGCTCTTTTTTCATTTTTGGTTCTTAAAATCACTTTAATCAATTTAAACTTTAAATGTCAATAACACTATGTAACAAAATTTGATTTTTGTTTTGTTTATTGGATTTTTTTGTTATATTATCAATATTTGTGTGCCAAAAAACTATTTTAACTTAATTTAAAAAAATTTAGTGATAAGTTTTTATTTTTTTTAATATTTATATAATATAATCAAACCCAGTTTTATCAAAAAATATAATATATATAATAAAAAAATATTGCCAAGAAATGGCAAGAAATTCAACTCAGAATTATTATTTTAACAAAACATACAATCTAGAAAAATATTTTCTTAACATAGATTTTAAATCTTGGCTCAAAAATGAATTTTAATACTACTTTTTCTTTTATATGACGCATTTTCTTTCCGAAGTAGATTCCAAACATAGTCACCCACCATTGTCGCATCCCACCTTCCTTGTTATCACTTTTCCATTGCCCGAATATCTTGATGGAATCTTTCTCCATGTTCTTCGCTGACATCTCCCAGATTTTCACGGAAGAAGTCAAGATGCGAATGCAAACAGTGTAGGTACTTTCAACGACATGCGGCATCCCATTTCTTTATAACTTCCTAATAAAACTTTGACAAGGTCAGTATAATTTTCTCTTTTGTGGATACCAAGGAAACCTTTTATATAAAATCTTACGTTAACTTTTGAGTTTAAAAAATATGTATTATAATCCAATTTTGTTAAAAAAAAAATATTTTTTCTTACATGTTGTCCACAAAGAAAGTTTAATGGCCAAAATCTTACGTGAGGGATAGGGGGGGTCTACCACATCTCACCAAGTGGGAGGGAGGAGTCTAAATTATCAAAAAAATCCTCACGTAATTAATGGATATCCCCTAATGACACTCAAAGCCATCAACACGATCTGACGGCTGTCGTTGAAAATTTGACAGTTTGAAAAAACAAATGTATGTTACGTAATCGGGTGCATGGCCTACTACGATTTGTGTAATAAAATCCAGATAAACAAATATCATGTTACATAGTGTAATTAATAGATGCACTTTAATGTGCTTGAACGATATAGATAAAGGCGCCTTTTACTTCAATTCGATATTAAATTTAGATAAGACTTAATAAATAAGATTGGAGATTTAATTTTTGGGTACTTTAGGCATGAAGTGAATAAAAACATACCAAATAATAGTCGAAGAGCTTCGGTATAGCCCATTTACTTTGTTGCCTTTTCAATTTAATTAGTAATTCAAAAAACGTCACCAAAATTTCAAAAAATGATACTTTTTACCAAAAAAAACATTATAATTTTAGTTTTGGTATTTAATAAAGCACTTATCTGCAGAAAAGTGCTATATCCTTAGAGTAATACTCTAAGGATATAGCACTTTTCTGCAGATAAGTGCTTTATTAAATACAAAAACTAAAATTATAATGTTTTTTTTGGTAAAAAGTATCATTTTTTGAAATTTTGGTGACGTTTTTTGAATTACTAATTAAATTGTATAAGAGTATACGGCTACAATGAAACAAACAAAATTTCTATTTGACAATAAATGTAGATAAATTTTATCTACCGATGACTTTGTATGGAGTCCCTGTAAATTTTTGACAAAAAACGTAAAAAATATACTGAACGTCCAAAATAGATTTAAGGCAAAATAATTTAATAAATAATGAAAATATTAACGAAAAACTTACATTTTGAGATAATTGAGCAGAGCAATTTATTAGGCAATTATTTCGAATCCTAGACGTCCTGGAGCAAAACGAGTGGCATTTTTAAAATCAGCAGCCCAAAATTAGGTAATATAGGGCGTAGGTACTCAATGTTAGTAATTCGAACTATCATAGTGTAATTGAATTATTTATTAAAGCATGGTTCTCTGCATGGTTCTTCCCATGGGAAGCTCGTTTTTAAGGTTGCACAGTGTAATTTTGTATCTTTTTTAGGAGTGCAGGTATTGTGATGTGGTACCCAGAGATTCTGAACGAAATGTCACAATTCAGCGCCAACTCATCTGAAAGGGTTTCATTGTGTCGAGCCATGGCCTACGATGATGATGACTATTTTGAATTTCCCGATCAATATAGATCCTTATTTGTGTTTAAAGTAGGAACAACACATTTTAAATTCTTTTAGAGTGTATTCAAATTTCAGGGGCGTGTTTGCAAGGACCTGGTGAAACCAGAAGTATTCCAAACCTCTCTATTGGTAGGTTCAGCCTACGCGTGCATGTTTGTTCTTGTAGGCGCCCTCATAGGCTTCGTGGGCAAGAAAAAACTGCTGGTTTCATTTTTGACAGTTTGCACCGCTTGTGGACTGGCCTCGCAGTTCGTTTACGGCTACACTTTGATACAAATGCTGATAGGCGTTTTTACTTTGTGCGGGGCCGCTATAGGCCTTATCAATGCCTTCGTTGTTGATTTGTATCCGACGCAAATCAGGGGCATGGCCCTGGCTGTCTCGCTTATGTTCGGAAGATTCGGCGCCATGACCGGCTCGAATTTGATTGGACCTTTGCTGTACCATTTCTGCGATTACGTGTTTTTTGTCGTTGCTGCTAATTCCCTCGGTAAGTATTAAATTTAAGTGAGACAATTTTGTCTAAATGCAAACAGCATTATGAATTATTAAAAGCGTTGATTGAGAAAGTCCCCACTCAACGGTAAAATACCAAAAACGGGTATTATATAATGTGTTATATATAACTTTCCCAGCAAACACATAAGGGTGGTTTTCAGTAAATAAAACATAAACAAATTTTTAACATGACCGTCGCATACTTTTTTTTTTTCATGTGATTTCACAAATTGTTATTTGCTCAAAATTAAAAGCATCCCCATGTTGTGAATTTTAGGTTAGTTTCCACCGGTAAACAACCGACAACAAAAAAAACATAGCGAGCAATTTATAACTATTTATGTTGCTATTTTATCACTATAGACGGTCATGTTAATAAAAAAAAATCTATCTAAATCTTAAAAGTTACTGAAAACCACCAGTATAGGGTGCTACTTCAATTACCTATACACAATAATATTAATGTTTTTGTTTCAGTTGTGGTAATCCTGGTTTTATTGCTGCCTTCAATGCCTCATATACCACGCCTAAAGGAAACCATTACGCACTAATAATAAAATATTATTATTATTATAATTATTTATTTCAAATAAAAAGGACATTTTATTGTGGATCATTATTTTGACTATTGACGTTTTTGTAGTTCAAGTTGTAAAATTATAAATGGGAAACTTAGAAGAGAACTCTTACTTTATAATACTTAAGCCACAGATCTCTCGAGAATGATTTTTAAAAATAAATAAATAAAATCTGACATCTGTCAGATGGTTAACCTCACTTTCCAGCAAATATCACGATTGGTCCAAATCACAGCCAATTACTGATGCCTATATAACAACGGGAATAATGAGTTCTACACCTTTTCCAGTTGATATTCAGAAAGTAGGAATTGTAATTCAGTTATTCCAGTTGATATTCAGATAGTAGGAATTGTAATTCAGCTATTTCAATTGATTTTAAGAAAGTAGCATATGTAATTCAGATAACACAATTGATTTTAAGAAAGTAGCAATTGTAATTCAGATAACACAATTGATTTTCAGAAACTTGCAATTGTAATTCAGAAAGTAGCAAATGTTTTTCAGATTAAATCAAATGTAATTCAGCCGCAGCAATTGTTTCAGGAACAGTGGGTTGCAAACAGTAAATCGATGATGAATGAAAGTACACGTTATCTTTATTAACTAAGTAAATGAAATTTATATAAAGTACAAATGAACAAAATTCGGTCCTTACTTGCAATAAGTTAACAATTATGACAAATATACCTACTTATATGGTGATAAATTTGTTTATTATTGTCAATTCCATGGAAACAAAGCAATATACAAAGAAATACATTAAATTGAGATTTTAGAAAATAAGTAAAATGAAGTATGAAAATGTTATCATTTGTTAATTTCTGAATTTCAATTGACATATTCTGAATTACAATTGTTACTGTCTGAATATTATTTATAATTTCTGCATGAATATCAATTGCTACTGTCTGAATTTCATTTGCAATATCTGAATTACATCAGCTACTTTCTGAATATCATTTGAAATATCTGAATTACATTTGCTGTTTTCTGAATTTCATTTGCAATATCTGAAAATCAATTGCTGCTTTCTGAATATCAATTGCTACTTTCTGAATATCAACTGGAAAAGGTGTAGTCTTATTACAAAGTAAAAAGTTACCTTTTAGGTAAATTTAACGACAATATTTGCTTTCAGGTACTTTAAGTTGTGACATGAACTGGGTTATAAAAGTAAGGCTAAGTAGCACAAACGGTTAAATAACTAGTATTATAAGTAAATTAACCGAAATCTAAGTTAAATGACGTTTCTTTTAACTTGGTTTTTTTAACCAATTAGTTGAATTACCCAATTAGTTTTTTTACGGTTATTATAAACTAAAAAAAACCTTTAAATTAACCAACTAGTTGCTATTACTTAAGAGTTAATTTAAAAGTTATTTTTTACTATAATTTAATTTTTAAAACTAACTGATGAGTGAAACAATACTTCCAAGTTAAATAAATGGTTAATTTTTAGTTAATTGTAACTTTTAGAATAACCTTAATTTACCTTAGTTAATAAGTAGGTTATTTTAGAAGTTATATAACGTTATATTAACTTTAAATTTTAACCAATAAAACTGGTAAAGAGTAGTTAATTTTCTTGTTATATTTTGGTTCATTTTAACTATAAATTGAACCTTTAGGTAAGTTAACCACAGTTTTGGTTAATTTGACTATATTTTTTAACCAACAAGTTGCATTTTACCAAATGTATTTTAACTAAATGGTAATCAACCAACTCGTTAAAAAAGTGATGGTTTTGCAGTTTTCATTGTTACCTACATAGAAAAATATGTACTATGTTAGGAATACTTGACATGTTAGGAACTTAGGTACCAGAAATAAAGCCTCTTTATAAATAAACTTTAAACGCCACACGATTGTCTATGTAGTACACACTGCAACGTTTTCCAGAACGTTCGGCGGGAATTTATTTTAGGTTAGTTATTTTGAAAATAACAAGTTAGTTTAACTTAACTAAATTTTGGTAATTTTTAACTATAATGTGTTAAATGTAACCAAATTGAAACCAAAACCAAAGAGTTATAAATTACTGAAGGGTAAATAAAGTAGTAGGAAATAACTAAATGGTTTAAATAAACTTGCAATCGCCATATTGCTTGCTGTTCATTTTACAAAAGGAAATGCCATTAATTTTTATTTTTGATTTTTGTTTCAAAAATAAGGTAATTTAAATAAACCAATAATAAAAAATAGTATTATTTTATGTTTGAAAGTATTTTAAATCAATTTTAAGTAAAATAAAAAATAAATAAGCAAAAAAAATATTTTTTTTTAATTTTTATTTTCTTTATTTCTTATTCTTTTTTGAGCGCGTTTAAAATATAAAAGTATTATGAGCCATTTCATCAGAAAAAAAAATGCCCCATTGGTTTTTCTCCTAGAACTACCTCTTTTAAATATTAAAATGAAGATATTAATATTCAGGGGAGACATTTTATTTAAAATCTTAAGACTCATAGATCTATGCATACTTGGTGTACCTACTTGGTAAATTATAATTATATTAAGTTAAAATAAACTTAAAATGGTTGGTTTTTTCACTTTAGTTTAAGTTGACTAAAGAGTTAAAAAGCAGTCAAAAAGGGTAAAATTAACCAAAAATTACCAAATATTAACTTTTTTTAACCAACAGGTATATTAACCAAGAAGTTAAATTTACTTAACATAACGTTAAATTAACCATGATTTTTATTCCCCACTTATTACAAAATAACGTTAATTTAATGTTAATTTAACGTTATAGTACAATACAACTTAAGTAAATTAACCAGACAGAACGTAAATTTAACGTTAATTTAACCAGTTGTGCTACTTGGGTAGTATACAATTAGTGATTTGCAATTTTTTATGAGAAGTCTTAACATTATATCTACAACTAAAACTAAATAAGTGTAAAAAAGATAAAATGACGAATAAAAAAATTACTATCTAATCATTTAGTTTTTCATATATGCTATAGTATCACATTGATTGGAAGCACCTTTACAAGCCTTTAAACGACAACTCAAGTTCAATATATAAGCCAAAATTAATAAGGGTAAGTCCTAATATTTTCTTTACAGTAACCCACATAACACAATATGTTTTAAAAATGTTGTCAGGTCGTTTAGAGAACAATATTAATATATAAATATATAATATATAAATTTATAAATATAAGGTTCATGAAATGTTGTACAAACATTCAGGGGAAAATATTTTTATAACTGTTACGCGTAAATATATCTAAAACATTCATAAATATCATGTAAATATTTTTTAACATTTATTTCACAATGTTATGTAAATATTATATCCTAAATATTGTTGAGTTATTTAACAATATTTATAAACTTTTTGAAAAGTTAATTCAAAGTTTTGTGATGTCAGCGCCTCTCTATAAAAAGGTCTGTTGTCTGAGGCTCGGCCGCTAAAGTCACCAGTGACTGTGTCGGCTTTTATAATCTATGGTTCGGCCATTTTTGCTTTTTTGAGTGTGTTTTAAGTGTGACGCCCTAGAAAAACCTGTGTGCGACGCTAATAATAAATTATCCAGATTGAGGTATGTATTATATTTATATTTATTGTTTAGATTATTATTACTATTTATTAATGGCTTTGTTATCTATGAATGATAGTGTACTAAATCACCGCGGTACGGTACCGCGTTATTGCCACCCTATTGAAAACGATTATAATATATACATATATATATTCTATCAGTAAAATTCTTATTAACAAAAATTTTAAAACCAGACAACAATTGTATAAATTAAATTATTTTTAGCCTTCATCCGGAAGAATCCGAAAACAAATAATGCGACAGAAAACGAAATTTTACCAGAGTTGAGACAATTGTCTCCATTAATGGTTGGCCCAAGATAAATTTAGGAAAAAAAGTAAATAAGAAAAACCGATACTGAAGAAAGAATTTTTTTTGTGATTCTTTCCAAAGAATTTTTGTTTTGTTTATTTATATATTTGCTTATTTTATTTTTTTATTTAATATAATAATAATAATAATTTGTTTATTTATATCAATTATTGTTAAAATAAACTTTTTTTTAAATATTTTTTATTAACTATACTAAAATTTCTTGTATTTTTAGAGTGCAAAAAATATATCTCCAGCTATGGTATTTCACTGTTTTACTATATCGATATAGCAGATCTGCTATGAGAATACCACATCTACTTTTTGCACTCCAAAAAAGAAAAAACAGTACACAAAAAGTATCGGATGTCACACGGCTTTTATAAATGGGGCATTCCACGTTACTCGGTAATTTTTGTGAGTAAAAACCCCACGTTATTAAATTTATTTTAAAATATTTTTTATTATGCTTAAAATAATAATTTAATAACTTGTGGTTTTTACTCACAATTTTTAATTATGACGGGCGGGACAAAAATTACCGAGTAATGTGGAATGCCTCAAATATAAAAGAAACATTTTATCAACATTTACAACAACATTGTTAAAATAAAATTTATATATTTTATATTTAATATGCAATGAACTGTAAATATTTCAAAAATATTTTCAGATATTTTTGTGATGTTGAGAAAAAATTAATAAAATATAAGGTAATGTATATAAAACATTTACAAAAATGTTTTAAAAATGTTGTGGAAAAATATTGTATAAATATAAAAAGTGGGACATCTAAATGTTGTAAAAACATTTTAGAGACATTTAAATGAAAATGACTAATATTTCTAAAATATTTAGTCCATTTAGCAAAAATATTCATTTAATATTTTATATATATTAATAAAATAATTAGGTATTTTAAAGTTTTTTTATCTGGACTGCGGCAAAATTGCAAATTTAGGGTTTTGGTTGGTAAATACAGTTGTCAAGTTGGTCGCATTGATTAAAACAAACTAAGCTAGTTATAAATCCAATTGTGGTTATGTATAAATTATTGTAGGTTACATTGTGCAGTTGTCAAGTTGAGTAGTAGAAATTCGTAGTTAAAAATGCAATTAATTTGGCTTTGGTGGTGCTTGGATGAGTAAAATCATATAAAAAAAGTAGTTAAATATAGGTTGCTTTACGGCCCAGAAGAGAAAGTATTCCTAGCGGATAATAATCTTCGCTTTGAAAAGAATTTATATAAAAGAAATTAAAATTTTTTGTGAACGTAAATGTTGTCCAATGGTGAATAATGTGAAAATAATGTGTGATGTAATATTTATAAAACCAAATTCGTTACTTTTTTACTCCAAAAATGTCCATAATGCGATGTACTTTTTCTTTCATTGTGGCATTTGGCATAATTTCATCAAAATTAAGTTTTGCCCTCAAAAGGGCTTTAACATTCAAATTCGTTGCTATTATGTTTGGCATAATTATCTTTTTATTTATAATTGACAAGTAAATTATCAATAATAAATATTATTGTCAATTTGACAGTGTCAAAGTATTTCATTAAATTCTTTAGCAGAAGTACCATTTTTAAATACTAAAAATACTAAGTCAAACTGGCATAAACCACCAACCTAACAAAACCAGATAAAAAAAAATTAACTGTAAAAAAGGTAAAGTATACTTTATAAAGTATATCACCATTAACCTTGTATTAACTTATTTATTAAGTCGCAAGTTAACAACAAAACGCAAAAATAACAAAAAGAAAAGGTAGGTCTATTTGTAACACACAAAAAAATGAACATTTCTCCTGAATTTAAAAAACCAAAACACTGACAGTGACAGTGAAAAAATAAAATTAAGGTCATTTCACAATAATAATATAGGTATATTTTTTCTTAGACGTTAATTTCCATATTTATTGAAGGGGTTAGAGCTGAAACCACCCAAGTGCATTTTTAGGTCAAAATTTTTAACTACCTACTTACTAAAGAAAATTTTTATTTTAAGTTCAAGCCCCGCATTTTCCTTTTTCACCTGGCTTTTAATAAGCTAAGGCTGGCCCTGCGGCAGGTTTATTTAATTGCCATTTGGTAAATTTTTATTTAATTATATTAAAATTTTAACAAAATAAAGCTACAAATCCAATAAATTTCATTGAAATCGGACGAAATTTGTTCTTGTACAGCTAAACATTGATTTTATTTCTTAACCTTATTTGAAAGTATTATTGGTAGGTACACACATTATTATTATCACCCATAATATATTATTGGTAGGTACACACATTATTATTATCACCCAATGGGTGACACCCATAATATAACAAGTGGTATGATTATCATCTATGATATTTTCGAATTGAAACCGAGCTGCAGATTTTACGAGTCCGCAGGACGAGTGAAATGATCTGCTTCGGTTTCAATGAGTAAATATCATCGATAACACTATGTAACATATGATATTTGTTTATCTGGATTTTATTACACAAATCGTAGTAGGCCATGCCCCCGATTACGTAACATAAATTTGTTTTTTCAAACTGTCAAATTTTCAACGACAGCCGTCAGATCGTGTTGATGGCTTTGAGTGTCATTAGGGGACATCCATTAATTACGTGAGGCATTTTTCTGATAATTTAGACCCCTCCCTCCCCCTTGGTGAGATTTGGTGAGATGTGGTAGACCCCCCTATCCCTTACGTGAGATTCTAGCCATTAAACTTTCTTTGCGGACATGTAAAAAAAAATGAATATTTTTTTTAACAAAAATTGGATTATAATACATATTTTTTAAACTCAAAAGTTAACGTGAGATTTTAAATGAAAGGTTTTCTTGGTAACCACAAAAGAGAAAATTATACCTACTGACCTTGTCAAAGTTTTATTAGGAAGTTTTAAAGAAATGGGATGCCGCATGTCGTTGAAAGTACCTACACTGTTTGCATTCGTATCTTGACTTTTTCCGTGAAAATCTGGGAGATGTCAGCGAAGAACATGAAGAAAGATTCCATCAAGATATTCGGGCAATGTAAAAGTGATAACAAGGAAGGTGGGATGCGCAGGCCCGTTCCTGGGGTGTCTGGCGCCTACGTGCAGCATTCTTTGGTGCGCCCCTTTTATATTTAAATATAATACACTAAATATTTTAATTTTAAGCCCTAAAATTTCAAAAATATATATTTTGCAACAAACTGGCAAAATGTAATTGAACATGTAAAAAAACTGCTGAAATTAAGTATAAAAAATATTTATTAAATTACCAAACAAACAAAATCACGAAAAATAGTTAGTAATAAAAAATACTCTAAAGAAAACAAAATTTAAAAAAAATTACAACTGGTTTTTAGTGACGTACTCTCTAAAAATGAATTAGTCAAAAATTAACTAGTTTTTAAAGTGAAAGAGCATGACTGCAGTCACTAATAACTGTAGTCCACAGCAATTTGTATTCTGGACATTTAACAGCTTATTATTATGTAAAATTGTCCACTGAATCCGAAAAGATCGTCAAAAAATATGAAAGTAGAGCAGTTTTTGAGATATCTTATATTCCATATTATATGAAAAATTGAGTATATCTCAAAAACTTTTCTATGTACTTTTATAACTTTTGACGACATTTTCGGATTCAGACAATTTTACATATGAGTTGACTGCTAAATGTCCGGGATACAAATTGCTTTTGACTAATTCATTTTTAGAGAGTACCTATAGGTACTATATATAGTTACAAAGTCGTGCACTGTATAGACTACTGTTAAACTTTGCTACCGTCAACTGCAACTATCAAACAAATACTAAAAATAATATGACAATTTCTTTCCTTTTATTTTGATTCTTATATCGAGAACAAAAAAATAAGTCGCTAATATTAACGCCTTTTGCCGCTTTAATATTATAATATTAAAGCGGCAAAAGGCGCTTTATAGCGGCCGAAAAAAATAGCGGCAACCTTTATCCTATGTATGTTTAAGTATTAGTTTATTTGCAAGAAAGTTTATCGTTACAAAGTACCGATTGACTTTGATTTTGCGCCCCCAAAATGTTGCGCCTGCGTGCGTGCACTCACTGCACGCTCTCCAGAAACGGCCCTGGGGATGCGACAATGATGGGTGACTATGTTTGGAATCTACTTCGGGAAGAAAATGCATCATATAAAAGAAAAAGTCGTATTAAAATTCATTTTTAAGCCAAGATTTAAAATCTATGTTAAAAAAATATTTTTATAGATTTTATGTTTAAATAATAATTCTAAGTTGAATTTCTTGTCAATATTTTTTTTTTTTTTTTTGATAAAACTGGGTTTAATTATATTATATAAATACCCCTTAAAAAAGAAAAACTTATCACTACATTTTTTAAATTAAGTTAAAATAGTTTTTTGACACACAAATATTGATAATTTAACAAAAAAATCCAATAAACAAAACAAAAATCAAATTTTGTTACATAGTGTAATTAATCATACCACGAGTTATATTTAGTGAGAAAATATAATGAATTTTGGGATTTAACCAAATGTCAGTTTGACATTTCAATTAAAATGTGCTTTAAAATATAAAAAGACTTTAATAAACCTTATTTATTCAAACTTACCTTAATTTTATTATCGTTTACACCAACCCATCGATCTTTTAGAGTTTATATTTCATTATTTTAATCATTTAACAAACAAAGTATTTAAATGTCAACAAAAGTCAAATCAAGAGAAGTGTCAAAATCCTTAGCAACGTGTAAACAAGGTGATAAAAAATATTGTCGCTGTGATAAAATGGGTAACCATGGAATACTGGCATTTTATTGGTTCGAATTATAATGAATTGTATTGTCATTTATATAATAAAATCTATTAATAATAATAATGATAATTAATAAGGACTTTGGCGACCCTAGCGCCACCTTTCGGCGATGACTTTTACTAAAAAAATGCCAAATGCATTTTTAAGAAAAGACGTTACAAAATTAATTATGCATGTTTAATTGTATTTGTTTTAAGTGTATTAAATTTTTATTTAAACGTTTAGTATGATTTAAAACCTACATAACAAAATTCTTGACATTTTATTTAATAAATACACAAGTAAAGTAAAATTTACACCTTAAAAAGTTTAAACTTCTTAAAATACTTCTGCACCTCATCTTTGGGATACGGCTTGGCTACCAAACAAGTTGGAATATTCTCAGGCTGCTCGATCCACAATTTATGCTTGACATCACCCTCTTCAAGCTTGCATTTCAAATCTTTTATACTCTTCTCATCGGGAGCTGATAATACAACTTTATGCATGTTGTCGAGATCTTTTAAATACTCCTGCGTATGTTCGTCGTCGTGATAAAGATGCGTTACGGCTGTTACAGCATGGCAGGCCTGCGCTAAAACTGCCCCTACTGGCCAGTTTAACTCTTTCAGTAAATCACTTCGTACCACTACATACTGCACTATTCCAGTCATTTTCATCGGTAAATGTGGTCGATTTATTGGTGTTTTGCCTTTTTATCACTTTGTTTGCATTGGAGTGTGTTTTAAGCGTTGTTTAATTGAATGTGAATAAAGTACACAAGTTTGGTTATGAAACATAACCTAGCTTTTGTGTTTTGAAAATTAGTTGCGTTATATGAATATAGATGGCGTTATGTGTCTTCTGTGATAATATAATTAATAAAATAAAACTTTTAGCTTTATGTAATTCTTTTTCACTTCACCACTTTTAATAATAATTATTATTATTGTACGTTTAATGGTATCATGTAACAAATAAAATCGGCCTTCAAACAATTTATCGCCCTAAAAAATCATTTTTAAGTAACTACAAAAAAATATATTTTTTTGATTTTTTTGTAAATATAATATGGCTTGTTTTTTTCATAAAACATCATTTAAATTTGGACGTTTAAAAGTTTAAAAAGGAAAAAAAGTATTAAAACAATGAAAATGGCAAAAATGTATAAATTTGGCAAACTGCTAAATGGTGCAAGATTCTGGGATTTTTTGGAAATTTGGCAACAACGTTGCCAGATGGCAATTTGAAGGTATCCTGAAGATTTTAAAAAATTCCCAAGCTCTGGGATTTTTTTAGAAATCTTGCAACACCGCAAAAAAAACAAAAAAAAATGTGAGATAAAAACCAACAAGAAAATAGTACATACAAATTTAGCAACGCCGCTAAATAGTGCTGAAGGTATCCTAAAAATTTGGCAACACCGCAAAACAGATTTAGAAAATTTTCGAAATTTGGCAACTTCGCAAAAAATTCCCAGGTTCTGAGAGTTTAAAGAATAAGAAAAAAAGTAAAAAAAAACAAAAATTTACTCTCTTGTTCATAAACTATCTTTATGCAAAAAATCGCGTCGATATTGGAAAAAAAAATAAAAAAGACAAAAGAAAGTATCAAAATAATAAAAAAACAAAAAAATAAATAAATTTGTCAAACTGCCAAATAGTGCAAGTTTCTGGGATTTTTTGGAAATTTGGCAACAATGTTAGAAAGTGCAAGAGAACTATTTGAAGGTATCCTGAAGATTTTGAAAAATTCCCAAGTTCTGGGATTTAGAAATCTGGCAACACCGCAAATACAAAGAAAATCTGGGATACTGAAAATGTTTGGCAACGTCGCCAGATATTCCTAGGTTCTATGAATTTTTGTAAAAAAAAGACAAAAAGAAGTACAAAAAAACAAAAAGCAAAAAATAGTAGGGTATATAATTTTTTTGGAAAATTTCCAAGCTCTGGGATTTTTTAAGAAACCTGACAACACCGCAAAAACAGATTTTAAAAATTTCAAAGTTTAGCAAGGTCGTACATATTGTTTGGGCTGACAATAATAATCTTTAATAATCTTTATTTCATTGATAAAATAACTGAAAATTAAAAAAAAATAGCACATTAGAATTTTTTCGCTTTAAGAAGCTATTTTCTTTAGAAAATATTATTTTCACTGTTACATGTAATCGTTTAAATAATAACAATCATGTTGTTTTTTTATTGGAAATTGTTAATTAGTTATATAACACACAAAAATCAAATTATCATCCATAAAAAAATAAATCTATAGAGGAAAAAACAAGAATTTCGTTTTGATTTCAACTTTAACCTTGAATAACTTTTGACTGAGTGAATTTAGCCAAAAATGTTAAGAGGCTTCTTTTGTAAAGCATTTGATTTCCCATAAGAATATTTATCGATTTTTTATTGGTACTGATTTTTACATGAATTACAAAATTCCAAAGTTAAAAGATCAAAATGTAAAACTATACCAATTTTTAAGGCATGATTTTAAGGAAACGGTTCATCTGACGGAAAATTTTAGTCTACAAATACTAACTTATACATCTGGTCCATCACACTTAATTAATTCCTAAATTCGCAATTCATTGTCAAAATGTAACTGTTTTAAAATGTGTAAAATGTTTTGTTTCTACACTTTTATAATCTATGCACTTTTATTTGTGATATTTGTTACTATCTTTATGTCAATAATACTATACTTACTTATTTTGAACCCTACAACTAAACTTATTCTTATTCATTCCCCTATTTTGAAAAGAAAAACTAGAGGCATGAAAGGCTAAACAGTCCCAGGGCCTGTTTTGGCCATCGGCAGTCTAGTCAGGATGTAAAACCTCAAGATGCGTTTAAAATTTAAATATTTTTGCGATGATATTTATTTCTAGTTGCACAATAAAAATAATGTGTTATGAATATGGATATGGCGATACATAACATTAAATTTTATCTGGGTTTAGAGAAATAACGTAAATGAATATTTTACAAAACAATTTCATGTCATTCCTTGGGTTGGTGTGGTAGACATCATAAAAAGGATGTACGTTAATAATAAAATTTGATAAGATAGTAGGTAATTGATAAGAAGAAAAGCCGTGTGTTAAAGTTAAGTAACTATTTTTCTGTTGCAGATAAGAGATGAAGGGACCCATCATTTTTTTTATTTTCGTATTTGCGGCAACAATTGTGTTTGTACTGCTAAAAACGGGCAGTAGTAACTTGCACAAACGTTTGTTCTTGTATGTGAATAACACTGAAACAACAAACGTTGAAGTTACAGAGAGACCTAATGCAACAAACCGAACTCATTTTGTGAAGGAAAAAAACACAAAGTACATATTATATTGGTCCATGCACTTCGATAGAAAGGACTTTTATTTCGGCCTAGGAAGAGTTTTTAATCACTGCCCTATCTACAACTGCTACTCTGTTTATGATAAAAATGTCATGCCTGAAGAAGAATATGACGCCTTGTTGTTCCACGCCAGGAATTTCGAAAGAAACAACGTAGCCCCACCAAAAAAACGATTACCAAGTCAGTATTATGTATACTCCAATACCGAGTCACCTCTACATACCGGCACAGAACGTTTCAAGAACTTCTACAACTGGACCATGACCTACCGACTGGATTCAGATTTGTTGAGGAACTACGGGTTTGTGGTGAAGTTACAAGTGCCCTATACGCCCCCTACGCTTACTAGTATCGCAAAAAAACCCGGGAAAATAGCTTGGTTCGCTTCAAACTGCCACACACCCAGCAAACGCGAGGTGTTGGTGAAAGAACTGCAGAAATACATTCCGGTGGACGTTTACGGTGGTTGCGGGCCTAATAAGTGCGGTATATCGTGGTCGTACAGCACCACCTCCAAAGAAATTATGTGCTACCGCATGCTGGAGAGGAAATACAAGTTCTATCTATCGTTCGAAAACTCCATTTGCAACGACTATGTGACGGAAAAGCTCTTCAACGTTCTAAAACTAAACGTGCTCCCCATTGTCTACGGTGGGGCCAACTACACGACATTCGCTCCCCCAAAATCCGTGATAAACGTCGCCGATTTCAACTCTGTCAAAGATTTGGCCGACCACATCAATTTCCTGGATGCAAACTCTAAAGAGTATTTAAAGTATTTCGAGTGGAAGAAGGATTATGTGGTGGACAATAAGGGAAATGATGTGATGTGCGATTTGTGCGCGAAATTAAACGACCCAAGTGAGAAAAGGACGCTCTACGACGATGTCACCCATTGGTATAAGCAGGGCAACGATCAACGACAGTGTAGGATAGCGGGGGAACTACCCAAAATAGTCACTAGTATATTATAACTTTATATTTTTTTAATTCGTAATAAATATTTATTACAACAATAGTGAGTGCCTTCAAGTCAACACCCCAAGTAATCGCAAAACAAGTTTTTCAAGTAATCCATGCCAGACATGCAGTGGCAGTACTGTTTGAGGTCCTTCCCGTCCACGCAGTAACTTTGGGGCGCGTATTTGTTCAATCTGCCCGCCTCCCCCACCAACCTCACCGCGCCGTTGCTTATTTCCAGAGTGGCTTCGAACATGGCCTCCGGAACGGTCTCTATGAGCAGCAAAACGTAGTGTACGTTCTCGTTGTTTTTGACGAAAGTTTCCGACATGCCGGCCGAGTAGACCCTGTTCAACTTGTACAAATTGCATAACAGGGTGGTGGGGTACGACGCTTTTATTATGTCGTTGATGCCGGTTAAAACGAAGTTGGAGAAATTCCGCACGAGGTCCTGTTTCGGGTCTATGGGGGAATAGCCTGTGCATGTGCACATGTGGGGTTCTACGGCCGCCTCATCGCACGTTCTGTGCTCCGGAATTTCCTGGAACAGACTGTAGCATTTCGGGCAGGCCTCGCTTTTCACCGCGTTATAATTTTCGTCGCCAATTTCGAGAATGTTTTGTAGAGTCAAGTAGACGTCGTAAGGGTTCGTAAGCTTCTGGGTGTTGGATAATAAATTACTATATTCTTTGGCAAACATTCCCTTAAATCTATCAGGCACTTTGATAAAGATAAACGGCATTCTTTCCTCCAACCACCCTGTATAAGTGAAGCGAATATCGCCGAATCTAAATCCGTGATCGCTGAAGAATACCACAAAAGTATCTTCAATGCTTTCAATAAAGTCTTTATCGGTGAAAAAATCCAAAACTTTTTCATCCATGGTACCCGGCAGATTTATATCGTCGTGACTGAAACTGTTCATCCAAAACAGGCCGAAATATTTGTTAATTTTGTAGGTCGTGGAAAAATCTTTGGCTGCGTTCATGATCCTTTCCCCGGTATTTTCCGGACCGGTGCAGTAATCCATGTTAAGGTAATCTTTAATCCCCAATTTTTCCGCGCCTAAAATGTAATGACGTCCGTAAAAATCTGTAGGGGCCTCGTAAAAACCCAGAGAATAGTAGTTAAAAGTGCTTATTGTCGATTCGTCCTCCACATAACCAGTGATGTAGTTTTGGGATTTAAAGTTTTTCCAGATAAAACTGCAATTGTCTAATTTTCTGTCGTTCCAATGACACGTCTCCTGTATTTGTTTTTTAGTTTTTCCAGACAGCATTCCTTAAACAATACAAATAGTTTAAACAAGTTTACATTCTTTTAGGTGTGGTATTTGGTTTAAAAATAATGCAATCGTAAAACACAAATACCAGCAATAAACACAAAAAATATCACCTCCAAGATTCGGTAGAGTATTAGATCCAACTTTGTTGTATCCCTTTAAACTTAAATAGTTTTCATTGACGTATTTGTACGTTTTGGGCATTGTTCTCATAAGAGCTGGTCTCGATACTGTATCGATTCCAACCAATAAAACACTAAATTTCGATTCATTAATCACATCGGGCGGATTTTTAGGCAACGCTACCATATGCACGTTTTTGTATACTTCTTTTTTCCGCGAATCCTTGCAAACCACTTTTATTGTGTCAGAGTGTATTTTTATTTTGTTTTCAAAGAATATGCATGAGGAATATCTGAAAATAAAGATTTTAGATGGGAATTTATTTTATTTAATATACCTTATGTCATTTTCTTTTGAATTATTTACTACTCTTGATATATTCATCATACAACAATCAATATTTTTTCCGTATAAACTTTTAAAATTTTCTTTTATTTTAAGAAAGGCCCCTTGGTTATTTTTTTCTACATAACTCAAAACGGGTAAATCCTGATTACATTTCATGGGTTCCAATTTAAAAACATATTTTTTGATTTCCTTAGTTATGGGATCTAAACTGGGAATTTTACAAGTCGATGTGTTTATCAGATATTTGGTTTTAAAAGTCGGAAAATTATCTGAAAAAAGAGGAAATAAGTGGAATGTTTGGTTTTAGAGTAACTTACATTTTTTGTAATAAATATTCTGGTCGTTCGAATTATCGGATAAATAATATATGATGAATACCATAATAGAGGCAAAGAACAAAAAATAAATAAGTTTAGACATTCCAAAATCCTGAAATAAAGTTTTTGTATTTTACCAAAGTTAGTTGTATAAAACTTTAATCAAAGTGACGTTTCTTAAATTAAAAAAAAAATAAAAACACCAAAAGGTCTATTTAGTAGTCTATAAGTAAGCCAAATGTGTTAAAGTCTCACTTGGATTATAAAATGTAAGTTTTTTGTTAATATTTTGATATATTTTTGACGTTTTTTGTCAAATATACATTGTTCCATTGTAGCCGTATACTATGGTAGTATTATAAGGGATATTTAATAAAGCACGTTTCTGCAGAGAAGTACTTTATTAAATACCAAAACTAAAATTATTTTTTTTTGGTAAAAAGTATCATTTCTTAAAATATTTGTGTCGTTTTTTTTAATTACTAATTAAAATGAAAAAGCAACAAAGTAAATGGGTTTCGGTATAAGCATTACTCTTCGACTATTATTTGATATGTTTTTATACACATCATGCCTAAAGTACCCAAAAATTTAATCTCAAATCTTATTTATTAAGTCTTACCAAAATTTAATATCGAATTGAAGTATAAAGGCGCCTTTATCTACTTTATCGTTCAAGCACACTAAAGTGCATCTATTAATTATTGTCATTTAAAATTTAAACTTTAAATAGTATTTTTACTTGAAAGTGATTTTAAGTACCAAAAATGAAAAAAGAGCAGGAAATGGAAGTGGAAATGGAAGTGATAGAGAAAGAGAAAGAAGACGAACATTTATGTCGTCGTTGTAAATTTGTTTTGTTTTTGTTGCGGTACCTTTACGCCCAAGAAAAACCAACGCAATATTTCATTACAAAATTTTATGAGATATACCTACTACTTTAATTTTGCAGGAATATTAAATGGATCTGGTATACGACGTTTAATGAAAGATCAAGCATTCTAAAATGCTCTCAAAGTTGACGAGCTTGTCGCATATGGCAGTGTTAAAGCTGTCATTGAAACTGTTCTTGGTTCATATCGGGCCTAAAATTGGCGCCAATACATTTTCTTTTTTTTTCTTCCTGATAAATTTGCCGAACTGATGAACATGGAGAACGATTTCACCAAGTAATTGCAAATCTAGACCATTGGTAGATATCTATGGGTATAGCGGAAAGAAGTTGGATTCATTGCTAGGAGACATTTGCTGGAATTTGCAGCAAAAGATGTACGACAATGATGAGGATTAAGCACAATAATACTATAATCCGATTTGATATTTGATACGATTTAATAAATTTAAGGTAGAAAAAAGCAAAATTATGGAGTACATAATGTAAAGTTTGTAAAACTATCATAGTGTAATTTATTAAGTCATATTTCTTTAACTTCGATGAAATAAAATTTTGTCCAGGGGAATGGGCGATTTTCGCCACGGTGATTCAGGAAACGATTGGTTCTGAAAGTTGAAACTCGATTTGGTGCGGCAGTCTTAGGAGGGACACTGCGCAAATTTTCGCGAGGTTTTTCTCTATTTCATTATGATCGTTTTATTCGAATGAAACGCTTACCAGGCAAATGCACAGCCAAATCAAAATAAAGCATGTTACAGTTTAAACATTTGGTTTTTAAAACGTTCGCATCAAACTTTTCGGTAAGCAAATTATTTTTATGTGATTAGTATACTAATTATAAGTAATTTTTGGCGTTGATATAAGTAAGTTTATATTTAAATTTGTTTGGAGTTAACAAATAATTAGATTTTTTTAATAACATAATTTTGTAATAAAATATTTAAACAAACACCTATACAAAAAAAAATAATTAAAATTAATAAAATACAAACAGTATATGCTCATTTTGAAAAAGAATGTACTTGGTATACTAATTTTACTCAGAATTTTAGGTAAAATTAAAAAATATGGGTGAATGTATTGAGATGTCCCCCAAGTGAAAATGATTATTTTTTATTTTTGGTTGTTTGACTGTTAGTCTCAAATGGGGTTTTTGGGAGGCCACCAGGTCTAGTAATAACATAACATAAGTGGTTCTGCACTAATGCAAGAATTTTAAGAAATCATACATTTTGAATATTAGAGCTTAACGGAGGTTAGAATTCCATATGGTTTTTTAAAACATCCCTTTGCATATTTGAAATAAGTTATTGTATCTTTTGACACCTTAATATTTTTTTAATATACAATTGTACATTCATAAAATATTTATCAAAAAAGTCTACTTACTGAGATATTACACTTCACGGTGGATAGGTTTTTAAATAGCAAATTAATGAACTTAAACTTTTAAATTATAAAACAGCAACACTATCATCTGCATATAAATTCTATCTGACCTTCAGGAATCACATGCATCTATAATGTCGTAAACAGAGGTTTTTGCTTATTTAAAATGATTAAAGCGCCATCCGTTGCATAAAATTTAAAGCAAAAACAGATTCACGGAGGATAGAATCAATTATTGTAACACCTACATAAATGGTTATAAAAATTAATTCTTTTAATTTTTAATAATATTTTATATTTGATTCGATTGCTTTGGATGTGTTTAATTTACTTAGTAAACTGATATTTTTAGTATGCTTTTACTACCTCAGATATTTGAAAACATATAGGTTAACCTAGAAAGAGTAACCGTCACGGAGGATAGGTTTTTTGACTTTTAAACAACACTGTAAAAAATAATTAATCGCGGTTAAAAATCTGGAACCTGAGCTGTAATATCTACTTAATTATGAAAGATCAAAACACAATAAAAGTGTAGGTCAAACTTATTTAGTTTTATTAAATATCATCGGGGGACATTTCGTGAGATTCACCCATTTATAACTTTTATTTATTTTATCTAACATGAGCTTTCTAAGAAATGGTACTAACGACTCTTTATCTTGAAAGGTTTTTAGTATTTATTAATATTTTGTAAACTTTTTCCAATTTTTAAATACTATTTTAATATGCTTTTAATAACGCAACTCTTCTCTAATTTAAAAGACCCCTAATTCAAATAAAAAAGATACCCATAATTTTTTGGGCATTTCAACAAAAAAAAAATATTATTTTATTTGAAAGTAGTACTTATGAAGTACTTATAAATTTAATTGAATGTTCTTGTTGTTTTATCATCTTTATTGATTTTCCCGTTTTTGTTTGTCGCCACTAAGTCTGAAGATTGTGTTTGAAGTATAAATATATGTATATAAGTATTTTACCGAAGTTTTTTGTTATTACTAATAATAATAATTATTTTTTTTAATACATACATATGCCTTATTAAAACAAAACAAAAATATATATCTATACATTAATCACTTTTTAATACACAATTTTTTCTTTACTAAAATTTTATGTCCTATTTTTAATTAGGGTTTTGAATATGTAATAGAAACTGACCGCACTGCACATGATACGTAAATAGATTTAGGTAAATACGATCAAAATAGATTCATATGTTAAAGTTACATTAAATTCTTATTTACTGTTTAAAAATTGATTTTAAAGAACATATCCTTAAAAAAGAGAGTTGGAAATAAAAAACACTTTATCTGAACCAATTTTGTTACAAAATAATAACATACGGGTGAATCTCATGAAATGGTGTTACCCCGTGATATTTAATAAAACTAAATGAGTTTGACCTACACTTTTATTGTGTTTTGATCTTTTATAATTAATTAGATATTACAGTTCAGGTTCCAGATTTTTAACCGCAATTAATTATTTTTTACAATGTTTTAAAAGTCTAAAACCTATCCTCCGTGACTGTTACTCTTTCTAGGTTAACCTTTATCTTTTCAAATATCTGAGGTAGTAAAAGCATACTTAAAATATCAGTTCACTAAGTAAATTAAACCCATCCAAAGCAATCGAATCAAATATAAAATATTATTAAAAATTGAAAGAAATAATTTTTATAACCATTTATGTAGGTGTTACAAAAATTGATTCTATCCTCCGTGAATCTGTTTTTGCTTTAAATTTTATGCAACGGATGCCGCTTTAATCATTTTAAATAAGCAAAAACCTCTGTTTACGACATTATAGATGCATGTGATTCCTGAAGGTCAGTTAGAATTTATATGCAGATGAGAGTGTTGCTGTTTTATAATTCAAAAGTTTGAGTTCATTAATTTTCTATTTAAAAACCTATCCACCGTGAAGTGTAATATCTCAGTGAGTAGATTTTTTTTATAAATATTTTATGTATGTATAATTGTATTTTTAAAAAATATTAAGGTGTCAAAAGATACAATACTTATTTCAAATATACAAAGGGATGTTTTAGAAAAACATACTAAATCCTAACCTCCGTGAAGTTATCTTCCGAGAAGCTCTAATATTCAAAATGTATGATTTCTTAAAATTCTTGCATTAGTGCAGAACCTTGAGGGACATTTTAATATATTCACGGGTTTATTTTGACATTATTTTTCTTTTTAGAATTTTGGAAAAAGGCAAACGATTTTTTTCGCATTCTTGACATCGCTAGTGGTATTTACTGTATACAACCTATCTGACACTTCCAATTCGTCAAACCTATATTATAAAAAATGTATGTAAGTAAATTTATATTTTTAACGTTTATTTTTATCTGACTTACTTACCTACAAATATTTCAGATAATTTTCCTTACACCTTAAAACACAAATATATCGTAAACACCTCAACATGTAAGGTTCCTAGTTTGGATCCAGTTAGCGAGGAAATTAAAAAATATGTGTTCAGCTTAAAACCTATGAAATGTAATGGTCACCCAATTTTGACTTTTGTAGAAAAAAATAATGATGGAGCGTTTTTAAATATAGACGAAAAATATGCCAAATTATATGGAAAAAACTTGGACTGTTGCGTCATGAACATAACAAGAATTATAAGCTACTCTCCTGAAAATGATATAAGGTATACAAGGTGTCACCAAATAATAAGAAAGTTTTTTTTAATAAAAACAAATTCCAGGTATTCTTCCTGCATATACTTTGAAAACAAAATAAAAATTCACTCGGACACAATAAAAGTGGTTTGCAAGGATTCGCGGAAAAACGAAGTATACAAAAACGTGCATATGGTAGCGTTGCCTAAAAATCCGCCCGATGTGATTAATGAATCGAAATTCAGTGTTTTATTGGTTGGAATCGATACAGTATCGAGACCAGCTCTTATGAGAACAATGCCCAAAACGTACAAATACGTCAATGAAAACTATTTAAGTTTAAAGGGATACAACAAAGTTGGATATAATACTCTACCGAATCTCGGAGGTGATATTTTTTGTGTTTATTGCTGGTATTCGTGTTTTGATTGCATTATTTTGAAATCAAATACCACACCTAAAAAAATGTAAACATGTTTAAACTATTTGTATTGTTTTAGGTATGCTGTCTGGAAAAACTAAAAAACAAATACAGGAAACGTGTCGTTGGAACGACAGGAAATTGGACAACTGCAGTTTTATCTGGAAAAACTTTAAGTCACAAAACTACATCACTGGTTATGTGGAAGACCAATCGGGAATAAGCACGTTTAACCTGGAGACTCCGGGTTTTTACGAGGCCCCTACAGATTTTTACGGACGTCAATACATACTAGGTGCGGAGCGATTGGGGGTTAAATATTACCACGGCATGGATTACTGCACCGGTCCGGAAAATACCGGGGAAAGGATCATGAAAGCAGCCAAAGATTTTTCCACGACCTACAAAATTAACAAATATTTCGGCCTATTTTGGATGAACAGTTTCAGTCACGACGATATAAACCTGCCTGGTACCATGGATGAAAAAGTTTTGGATTTTTTCACCGATAAAGACTTTATTGAAAGCATTGAAGATACTTTTGTGGTATTCTTCAGCGATCACGGATTTAGATTCGGCGATATTCGCTTCACTTATACAGGGTGGTTGGAGGAAAGAATGCCGTTTATTTTTATCAAAGTACCTGATAGATTTAAGGAAATGTTCGCCAAAGAATATAGTAATTTATTATCCAACACCCAGAAGCTTACGAACCCTTACGACGTCTACTTGACTCTACAAAACATTCTCGAAATTGGCGACGGAAATTATAGCGCGGTAAAAAGCGAGGCCTGCCCGAAATGCTACAGTCTATTCCAGGAAATTCCGGAGCACAGAACGTGCGATGAGGCGGCCGTAGAACCCCACATGTGCACATGCACAGGCTATTCCCCCATAGACCCAAAACAGGACCTGGTGCGGAATTTCTCCAATTTCGTTTTGACCGGCATAAACGACATAATAAAAGCGTCGTACCCCATCACCCTAATATGCAATTTGTACAAGTTGAACAGGGTCTACTCGGCCGGCATGTCGGAAACTTTCGTCAAAAACAACGAGAACGTACACTACGTTTTGCTGCTCATAGAGACCGTTCCTGAGGCCATGTTCGAAGCCACTCTGGAAATAAGCAACGGCGCGGTGAGGTTGGTGGGGGAGGCGGGCAGATTGAACAAATACGCGCCCCAAAGTTACTGCGTGGACGGGAAGGACCTCAAACAGTACTGCCACTGCATGTCTGGCATGGATTACTTGAAAAACTTGTTTTGCGATTATTTGGGGTGTTGACTTGAAGGCATTCACTATTTTTGTAATAAATATTTATTATGAATTAAAAAAATATAAAGTTATAATAAACTAGTGACTATTTTGGGTAGTTCCCCCGCTATCCTACACTGTCGTTGATCGTTGCCCTGCTTATACCAATGGGTGACATCATCGTAGAGCGTCCTTTTCTCACTTGGGTCGTTTAATTTCGCGCACAAATCGCACATTACATCATTTCCCTTATTGTCCACCAAATAATCCTTCTTCCACTCGAAATACTTCAAATACTCTGTAGAGTTTGCATCCAGGAAATTGATGTGGTCGGCCAAATCTTTGACAGAGTTGAAATCGGCGACGTTTATCACCGATTTTGGGGGGGCGAATGTCGTGTAGTTGGCCCCACCGTAGACGTTTAGTTTTAGAACGTTAAAGAGCTTTTCCGTCACATAGTCATTGCAAATGGAGTTCTCGAACGATAGATTGCTTCTCTAGCAGGCGATAACACATAATCTCTTTGGAATTTTATTTAGGAATTTAGGAGGTTTTTTTGGAGAATTTTATGTAATTATGAATTTAAATAAAAGCAACTCTAGACTGTACTTAAAAAATAAGAAAAAAATCAATAATTCTTTTTAACAAAAAATTACTACTTTTGTAGGTACATATCTGAGGTGTATATACAAAAGTAGAAATTTCACCACACTTTTAATTTTATTTTAAAAAAACGCGTGGATAGATATGACCAAAAAACTAGGTCAAAGTAAAAAAAATTTAACTCTAAAACGCCTTTACCAATCTTTATAAAATTTTGGATAAAAATTCTTTAACTTATATCTCAGTTTACGTGTTTAAGGGTGTTTCGAAAAAATATCCTTAAAGCCCTTTTATTTAATAATAAAAAACGCTCGAAAAAAACTGTTACAGGGATTTTTTTTAAGTAAATAAAAAATATGCTGTGAAATACCGTATTTTTGTAAGTATACTATGGCACGCCGTTTTAGCATTTATTAGATAAAAGGTTAAAGATTAAAGTTTAGCACTTAAATTATGTTTTAACAGATAAAGTTATATTTTTTAAACTCAAAACAATTGATAGTCAAAAATATTTTAAATATAAAATGCAACAGTAAAAATGTATGTTTAAAAATATTGATTTTTAAAAGTTTTGGTTCTAATATTTTATTCTACAAAATTATTGGTTTAAATTTATAAAAAATCATTTAAATGATAGTTGATAAACGTTTAATACAAAATTCTCACATTACATTAAATGTAAGTTTTAAATTTTAAAGTAGTAATTTTTGGATTAAAAATTTATCGACTATCATTTAAATGACTCTTTACAAATTTAAACCAAATTTTTTTATTTTTAACAATTTTAAAGTGATATATTTTTAAGACAAAATTCATAACTTTACATTTAAATGTAAGTCGATATTTTTTAAATTGTAAACGCAGCTTTAGTAGGCACAAGAGTCTGGGATCGGAGCCACGATGACATTTTTAATTGTCGAATTAACTTAGTACAATAGGCGCCAAAAATGTTGTTGTTTTATTATTCTAATTTATGTAATAAAGAAACATTTCTTTACGATAATTTGTAAAACCCGTCAAATATTTATGGAGACAGCACGATTTGGCAACACTGTGCCTTCTACTAAAGCTACGTTTACACTTTGTAATTTAAAAATTATCGCCTTTCATTTAAATGTAAAGTTATAAATTTTGTCTTAAAAATATATCAATTTAAAATTGTTAAAAAGAAAAGTTATTGGTTTAAATTTGTAAAGAGTCATTTAAATGATAGTCGATAAATTTTTAATGCAAAAATTACCACTTTAAAATTTAAAACTAACATTTAAATGTAATGTTCAAATTTTTGTATTAAAAATTTATCGACTATCATTTAAATGACTCTTTATAAATTCAAACCAATAATTTTGAAAAATAAAATATTAAAATTCCATTTTTTTAAAAATTAATATTTTTAAACTTTTACAGATGCATTTTATATTTAAAATATTTTTTGATTATCAATAGTTTTGAGTTTCCAAAAATTTAACTTTTTAAACTATTTTGGTAAAAAATGTTTTATACGTGTTTTTATTTTAAATGGCTTGATACTATTTTTAAATACTAAAAAATTTAACTTTACCAAATTAATCTCAATAATTTTACAAAATGCCACCCAAATAAATTATACTTGAGAAATTATTTTTATTTAAAAAATGATAGAAATTTTTGCAAAAATTGATAGAAAATAATATTGTTTAATACAGAAGTGAACTGTTGGTTAGTAAATTTTGTCTTTCAATACATGAGTTGAAAATATTATAAATTTATAAATTTAAACCTAACATTTTAAACCAATAAAATTTAAAATTAAAAAATTATTTAATAAATGTTAAAACGGCGTACCATAGAATACCCTAAAAATGTTGTACAAATCAAACGAACAGTAACGAAAATACAATGCTTCAAAGTCGTCAAAAATAATCAAAAAAATATACCTTGAAATATTTTACACAAAATTTTATAAAGATTGGTAAAGGCGTTTTAGAGTTGAATGTTTTTTACTTATTATGCGTTTATTTTGTCGCGCAGTGTACAGAGTTGCGAGATTTGTACTTAAAAAGTATTGCCATTAGAATATTTAAGTTACTTAAGAATGGAGAAAATAAAAATTATCAATACATTGTATTTTTTACTCTAAATTGATTTAAAGTAAAAATACAAAAATAATTTGTACTTAAAAAGTATTGCCATTAGAATATTTAAGTACTTGAGAATGGAGAAAATAAAAATTATCAATACATTGTATTTTTTACTCTAAATTGATTTAAAGTAAAAATACAAAAATAATTGTACTTATTAATTTGAATAAATAATATTTTTTCGTACTTCGTAATGCAAAAAGTTTAAAGTCAAAGTAAAAAATTGATTGTACTTAAAATATAAATGAAAATACAAGTACGAAGTATTTTTTAACGGGACCGACTGAAAATAAAAAACAAAATCTAATTAATAATTATAAATACTATACTATAAAAAATTAGTGTAATTTTTCAATATATAAATTAAAATTGAGTTAGCTAAGGAAATTTAGTGTCTTAAGCCGGTTTTCCACCAAACGGACAGTTGAGTTTGGGTTTTGTTTGTGTTTTTAAAAACTTGCAAATCAAAAACAAAACTGAAACAAACCCGAAACTCTTGTTTCCATCAAGCAAACTAAGTTTTGTTCGAGTTTTGTTTTTGTTTTCGGTCCTTTTCCACTAGTTGTCGTGATTATGTCAGAACACACTTTTTCAGTATCAACCAACATGTTTAGAGAAAAAGATTTTCTTATTCTTAGTTGTGGCTGGTTTATACTGCCGTGTTTTATATACTATTTTTTTTCAAGCTCTAAATATCGATATTTTTTTGAAATTTTGTAACCTCATTTTTAGGTTAGGTTTAACTGTCAGACGACAAAATCTCACCATTATTGTTCGGCGGTCAATAATAATTTGACTTTTGAACTAGTACAGTAATGTAGTGACTACTAGTTCAAAAGTCAAATTATTATTGACCGCCGAACAATAATGGTGACATTTTGTCGTCTGACAGTTAAACCTAACCTAAAAATGAGGTTACAAAATTTTAAAAAACTACATTGTAGTATTTCTATATAGTATATTACACTACAAGGGCAGAAAGTGTGAGGTTCCTGCACTGCGCGCCATGATGCCCGAGGCGAAGCCGAGGTCATCATGGCGCGCAGTTCAGGGCTCTCACACTTTCTGCCCGTGTAGTGTATACTATTTTTCTTACTACCTCGGCTGAAAATATAACCCGGCCGAAAATACGGGAAAAAATTAAATGTGTATATCGAAATTGAAAACAAATTTTGAGGTTATATTAGAGTTGCATATGTTGAGTACTAGTGCACACGACTAAAAAATTTTTACTCCCGCTATTATAGAGGGTGCGCGTATAGCTTGACCAATGCATCAAACGTAAACTTTCTGCCGTGGAATTGATGTTACCGCTTTCCAGCGGGACTCGAAAAACAAAACTCAAACTGTCGCAAAACACGCCAGTCTTCAAAAAGTTTGCAAAAAGTTGCAGTTTTGTTTTATTCGACACGAGTTTGTGTTTTGTTTTTGTTTTGTCCGTTTGGTGGAAAACCGGCATAAGATTGCGTCATTGGATGACGTCACTCTGTTAACGGGAGCGCAATAGGGAACCGTCTGACGGGACTCTAGACACGGCGTTAATTTTATCATTATTATGTTAACATAACCTTATAATAATTTTACATATTTTTGCCTGAAGATGATCTAAACTAGTCGCAATAAAAACATAAACAAGCACCGAAGTATCCTTATTCACCATTCTAATCAAATCAAAAAAAATATAATGTATTCTGTTCTTTATTATTTTTTAATTATAAAATAAAAAAATATTTTAATATTTTAAGTTAAAATAAAAAGTACTTGTTATTTTCTCTGATTATAATTACAAAATAAAAAAAAAATTGTAATTATCAAATTGGTAAAGTAAAAATAAAAAATTATTTAGAATCAGTAAACATTTTAAGTTAAAATAAAAAGTACTTGATATTTTCTCTGATTATAATTACAAAATAAAAAAAGAATTGTAATTATCAAATTGGTAAAGTAAAAATAAAAAGTACTCAATATTTTTCTCTCATTACAATTATAAAATCAAGTAATAATTAGTAATGATAGCATAATCCATTAAAAAAAAATACTCAGTACTCCCAACTCTGGCAGTGTATTTATATTTTGAGAAAAAAAAATGTACATAACATATAACAATAAATGTAATGTGGATCTGGTTACTCCAAAAAATCTCATAAAAGAAAAAATATAAAGTTTGCATAATACAGCAAAACAATATTTTTAGATTGTTTACTAATTTAAAAAATGTTGTTTGATACTTAACACAGTATATTTTTGTCAAAAACAAACTAAATATGGCTAAAAGTGACAATTTTGTAGAAGTCTAGGAGCTAATTCATAGATTTTGTTTTTAGGTATATTTTGTTGTTTTTTTAAGAAAAATATTTAGGAGATTGATGGCAATTTTAGGAGTTTTTAAGATTAAGCCAAATTTTAGGAATTTTATGAGTTTTAGGAGGTAGTATTATTTATAAAATAAATAAATTAATTAAAAATTACAAATATCATCAAGAAAAGTTAAATTATTAATAAAAATACTATTATCATCCATACCACAAAAAGTATTTTCTTCTAAAACACTAAAATCACAATTTTTACTAACTTCATAATAACTAGCAGGTACAAATTTTGTTTGCAGCTCTAAAAGTTTCATATACTCGTAAACATCCCCCATTATATTTTTCCAAAACTTCACGACAACCTTCAAAGTATCACTGTTGAATAATAAATGCCCATAAACAGAAACGTGTTGATTATTTTCAGGTAACTTCACCAACTGTGGAATAAAATTCAATTCAACACTGCCATGTACTTCAAGAACATCATTTAAGTAATAATCAACATTATTTGCCCTTTTACATCTACCGATGATGTGAACATTATTATTTATCGGCACATTCTCATTGTAACTCTTTAGTCTATCAAAACTCACATAAATAAAAGGTTGTATTTCGTTACTATGCCCAGCTTCTTCATTGCAAAGTTTTTTGCTGAAATAATTTGTCTTGTTTCTTGAAGTATGACAAAATTCATCATTTGTATGTTCGTAACTTAAAACTTTGTGTTTTTTGAGTTTGGGATCTGGAGTTTGGCTAATTACATCGCAATCGTCTTCAATTTTATCACTATTTTCGATAAAATCCATTTTGATTCAAAATGTTTGACATTTGACAGTTGACAAACCGGCAACCATAGACAAAGTAAGTATAGATAATTTTTTTGTAACCTTTAAAACAAAGAACCTAATTACCATTTAAATATTATAAATTTTTTTATTGAAATTATATTATTATAGCGCTTTAGTTATACTAGGGACATCTTCAATCGAGAGCTTTCCAAGCATAATCTATGCTGCTTTGTCTATGGGATAAACCTTCCCGCGTTTTATCTTGGTGCATTTTAGTTTTTAAACGTTGGCAGCACACGTTGGACTGTCAGTTGCAGAAATCGGCGTGCTCATTTGTTTTGTGTTAATTTTTTGAGCAAAAATACTGAAATAATCGTTTTCTCGTTCGTATTTTACTTTTAGGTCTAGCAAATTAATTAATTCAACATGTTTTGGGGTGAGTGTTACGTTTTACGCCGCATTTTTTAGGTTTTCGTTTAGAATTTACCACGTGTTAAAAAAAGTAGTAGAGGTTTTTTATTTGAAGCCGAATTTCGTTAAAAAATGCGTGATATTTGCTGATCGAAAAATTGTATTTTATTTCTTAATTATTATTGAAATTGTACTGTTTTAAACATTGAAAAATATGCGTAAAAATGTGTTAATTGGTAATTTTTTGCCAACTGTCCAAATTTTCGAAAACTTTATAATAATGAAATAAATCATCCTATATGGTATAGGCTATACCTATGGGTATATTAAATTAATGGTAATTGATAAAACCAAAATGCTTTGTATAAATTAAATACTCCTGTAAAAAACTGGAAATCTCTGCATCTGAATCTTGTTTTGTCATATTACTATTAAGTTAAATGTAGGAAACAATCCTACTAGAATCCTACTAAATCAGATCCTAGTATCCTTATTGCTTTATTTTTTAAGGTCTAATTATGGAGCCGCAAAGACGGTACACTCAACAAGTAAAAAAAGCGTTTCACATCTCGATGGCTTCACTTGATGTTGCAGCATCTTCGGAGGAAGTTTCCCAAGTAATGTGCGGTTATGAGGGCAAAAACTATCTTTTGTGCACTTTGAAAAAACCGAATGTGCTACAGTGCCCTCTCGATTTAAATTTTGAGGTATGTATTACTTTTATTTTTTTAAATCGTAAATTTTTGTTGTTTTTTTATTATACAAGGTGTCCCTGAAATGCCTGTACAAAATAACTGAAATAATTGAATAGATTAAATTCTATACAAAAGTTGATAATAACCAAGATGTCAAAGTTAAAAGTTTATTTTCAATTTAACGTTTTTCCAAAAAATTTAATAATAAAAGTGAAAAACCTGAAAAATTCATAACAAGGTTTATAAATGGTTCAATGGAAAAATTGTTCCAAATTTCTCAAAAAATGGCCAAAAAAACAAAATAAAATAAAAAACATACCTATTAGTAACAAAAAATTAAAACCTAAAAAAAATCAAAACTTGGTTTAAAAAATAATAGGTAAAAACAAAAATTGTTTAATTTTTTTTCAAATGACCCAAAACCATTAAATAATAATTCCCTAATAATATTATTATTATTACCTAATAATATTTCAAAAACACAACACAAAAAATAGGTCAAATGTTCCAAATAAAAAAGTAAAAACCTGAAAAATTCAAAACAAGGTTTAAAAAATGGTCCAAAACCGCAAAAATTGTTCAAAATTTCTCAAAAAATAGCCAACACAAAGAAAAAAACATAAGTTACAAAAATGTACCAAATTAAGACCTGAAAAATTCAAAACGTGGTTTCAAAAATGTTGGGTAAATACAAAAATTTCAATTTTTTTTCAATGACCCAAAACCATTAAATAATATCTAATAATATTTCAAAAACAAAGTAGGTACTTATTCTTAAATTAGCTCAAATGTTCCAAATAAAAAATGGTTCAAAAACGCAAAAATTGTTCAAAATTTCTCCAAAACAGCCCAACAACACAAAATTAAATTGAAAATAGTAAAATGTAGAAAAAAACTTAAGTAACAAAAATGTTCCAAATAAAAAAGTGAAGACCTGAAAATTCAAAGCAAGGTTTAAAAAATGCTTTAAAACGCAAACATTTCTAAAAAAATAGCCCAACAACACAAAACTGAAAAAATGGTAAAATTAAAAAAATTAAAATGCAGAAAAAAACATAACAGAAATGTTCCAAATAAAAAAGTGAAGACATAAAAGATTCAAATCAAAACTTGGTTTTAAAAAATAATAGGTAAAAACAAAAATTCTTTCAATTTTTTTTCAAATGACCCAAAGCCATTAAAAAATACCTAATAATATTTCAAAAACACAAAGTAATCTCAAAATAGGTCAAATATTCCAAATAAAAAAGTAAAAACGGGAACAATCCAAACAAGGTTTAAAAATGGTTCAAAAACGCAAAAATTGTTTAAAATTTTTCTAAAACCAGAAAAAAATAAACAGTAAACAAAAAAACTAGAAAAAAATAAAAATAGCAAAAAAAGCATGACCCAAAACCATTAATAATACCTAATAATATTTCAAAAACACAAAATATTATAAAAATAGGTCAAATGTTCCAAATAAAAAAGTGAAAGCCCGAAAAATTCAAAACAAGGTTTAAAAGTGGTTCAAAACGCAAACATTGTTTAAAATTTCTTCAAAAATAGTAAAATGTGGAAAAGAAAACATAAGTAAGAAAACTGTAAAAAATAATAGGTAAAAACAAAAATTGTTTAAATTTTTTTAAAATAATCCAAAAACATTTATATTACCTATTATTAAAACAAAAGTAATTTAAATGTTCCAACAAAAAAAAAGGTTTAAAAATGGTTCAAAACCGCAAAAATTGTTCAAAATTTCTCGAAAAATAGCCCCACACAAAATAAAATTTATAAGATATTTTAGAAACACAAAATTTGTTAAAGTCCTCCTATATTTATATTTTATTCTCATATTTTCTGTGGTAAGTACTATGCTCCACAGCTCAAAGTCCCACCACGTGACCACGTACGAAACGCAGTCTTTTGAAAATTTGGCATTTAAGGCTTTTTAGGTTATGTATCTGTCAAAGTATAGTCAACGAAAGAAATAATATTATGTTTAGGCGTTCAAAATGTTTAAATCTTTATAACATTACAATAACAATGGATGGTTTAAGAATTTAAAAATATAAATACTGCATTTAATGAAATTCTAAAATGTATGTTGCCAAATAAGTAAAATTTTTGTGAATTTGGTCCAAATATCTGGTTTTCTCCATAAAATAATTTTAACTTAACAGCATTTATTAAAAAAAATCTAGCTTCTCTATTATGGAATAAGAATATCTGTTTTTAAGGTAGGTTAATATATTATAACAAAAATAGGTATCATCTAATTTTGTAATTTTAAGGTTAAAAAAATTTATTTTGACCAAAATAAATAAGTATTTTGGATTATTTAAAAGTCTGTATAATATGGTATTTAAAAATGTGGTAGTTTTTCTTATCCAGCTTAAAGTGTACCTACATAAAGTTTTGTCAATACAAATAGTTAAAAAGCTTCAACTGAATTTGATGTACATCAAAAAATCATTATAATTTTTAAAAATGTTGGGAGTATTAAATATTTTCACATTGCAAGTTTCTCTAAAAATTGTTTGTTTTCTTATAATCTAACTTAGTAGGTATGCCGATAGGTATGCACTCGTTTTGTCATTAGAAGTATAAAAGCTTCAATTTAATTTGAACCATATTCAACAATTATTTAGTATACCTATATTTATTTATGACCATATTAACACACTCTTCTAAATAATCCACTTATTTATTTTGGTCAAAATAGATTTTTCTAACCTTAAAATACAAAATTAGATTAGATACATTAACCTACCTTTGATACATATATTCTTATTTCATAATAGAGAAGTTAGATTTTTTTAATAAATGCTGTTTAGTTAAAACTATTTTATGGAGAAATGTAGACCCAATGCACAAAAATATCACTTATATTGTACCTTACACTTTGGAATTTCATTAAATGCAGTATTTATATTCCTAAATTCCTAAACCAACCATTGTTATTGTGATACTATAAAGATTTATTAACTTTTAACGCTTAAACATAAGCGGTAACACTGTAAATATTATTTCTTTCATTGAATATACTTTGACAGCCTTTTTTTTATTGAAAAAATAAATCCTAAATAGGTATCACAGTGATGATAATAACGGATAACATAACAATATGAAATGTTGACAATAAATATTTTGTTCTATAAGTAAATAATAATAATATAATATAAATGAAATAAATAGGTATTTAAATACCTAAATGTTCATATGATGTTCTCGAGTTCTTGCCTCAAAGTGTATTATGTGGCATTTTTGATGATTTAGTGTTAGTTGGTTAACATTTGTCCATTTTTGTAGTATGTTCAATAGGGTGATGCAAAAAAAATTTTTTTTTGAATTCTATGGAAGACCACTCGGGTTTTCAAAGAGTATCAAGAAAATAAAAATCTGTAAAAATTTGAGAGAAATCAATTAAAATTTAGAGGTCGCTCAACGCAATTGTTTAATTTAGAAAAATCACGCATCTCAAATGCATTGCTATAAACAAGTAGGCATATTTCATACAAATTTGAATAAAAATGGTTGAATTTTTTTTTGGTGGACTCTTAATGATTATTCTAATAAATAATGTTGTCCCGATTTCAAAATTTTTTTCATAATATTTAAAAAATATATATTAATTAGCAAATATAGCTTAGTTAACAAATAATTCATTCAATTTTTTTTTTGTTTCAAAATCTGTAAAAACATTGTTAATAGGTCTACAAGCAATTATTCATTCACAAAAACACTCGCCCCCATCGTTAAATATGAGAAAAAAAATAATATTTTAATTAACTACACTTCGCGTCAAATTTAACGCACCACTAAAAGTTTGTCACATTTTCAAAGTTGATTTTCTCGCGAACCGTCAAACCGAATTTAGTGATTTTTATAATAAATTGTAGGTTTATTCTTCGGTAATAATGCGTTTATTAAAATATTTTTTTAAATTAACATTTTGAGTATATACAGGGTGCAAGAGTGATAATAAGTTTTTTCCCGGAAATTTAAAACTATAGCCACATCTTCTCTTAACATTTTGTTTTTTGATTCACCGCGTTATCTTTATTTTTAAATGAAATATACAGTTAAAGATTAAAGAACTCCAGTTTAATACAAAAATGTAAAAAGAACGATTGTAACAATAACAACAAAAATATTAACAAAATCAATAAAACCAACATTAAAGAATATCAATATCGCGTATTTCTGCCTCTACTTCTAATTACGGCTTCACATCGACGGCTCACACTCGAAACCCGATGTCTAATCTCGTCTTGATCAATGACATTTCATATTTCTCGTAGCATATTTGCTACGTCATCAAGGGAGGCAGGCAAGGAATCATGATTTCTTAGTCGTCTACCCATATTATCCCACAAATGCTCGATGGTGTTGAGATCCGGACTATTTGCAGGCCAGTCTAAAGTTTTAACACCCACCCCATGTAAGTACTCTTGCACTATACAGGGTGGTCCAGGATTAATCTGAAAAATTTTAATGATCGATAGAGCCTGAAAAAACAATAAAAACAAACCCAAAAACATTTTTCAAAAATGCATACTAACGGAGATATAGGTAGTCCTTCAAAATAATTTTTAAACCATTAAACCGATTCTTCTCAAATTTTGTGTAGGTTAAGCTTCCGTCGATAATATAATGAAAATTTTCTATAAAAGGCCCAGTGGCGGAGATTTTGGGAGGGGTTTCCCCTTTTTACCCTCATATTTTCGACGCCACTGGATTTTATTAGAAAATCATCAGATTTATTTTTATCCTTTTTCAATCTAAAAGCAAAACTTTTAGGTTTATTTTTTATCAGATCAACGGAGATATTTCAGTTTAAAATTTCAAAAACACTGTGTACACGGAACTTTTGTTATTATTTTAGTAATAAAAAATTATTTTTTTTCTGAACGATTGTATTGGGCCAATAAAAATTTACCAATGAAATTATGGAATAATCACTTTCAATAGGTTTGTTTTTGGGTTGGTTTGATTTTGTATTATAATACAATTAAATTATTAATTACAGACGTTGATTGTAATCCTCAATCAACGTTACAATAAAACAACCTAAAAATATGACGGGATCAGTAACAACTGCACGATGACGCTAGTTTATTTTTATATTATTTTATAAACTGATAACGTGGCATAATTGTTACCAAGTTACCGATTTAAAATAAAATATGATAAAATTCCGTGTACTCGGTGTTTTTGAAATTTTAAAGTCTCCGAAAACAATTATCTTATGAAAATTTAACACACAAGTTTTGCTTCTAAATTGAATAAGAAATCTGATGATTTTCCAATAAAATCCAGTGGTGTCGAAATATGGGGGTAAAAAGGGGAAACCCCCACAAAATATCCGCCGCTGGGCCTTTTGTAATATATTTTACCTAGGTACACAAAATTTGAGCAGAATTTATTTAAAAAAAAAAACGTTTTTTTTGCCTTTGAAGGGCTATTAGTGTGTTAGTGTGTATTTTTAAAAAATGTTTTTGGGTTTGTTTTTATTGTTTTTTCAGGCTCTATCAATCATTAAAATTTTTCAGATTAATCCTGGACCACCCTGTATAGCATTATCCTGCATCAGTAAAAAATTATTACCGGGCGAAAGGGACCGGGACTCAAAATGTTAATTTAAAAAAATATTTTAATAAACGCATTATTACCGAAGAATAAACCTACAATTTATTATAAAAATAACTAAATTAGGTTTGACGGTTATATATGTATATACTCAAAACTTAAATTTAAAAGAATTTTTTAATAAAGGCATCATAACCAAAGAATAAACCTCAATTTTAAAACAAAAATTACCAAATTCGGTTTGACGGTTCGCGAGAAAATCAACTTTGAAAATGTGACAAACTTTTAGTAGTGCGTTAAATTTGACGCGAAGTGTAGTTAATTAAAATATTTTTTTTTCTCATATTTAACGATGTGGGCGAGTGTTTTTGTGAATGAATAATTGCTTGTAGACCTATTAACAATGTTTTTACAGATTTTGAAACAAAAAAAAAATTGAATGAATTATTTGTTAACTAAGCTATATTTGCTAATTAATATATATTTTTTAAATATTATGAAAATTTTTTTGAAATCGGGACAACATTATTTATTAGAATAATCATTAAGAGTCCACCAAAAAAAAATTCAACCATTTTCATTCAAATTTGTATGAAATATGCCTACTTGTTTATAGCAATGCATTTGAGATGCGTGATTTTTCTAAATTAAACAATTGCGTTGAGCGACCTCTAAATTTTAATTGATTTCTCTCAAATTTTTACAGATTTTTATTTTCTTGATACTCTTTGAAAACCCGAGTGGTCTCGCATAGAATTCAAAAAAAAAATTTTTTTGCATCACCCTAATGTTCAAGTCTTGTTTAATTTTATTTTCCGTATCTTTGTCAGTTTCATTCTTGTAGAAGATCGCCAGGTCATCCGCGTACATGAGCATTTTGCCATGTATATTATAAAGACCAAGATCGTTTATATAGAGAATATATATGTACGGTCCCAAAATTGATCCTTGTGGGACACCATATTCGGTTTTCTCTATTGTACTACTTTGACTTCCTACCACTGTGTACTGGCGTCGATTTTTTAAGTATGACTGAAATATTTTTAGAGCCTTGCCTACTACTCCCATATTTTCCATTTTTGTAATCAAAAGCCTTCTTGTAATCTAAAATCAGTCCTGTTACTGTTTTTTTGTTATCAAGTTGCATCAAGATGTAGTTGATTAGGTTGTTTATTGCTGTTGTTGTTCCCTTGCATGCTTGAAATCCATGTTGACTTTCTGTTAATATCCCTGCATTAGATATGTGTTCAGCCTTGTATGAAGGACTTTTTCAAATATCTTGCTGAAGACTGTTAAATTAGCTATTGGCCTGTAGTTTCCTGGTTCGGTTTTATCTAGCCATTTTTAGTTCATCTTGAAAAATTCCATTTTTTATTTGCATATTTATAAGTTGGACTAGTATAGGGGCGATGACATGTTTGAGTTTTTTAATTAAGTTGGGTTTTATGTTATCGTATCCTGGTGAGGCATTTGATTTTATGATATCTATTATAAAGGTTATTTCTTTTAAGTTTGTTGGGCTTAGATTCATTGACACCTTTACCCTGTCTTTTAGCTGTTTTTCTTTTGTTAGTATTTGCCCAGTTAAATGCCAAATTTTCAAAAGACTGCGTTCCGTACGTGGTCACGTGGTGGGACTTTGAGGTGTGGAGCATAGTACCTGTTATGGAATCCTGTATTCTTTTCGGGTTTAATAAATAAAAAAAATATTAAAATATAAGAAAAACATAGTTTTCCGGACTGAAAAACCGCCAAAATCAAATTTTGTTAAAAAAGTTATTTAATATAAACGAAAACTTACGACACTATTATATTGGTTATTATTAACTTTTGTATACAAGTATATCGAATTATTTCGGCCTCGGGAATGTTTGGTACAATTTAGTACAGGCGTTTTTCGAAATTCGTATTCCAAAAATTAAAAAAAACCGCACAGGTCGGCTCGGAGGTGTCTTTCGCCGCGAACGGCAAATGCCACATCCACCTCACCGGATACCTCACCGACGACCTCCAAAACCTCGACGACGAGCAAGCGGAAGAAGAAGAAGAGATCGACGGCGACGAAGCCGAAGAAGACGACGACGTCGTCGTCGAGGAAGAGCAGGAATCGAACCCGGGCAAGAAACGCAAGCAAAAGAACACGGAAATCCCCTCCGGAAAGAAATCCAAAGTCGGTAAAGTTTCCAGCAGTCAAGACGACGATTTAGACAGCGAAATCGAGGTCGAAGAAGAAGAAGAAGACGAGGATAGCGAAAGCGACACCGACGAGTTGGAGGAGGACTCCTCGGCCGAGGAGGAGGAAGAAGAAGAACCGAAAGTGGCGAGCAAGATGAACGGCGACGCCAAAAAGAAGGAGAAAGAGGCCCTCAAGCAAAAACAACAGCAACCGCAAAAGGAGAAAGACTCCAACAAGAAGCGCGTTCTCCAAGGGGGCGTGGTGGTGGAGGAGATCAGGGAGGGGCAGGGGAAGCCGGCGAAGAGCGGGAGGTACGTGACCGTTTACTACGAGGGAAGGTTGAAGTCGAACAACAAGATGTTCGACTCGAACACGAAAGGTGCGGGGTTCAGTTTCAGGTTGGGGAGCGGGGAGGTGATCAAGGGGTGGGACGTCGGGGTGGCCGGCATGAAACCCGGGAGCAAGAGGAGGATCGTCTGCCCACCGAACATGGCGTAAGTACTTTTGCGTTTTTTTTAAATTCAAATTTACAGTCCCCTGTGTCGCAAAAACTTTTTTTTTTAAATTACTTCAAAAACATTAAAATGACGCAAAGTAGTGTAAAAATGTCACAAAAATGTGGAAAATTAACAAGGTTAACAAAATAATTAAAACAATTGTTCAAAAATGCAAACTAGTCCAAAAATAGGTAGTGAAATGTAAAAAACATAAATAAACACAATTTATTTTAAAATCTAATGATACAAACTTTGCAAAAACAAAATATGTCAAATGTTTAAAGGAAAAAAGTGAAAACCTGAAAAATTAAAAACAAGGTATAAAAATGGTCAAAAACGCAAAATTTGTTTAAAATTTCTCTAAAGATGGTCCAACAAAACGAAATAATACTAAAAATATTTCAAATAGGGTAAAGGCACCAGTAATTGCCACAGTACCAGTAGTTGCCATTTATTATTTAGAAATTCAAAAACAAAACCATATGCAATATATCGATGACTTTCTGCCAAAGTATCGCAAGCAACATAACTCAAATTTTGGGAATTGAAAACATTTTTGTTTTAAAGTCTGTTTTAAACCAAATATAACCTACAGGTTTTATAACAAGTAAATAGCTATAATTATAAGCTAAGTAATTACTTATTATAAAACCTTTAGGCTATATTTAATTTAAAACAGACAAGCAAAATGTTTTCAATTTCCGAAATTTGGGTTATGTTACTTGCGATACTTTGGCAAAAAGTCATCAATATGTGCATATGTAAGGAAGTGTATCTAGTGTTTTATGTATTTAGAACAACTCACCAGATGGCGCATGTATGGAATGTGCATGTGAATGTGCATGTGTAAGGAAGTGTATCTAGTGTTTTATGTATTTAGAACAACTCACCAGATGGCGCATTTTTCGACAGAAAAAAAATATTCAGGCAACTTGTTGAATCAGCTGTTTATAAAAGATTTATTGCGACTTTGGTTAAGAAAGTGTAAGATTAGTTTTTCGTGATATTGGCATATGTTGTAAATCAATTTGAGTTTTGTTTGTGCAATAGGCATATATGCTAAGTAGTTTAAATGAAACACATATAAATTCTTAAATTAAAAGAATATTTTGATTTAGAGTAGTGGCAATTATTGGAGCATTTTTTTTCTTTTTACCCAATATTTGCCATTTGTGGTAATTACCTACTGGAGAATTTTGGATTATTGTATTATGACCTATTAAAGCTCTTAACTAACCTATAATACTTTAGTTTATCCTTGAAATTAATAAGAACATTATATTCAAAGTAAATCCAGTTATTTCCACCTCTTTTTGAATGTGTCAATTACTGGTTCACTTTAGTGGCAATTATTGATCCAAATCGATCAACATGGAACCAAAAAACAAGCCCTTTTTTCGCTATTCCCAAGAAAGCAAAGAATCTGCATTGGCTGCTTGCCAAGGTGGTATGCCATTTTCCATTTTTTTGTTTTATTTAATAAAATAAATTAGTGGCAATTACTGGCCAGGTACACTGGCAACTACTGTTTTTTTTTTAAATGGTCATGGCAATTACTAGTCCTCTGTACCTCAATAAAAAAAATATATAATGTACTTTGTGATGTTTTTAATTTTTAATAATATAGTGACATTCTATAAGTATCTATTAACCACATGGCTTTTTATCAAGACGAAATCTAAATTTCTTCTGGTACTTTTTTAGCCATTTTGTGTAAACACTAGCTTATAATGGCAATTACTGGTGTCATTACCCTACAAAAAATTCTTAAATTTAAAAAAAAAATAGTAAAATGTATAAAAAATATATAAGTAAAATGTTTCAAAGAAAAACAAATAAAATAAAAAAGTAAAAAACTGAAAAACTCAAAACAATGTTTAAAAAATGGTTAAGAACCGCACAAATTTCTTTAAAAATGTTCCAAAAAACAAAGTAGGTACATTTGTGTTTTAAAAATTAAATGTACAGTCCCCTGTCCCAAAAAACTTATAAATTGCTTGGAATTTCTTTGAAATTACTCCAAAATCATTAAATAATAATAAAAATAATGCAAAGTAGTTTAAAAATGTAAGAAAAATGCTCAAAACTATTAAATAAACATAAATAACAAAAATTCTCCAAAGAAAAAGTAACAACCTAAAAAAGTCACAAGGTTAAGGAAATAATTAAAACAATTGTTCTAAACCGCAAAAATTGTTCCCTAAAAATGTTTCAAAAACACTTTTTGTAGTCCAAAAATAGTGAAATGTAAAAAAAATATGAATAACAAAAATAGTTAAAGATAAACTTCCCAGATTTTTTTAATTAGTCCAAAAACATTAAATAATAATAAAAATAACGCAAATTAGTTTAAAACTGTCTTAAAAATGCTAAAAGCATAAAAAACGCAAAATTTGTTCTTTAAAAATGGTCCAAAAGTAACTAAATAAGAATAAAATTATTGCCTCCAAAATATTAAAAAATAACACTGATGTTTTTCTCTAGAACGTCTAGGATTTAAAATAATTTCGTAATAAAATGCTCTGCTCAATCACCTCAAAATGTAAGTTTTTTGTTGGTATTTTAATTATTTATTAAATTATTTTGGCTTAAATTTATCTTGAATGTACTGAAGTAATTGGAATACGTGAAATAGATCATATTTATCTTAACAATATGATATTTTAAATACTAAAACTAAAATTTTAATGTATTTTATGTAAAAAACAACCATTATTTGACATTTTTTGTCGTTTGTTTTAATTATTGAATTGTAAGGGCAACAAAGTAAACAAGTTTTGGTATTTTTTATCCATATTAAGCCCACAAAATTTAATGCATTGCATAATTTAGCTTTTTTCTACCTTAAATTTATTAAATCGGATCAAATAACGATTTGAATTATATTATTATTGTGCTTAATCCTCGTCATCGTCGTACATCTTTTGCTGCAAATTCCAGCAAATTTCTTCCAGCAATGATTCAACTTCTTTCCGCTATACCTACCCATAGATATCTATCAATGCTCTAGGTTTGCAGTTACTTGGTGAAATCATTCTCCATCAGTTCGGAAAATTTATTAGGCTGAAAAAAAAGAAAATGTATTTTAAATGACGTATTAGCGTTAATTCTTTACAAAACGGAGAGCATTTTTTCAATGAATTGGCGCCAATTTTAGGCTCGATATGAACCAAGAACATTTTCAATGACAGCTTTAACACTGCTATATGCGGCAAGCTCGTCAACGTTGAGAGCATTTTTGAATGCTTTCATTAAACGTCGTATACGAGGTGTGTTCAGAAAATATCGGGAATTTTCGTTTTTTGAAACAAATATTTATTTATTCGTCTACATTAATGTTGCCGCCTTCAAAATAGTCCCCATTGGATATTATGCACATGTGCCAGCTCTTCTTCCAATACTCGAAACACTTTTAAAACTCGATCTTTGGGATAGCCTTTAGTTCTTTCAGCGATGCGCTTTTAATGTCATCTATGCTTGCAAAACGACGGCCCTTTAAGGTTCTCTTTATTTTTGCGAATAGGAAAAAGTCAGACAGAGGCATGTCTGGCGAATATGGAGGCTGGGGCATCAGTACAGTATTGTTTTTGGCCAAAAATTTTGTTCAAAATTTAACAATTTTAGAATAAATTTTGCTGCCACGCGATTCATACCCAAAACATTCGAAAAAATTTCATGGGATGAGCCAATCGATATACCAACATCATCAGCGACTTCTCTGATAGTTTATAACCATTTCTTCCACTTTTTCCATGTTTTTATCGGTTGTTAATGTGCTTGTGCGTTCGGGGCGTTCGTCATCTTCAACGTCTTCACGGCCATCTTGGAAACTCTTATACCACTTGTAAACTCTTGTTTTACTTATAGCAGACTCACTATATGCCTTTGTTAACATTTCACAGAATTTATTTCATTTTTTAAGCAAAATTGAATACAAATACTTTGATCCATTTCTTTTAACGAACGAAAAATCGCCGAGCTCATAAAACACGTCTAACCTTAGCGGGTGCCACAGACAAAGTAAACAGCTAAAGTTTTTATCATACTTCGGGGGCATGTATACCAACATAATAAAGAAAATTTTATGACAACCGGACCCTCCGAACCCGCGAAATTTAACAATTCCCGTTATTTTCTGAACACACCTCGTATAAGGTCCATTTAATATTCCTGAAAAATTAAAGTAGTAGATATATCTCATAAAATTTTGTAATGAAATATTGCGTTGGTTTTTCTTGGGCGTATAGGTACCGCAACAAAAACAAAACAAATTTACAACGACGATATAAATTTTCGTCTCGTTTCTCTTTCTCTGCCACTTCCATTACCACTTCCATTTCCTTCTCTTTTTTTATTTCTGGTTTTAAAATCACTTTCAAGTAAAAATAAAATTTAAAGTTTAAATTTAAAATGTCAATAATTAATAGATGCACTTTAATGTGCTTGAACGATAAATTAGGTAAAGGTGCCTTTATACTTCAATTCAATATTAAATTTTGATAAGACTTAATAAATAAGATTGGAGATTGAATTTTTGGGTACTGCATAATGTAAATAAAAAAATATCAAATAATAGTCGGAGAGTAATGTTTATACCGAAACCCATTTACTTTGTTGCCTTTTCAATTTAATTAGTAGCTTATTAATAAAACGGCACTAAAATTTCAAAAAATTATATACTGCTACAATATAACAAAAAAATTTCTATTTGACATTTATCTACTGATGACTGTATGGAGTCCCTGTATATTTTTGACAAAAAACGTCAAAAATATACTGAACATCCAAAATAGATTTAAGGCAAAATAATTTAATAAATAATCAAAATATTAACTAAAGACTTACGCAATTATTTCGAATCCTAGACGTACTGGAGCAAAACGAGTGGCATTTTTGAAATCAGCAGCCCAAAATTAGGTAATATAGGTGGGTGTACTCAATGTTAGTAATTTGAACTATCTTACTGTAATTTTTAAAAACGTTTCAAAAAACTACAAAATTTGTCCCAAATCAGTGAAAAAAATGTCCAACATCAATTGTTGAAAAATAATAAAAATAAAAAAATTGTTTAAATTAAAAAAAATTAAAGTTGTTAGGGTATTAAGATACTTAAATCAAAAAGTTATCCAAATGTTCCAAATAAAAAAATTGTAGGTATATTTTCAAAACGAATTTCTTTTTTTTTCAGTTATGGGGCCAGAGGTTCTCCCCCCACAATCCCCCCAAATTCTACTTTAGTATTTGAAGTTGAACTCAAAAAAATTAGTTAGGTCTATTTAGTATTTTTTATTTTTGTATATTTGTTTTATGTTTTGAATGTGACTGCTTGAGTGAGAAAATCCCCACCACATTTCAGCTCTACCAACTGTTTAAATTAAAAAGTCACTTGATTTTTTTACTCATTAATAATTACTATTCCCACTTTTATGTTTGTGTTATTTTCCATTAAAATAAAATTATTTTAAGATAAATATAAAGTTTTTTGGTATTTTCCTTCAAAATTCGTTATATTTCTACTAAAAATTATAAAATGTGAAATATTATGTGCATTATGTACCAAAAAAAAAAGAGGTTAAAATGTTAAATAAAGTGTTCTAAAAACAATTTATTGTCGAGTTATTCCCAACCAGTTCTACCACCTTATAGTTGCACTGGCAACATTGCTTTAAACCTGTAAATTTTATCCAGTGGAAATTCGATGTAGGACACAAAAATCGATTTTTCCCATTGGAACAAAAACAAGTCAAATATTCTGACAGGTGGTTTGTAAAAATTCGTATTGTTGTGATGTTTCCTACAAATCAACAGGTTGAATAAGCATTAAAATTGGCAAAACTAAATCAAATCAAGTGTTGAAGGAATATTGTTTTCTTCAGTGTTATTTTCTATACATTATACGACATTTTTGTGGTTCTTTTAAAAGTAAATATGGAATATGATTATTTGATTAAATTTCTTGCCTTGGGCGACTCTGGGGTTGGAAAAACAAGCTTTTTATGTCAGTATTGTGATGGGATGTTCAATCAAAGATTTATATCAACTGTAGGAATTGACTTTAGGGAAAAAAGACTGGTAAGATAATTTTATTATTAACAATATTTAAACAAAAAAATGGTCAAAAAACATTTCAAATACTAAATGGTGGTTTATTATATCAAAGTTATAATGAATGTATGCAACCAACATTACACTTGGATGTAATCATGGTTGCGTTTTACATTTTTTTCGTATTGCAATTATCCCACAACTGTGCTTTTTTGGGATAAAAAGTGGCCCAAGTGAAAGAAAAACAGACACTTTCATATTTATAATATTAATTAAGAATTAAAACCTTATTAACGATGTTTAAAAACAGCAAAGTTACATCCGACAAGTTTAACAACTACATAACCTAACTTTTAGTTGCATCAAAGTAAGGATAATAATAACGCAACAATTGTTTCATTTTTTTTAAATGACACATGTGTACAAAAACTAAATAATAATATTTTGAAAACGCAAAGTAATCTAAAAATAGTTGAAATGTAAAAAACCTGACAAATACTAAACAAATCGTTTAAAAAAGGAAAAATTGTTTCAAAATTCTCCAAAAATGGTTCAACAAAACACAAAATATTATTAAAAATAGTGAAATGTAGAAAAAAACTAAGACCTAAAAGAAAAACAAAACTTACTTTTTTTAAATGGCCCAAAAACATTAAATAATACCTAATAATATTTAAAAAACAAAGTAATCTAAAAATGTTTCAATTGATTCAAATAAATAAATCTGAAAAATTCAAAATAATATTAAAAATATTTTAAAACATAAAATTCAAAACAATGTTTAAAAAATGGTTCAAAAACGCATAAATTGTTACAAGTTTCTTTAAAAATGGTCCAAAAAACAAAATATATTATAATATTAAAAATATTTAAAAATCACAATACATGCATATTAAAATTTCTCAAAAATAGTAAAATGTAGGAAAAAACAAAGGTAACAAAAATCTTCAAAAGAAAAAAATTAAGACCTAAAAAATTCAAAACAATGTTTAAAAATCAAACAAAACACAAATTACCCAATATTAAAAATAGTAAAATGTGGAAAAAAAACAAAAGTAACGAAAATGTTTCAAAGAAATAAATTAAGAACTAAAAAATTCAAAACATGGTTTAAAAATTAATAAAAACAAAAATTCTTTTTTTTTAATGGCCCAAAAACATTAAATTATACCTATATAGGTATTATTTAAAAAACAAAATAATCTAAAAATATTTCAATTGGTTCAAAGAAATAAATAAATCTAAAAAATTCAAAACAAGGTTAAAACAATACAAAAAATATATTAACACAAACATTTTTTTTTAAATAGTACTTGAAATGTAAATAAAATCCAAAGTACGAAATTCCAAAACACATTTCTTAAAATTTACCAAAAATTAAAATGTAGGAAAAACATTCAATTACTATTTCAAAAACACAGTGTTCCAAATAAAAAGTAAAAACCGAGGGGTCACCCACACCTGGGAATCCCTGGACATTTTAGAGGGGGAATACCATACACTGAGAAAAAAATGGGACAAATAAACTGTTTACCTAATACTTTTATTTGTAGTGAATATATTGTTTATTACGTCTAAATAGTCGAAATAATAACGATAAATATACTTTAGTAAAACTTTATATGTCAGGAATAAAAATATATTTAGGATAAATAAACTGTACCCTTGTCCCATATTTAAATATTTTTTTTATTTGGGAGCAATAAACTTTTTTCTCCGTGTAGGAATACAATGGAAATACATAGGATCGAATACAATAAAATATAATGGGAATACATGGGAATCCCTGGACGTTTTCCCTTTGGGAGGTTGACCCCTTGGTAAAAACCTAATTTAATTTAAATTTAAAATTCAAAAATGCAAAAGTTATTTAAAATTTAAAAAATAACCAAGGTTTTAAAAATGGTTCAAAAACGAAAACATTTTTTTTAAGAAAAAACAAAACAATATTAAAAATATTTTAAATACAAACAATTTTTTCAAAAAAAGTAAAATGTAGGAAAAAACAAAGGTAACAAAAATCTTCAAAAGAAAAAAATTAAGACCTAAAAAATTCAAAACAATGTTTAAAAATTTTTAAAAAACGCGTTTTTTTAAGTTCTCCAAAAATGATTCAACAAAACACAAAATAATATTAAAAATAGTAAAATGTGGAAAAAAACAAAAGTAACGAAAATGTTTCAAAGAAATAAATTAAGAACTAAACAATTTAAAACATGGTTTAAAAAATAATAAAAACAAAAATTCTTTTTTTTAATGGCCCAAAAACATTAAATTATACCTAATAGGTATTATTTAAAAAACAAAATAATCTAAAATTTTTTCAATTGGTCCAAAGAAATAAATAAATCTAAAAAATTCAAAACAAGGTTAAAAAAATGGTTTAAAAATGCAAAAATGTCTCTAAAAAGGGCCCGAAACACACAAAATAAAAAAAATATTTTAACACAAACAATTTTTTTTAAATAGTGTTAAAATGTAAATAAAATCCAAACAAAATTACTATTTCAAAAACACAGTGTTCCAAATAAAAAGTAAAAAACCTAAAAAATTTAAAATTCAAAAATGCAAAAATTATTTAAAATTTTTAAAAAAATAACAAAGGTTTTAAAAATGGTTTAAAAACGAAAATATTTTTTTTTTAAGAAAACAAAACAATATTAAAAATATTTTAAATACAAACAATTTTTTCAAAAACAGTAAAATGTAGAAAAAACATAAACAAAAATTTCCAAAGAAAAAAATGAAGACCTGAAAAATTCAAAACTTGGTTTAAAAATAATAAAAACGCAAACATTTATTTTTTTAATACTTAAAATTTTTAATTAAATATTAATATTTCAAATAGAAAGTAAAAACCTAAAAAATTCAAAACATTGTATAAAAATGCTTAAATTTACAAATTTCTTAAAAAAAAAGATAGTTTAACAACTACATAACTTAACTTTTAGTTGCATCAAAGTAATGGCCGAAATAACAGGATACATCTGCAACTATGGGACACAGCGGGACAAGAAAGGTAATGTTTCAATAAAAAAAAACATACTTGTTTGGCACTTGTAGAGATTTGTATTGTTAATAGAACATTAATAGATTTCGCAGCTTAACAACAGCTTTTTATCGCGACGCAATGGGTTTTTTACTGCTATTCGATCTAACTAACGAGCAGTCGTTTCTAGAAATCGTAAACTGGATAGAGCAATTAAGGGTATGAATTTTTACCTAAATGCAATGCTTTTTATTTTTTATTATTTCGTTGTTAGTTACTTTCAGTTGCTCTTTTTGTTTTATTTCAGTTGTATTTGTTATATTGACAGCTGTCAAAGTACTGTCAAAAAATTGACTTTTTTCTTAGGTCCATGCGTACTGCGAATGCCCTGACGTGGTAATATGCGGCAACAAGGCCGATTTAGACGAAAAAAGGGTCATAACGGAATGGCGAGCAAAAGATTTGGCAGAAAAACACGGGTAAAAAATTAAGAAAAAAAAATTATACCTAAATAATTTTTTTAGTTACGAATATTTTGAGACCAGTGCTGCCAACGGTCAAAACATCCACGGGGCTGTTCAATCGCTACTAAACAGAGTTATGATTCGTATGGAAACAGCCGTAGATAAGGCAATGTTGCCAGGTCGACGCGGTAGGGCTAAACACGATTCCGAAGTTAATTTGAATGTGCCCTTACAGCAAAAATGTTCCTGTTAATGCGCAATATTTATAGACCAGTGCAGAAGCCTTTAAAAATGGTAAAAATAGAAAAAAAATAACAGTAGGATAAAACCCATTGGAAAAAGAGGGGAATATAATAAAAATTAAAGGAAAAATAAATTACGGGCGATCTGAGTTCGGGAAGTGGGTGGGGGGGGGTTAAGGGTAAAAAATGGTTTATCTCGATTTCCGGCAAAACTACAAGTCCTATGGAAAAAAGTTAAATGTCAAAGTTGTAGGTAATAAAAAGATCTACAACTTTTGTATTTACCATTTTTTCACATAACCTCAAAATTTATGTGAAAAATTCAAAAAACCAAGTGAATTTGAAATATTTATTATTTCGCCTTATTTTGACTTAATATCAAAAAAGCACCCTAATTTTCAATCGAAAATTCTCGCGTCAAAATATCAGCTTTTTTCAAAAAGTCGGTGTGCTTTTTGTTCGATGAACTCTCTACTTTCTGATGATGTAAAAAAAAATATACATTACTATGGTAAATGTTCTCAGAAAATACAAAAAATATTATAATGAATAACGTAATCAGAATGAAGTATCTAAATTCAATAGTATGATTTACATGTATTTTTATATTTTATGAGATTTTCTGACATAAATGTTATTAGAATTTAATAAATAAACTTTTTAACTAAAAAAAAATGCAACAATCACATTTTTTTGATGAAATTGTACATTAAAATAAATTTTCGAATTCGAGTTTTTTTCGTTATTCCTTATAATATTTTGTGCATTTTCTGAGAACATTTACCATAGTAATGTATATTTTTTTTACACCATCAGAAAGTAGAGATTTCAACAAATAAAAAGCACACCGACTTTTTGAAAAAAGCTGATATTTTGACGCGAGAATTTTCGATTGAAAATTAGGGTGCTTTTTTGATATTAAGTCAAAATAAGGCGAAATAATAAATATTTCAAATTAAATAAATTACAGTGTATTTGGGACATAAAAAGGTAAGTTTTCACCAAATTTCGTGGAAAAAAAATTTTGAGATTATGTAAAAAAATTGTAATTACAAAAGTTGTAGATCCTTTTATTATCTACTACTTTGCCATTTAACTTTTTTCCATAGGACTTGTAGTTTTGCCGGAAATCGAGATAAACCATTTTTTACCCTTAAACCCCCCCCCTCCCACTTTCCGTACTCAGATCGCCCGTAATTTATTTTTCCTTTCATTTTTATTATATTCTTCTCCTTTTCCAAATAACAAATGGTTTCAAAAATTATCGACCCTGGTCTAATATTTTATTGTCTAAATACGACCTAATTAGGTACTCAGGATTACTTATCTTCCAAATTAGTTATAGTATGATATTTATGTATTTTTTCCTTATTAATATTAATATTATGTATCTAATAATGTTAAACTGAAAGTTTTTTATTGTTAACTATACGAATAAAGTGTATTTTTAATTAACTTGTCTCTTTTTTTCAAAAATAAACTGGAACAAGGACATTATGACATTAGAACTACCACACACCGTTGCCATATTGATTATTTCTCTATAGGCAATTCGGTGTAACGTTTGACGTTTACAGGTTATGTTTGTATTGATATTTTATCCTGATGCATTTTATCGAAACAACTCTTGATATATGACTTAAAAACTCATTAAAATGTGTTTCGCACCGTTTAAAAGGTTGATACATTGGGGCCCTTTGACGGCTGTAGGTGAGTAGTGAATTTTATTAAATTATTGAGTTTTGCGTAAATTATTTTTTTAGGCATTATTAAATTGGTGACTGGAATGACGATACATTGTGGCACCATGTGGTGGCCCCCAGTCACTTTTTACGGGTTTTTAAACACAATGTTGTTTTTAACATTATCTGGAATGACTTTGTATAATTTTTTATCTTCCATGTTTTTGGGGCCAGGGTATTTACCCAAAGGCTGGCAACCAGTAAATATAACTTTATAATACTGATTTTGGTGTATGACACATTTAAAAACACAGCACTTGTTATTGGTTGTTTGTTGGTGTATTGTCATGACAACAGCCTACTAAATATTTGGCAAACCAATCAGAATTTTTTTTTACATCAAAATTATTACCATCAGATCAATTCTGATTGGTCTGGCAAATATTTAGTAGGCTGTTGTCATGACAATACAGTAACAATGAATGGTATTCTAGTTTTTGACAGTTGTATTAAAAATAGAGTTATTTTAGGTATTAAATGAGTTAAAATAGCACAAATTATTTTAGGAAAACTCCAAGGATACACAGTTTTTACAATGGTGCGGGGTTTGTGAAGGTTTTAAAGCACCCAGATCTCATCACTGTAGAAGATGTAAGTTTGACATTGTACATTGCCTTTATTTACTACAATTCTGACTTTTAGGTGGTTTTTGCGTGTTAAAAATGGACCACCACTGCCCGTGGATAAACAATTGCGTAGGGTGGGGGAATCACGGGCATTTTACGTCGTTTTTGTTTTTCGCCACTCTTGGATGCTCCCAGGCGTCCATTGTTTTAAGTTGTTCTTTGTATAGGGCCATTTTTAGGACTTATTATTTGTATTATGGGACCGGTTTGGAGCCAGTGGTTGTTTTGAGTTTGGTGGGGAAAATTATGACGGTTTTTGCGCTGGGTTTTTCCATTGGTGTTGTCATTGCTGTGGGGTTGTTATTATTCTTCCAAGTAAGTAAAAATGATTTGGAGTTTGTTCTTTAAAATATTTTTAACAGTTGACAACTAGTTAGCTAACTTCAGCCCATGACTAAAAAGGCAAAAACGCGTTGATGCCAAGTTTACACCGTGACTTAAACGCAAAAAGTCACGGCTAGCTTGTCAATGTGTATTTATAGCGTCATAATGTTTGTTTTAAAAATAACAAACATTTTTTTAAGGTTAGAGGTATACTGAGAAATAGTACTGGCATAGAAGACTGGATTGTGGAGAAGGCCAACTACAGGCGCCGCAACGATGAGGCGTTTATTTTTCCGTACGATTTAGGGTTAAAAAAAAATTTTACGCAGGTTATCAATTTTTCCTGTCAACCCGTTGGCGACGGGATAATTTGGCCGGTGGCCGAAAATTGCGATCAATATACTTTGACTGTAAGAATTTTTTATACACTCGCGTGCAAAATAATCGATCCACACAAATTTTCGATGAATTTCAATCGCAAATAACTTTTTTATTTGATGTCGGATTTAAACGAATATTAAAGAATATTGTAGATAAATTAATGGACAATCGCTCACATTTTAAAAAAAATACTAAAAAATAGACGTACGTTTATAATATACAGGTTTAAACAAAAATATGTTTTTTACCATAAGTTTAAGACACTCTGTAGAGTGGCAAAACCGTATATTGTTCTAAATTAAGTTTTATTTATCAAGTCGCATCTATTCTTAACAGTTTTGTTTTTGGTTCACCTCAATATATTTATTTTTGTGGAAAATATGGATTTTTTTAAAAAACATTGCAATTTCCAATATTATTCCTGTATGAAGAACTAAGGTTGCTATGGTCCATACATAGCCTATGGAGAATGACAAAAACAGTTTTGTTGAATCATCCCATAGTTGGACATGTCATATACAGCTTTCAAAAGCTATTAAATTGTTTTTTGTAAATTATTATTATTAATTTTGAGGTGTCTTCTTACTTTTAAAAATGTCTCCGACTGATGTTGCCCTTTGTACTTTACTTCTTATGACGTTTAAAACACTTGCCACGTAATACTCCGTCCATCCTGGATTAAATTAATAGGTCTGGAAACATCAGTCGGAGACATATCCATTTTATAAAGTAAGAAGACACCTCAAAATTTAAACATTAATTTGCAAAAAACAATTTGATAGCTTTTGAAAGCCGTGTATGACATGTCCAAGTATGGGATGATTCAACAAAACTGTCACTGTCATTCTCCATAGCCTATGGATGGACCATAGCAACCTTAGTTCTTCATAAAGAAAAATATTGGAAATTGCAATGTTTTTAAAAAAAATCCATATTTTCCACAAAAATAAATATATCGAGGTGAACCAAAAACAAAACTGTTAAGAATAGATGTGACTTGATAAATAAAACTTAATTTAGAACAATATACGGTTTTGCCACTCTACAGAGTGTCTTAAACTTATGGTAAAAAACATCTTTTTGTTTAAACCTGTATATTATAAACGTACGTCTATTTTTTAGTATTTTTTTAAAATGTGAGCGATTGTCCATTAGTTTATCTAAAATATTCTTTAATATTCGTTTAAATCCGACATCAAATAAAAAAGTTATTTGCGATTGAAATTCATCGAAAATTTGTGTGGATCGATTATTTTGCATAAAAAAGTACTTTTTTCACGAAAAAATAACTTTTTAGAAAGAGCAAATAGAGCAAAAAAACGAAAAACGGCAACGTTCGAAATTGTACAGGGTTGTCGAGTCTGCTTCGGGCGCCATTTTCCCCATAACCAAGGGTGTGAAAACGTGCCTAAATTTTCCGTACAACGATGAACCAAGAATTAAACTATCGGTTGGCGACACTGTAGTTGTCACTAGATGGAGAAAGTAAGTACTTTCAAAAACTTGCATTCTGCATCGCAGTGTGCTGTGGAGAATGCCGGGTTCTGATTGGTGTATTGCTTTCCATAGAGTTTATATTCTATAGACAGTGAAAGTGCAAATGTATTTTAGGTTTTGGCTTTTTGGAGAAAAAGTCCAGGAAGAAAACATTGAAGGGAGAGAATTTAATAGGGTTAGAGGTTGGTTCCCAAAAATTTGTGCCATGGAAATAATGGAGAATATCGCTGGAAAAAAGACAAAATAAAAAAAATAGGTATATGTTAGTTGCACAATTATTTATGTGTTTTTAATTTATTTTTAAAAAGATTTTTTAATTATATGTTTTTAAATAAAAGTGTCTTTTAATTTTATTAACCTTGTTAACAAATCGACCTATTAAAAACATTTTTTGGAATTTTTTCAAATGTTTTTGCCCAATCAAAAAAAAAATTATTTAGCTCATAATTATACCACTCTGGAGATTTTTGAGTATGTAAAGAGGACCTCAAAGTTTCAATGGTTTTCGAAAAAGTAAGGAAAAAAATAGAAGAAAGTTTTGAATATTTTATAAAGATAAAGATTCTGATTTAATTTTGAATAAAAAATTGTTGAGATTTTGTTCAACTGACTTTTCTTTTAGGTAACTTGGTCAAATATGCCAGAATGATGAAGAAAGTGCTTTATGTGCATAAAAATAAAACTTAACTCCAATTGGAAGGGTTTTAAATAAAAAATAAACAAATTTTTAACATGACCGTCGCATACTTTTTTTGTAGCTAGAAATTTAAAAATATTTATGTTGCTATTTTATTACTATAGACGGTCATGTTAATAAAAAAATACGAAGAACTTCAACTTACCTTTTCTATATCAAAATACACGACAGGAACTGTGAATATATCGCTAACTGAACTGCACAATTGACTTTCATTTTTGTAATAATAAAATATTTTAATTTACACATGCAGTTCCATCTAGCGGCAAATAGACGACCTAAAATATCATTTTCTTTGGCTACTTAAAAGTTGAATTAAATTTTTAGAAGATCGCAAATGTTGTGTTTTGCCCGAGGTAAATACGACGGTCATGTGAAACAGGAGTTTGTAAAAACAAAATTAAAAAATAAATTCATAGGATATTGAACTTTTATTATAAATCGATAAAAAATATGCCTGTCTGGTAAAATGTAAAAAAAAATATGGCTAATATAGTAATAATTAGTTTTAATACCCCAGGGACATGGTATCTTAAACCACCCATAAAAACAAATATTTAATAAATTATGTTTTTTAATTAATTAAACAAATGAACAAATAAACCAAATATCGATTTTTTAAATTTTCTTTGTTTTTAAATGTAATTTTCAACAAAAAAAATATTCAGATATACCTATATATTTATAATATTCTTTTTAACTTAAATATCACTATAACAAAAAAGCCCAAACTGGGCAAAAGTTTTATTCGATTTTACATACATTTCAGTTTTGTCCTCTAGTTATCAAACACCCTGTGTAACATATCTTAAGATTGTTGATAAAAAATATTGGGATTCCCTTTATTTTAAGTCTGTAAAATACCAGTATTACTTTTTCAAGGTTAAACAAATCACATACAGAAAAATAAGCATAATCTAAAATTAGTTTATATATTTATAATATATAAGCCAATATTCTTTAGTCTTTTTCTCAGATTTTAAATAGCAGCATTAAAATGAACAAATACACAATTGTATGCATATTTTTGTTACGATTTATACATTTTTCTCAATCTAGTCCACAAATTACATGTAAGTATTATTTTTAATTAATTATTGTTAATTCTAGTTAAGTAATATTATATTTTTTGTTGGACAATTTAAGTTGATTTGATTCAGATCTGAATTCAGATACCTACCCAGTGCCGGTTTAACAGGGGTTTTTTGGGGACTATAGCACCGGGCGGTAAATATTTTTGGGGCGGTACCGCGTACCGCCCATAATTTAAAAAAAAATACTTAATCGTTAGAATTAAGAAAAAAATTATTGCGACACTGCGTCGGCGGATACAACGGATACAAATGAGAAAACTGTTGTTAGAGTTGAAGCAGCTTCTCCATCAGAAAAACTTGATTTATTGGAAACGGAATAATTTTAACTTTTTGGATAGACGTTTTGCAAAGGGTTAATGAAACCAATAAAGCAGTCCAAAAACAAAATATGGATTTAAGCACAAATGCTCATCTTTTGTCATTTTTAGTTGAGAACTTTGATTTTTTACGTGATCATTTTGATCATTACGAGGAAATTAACAGGAAACGAAAATTATGCTCAGAAGCGGATAATCATAAGAAAATTACAATTTGAAGAAAATAATTCAGAGGCAAGTTTAAGCAAAAAAGAAACAATGCGAACAATATCCCTGTTAAAAATCACCCATAGAGACCAATAGAAACCAATAAAAAATCAGAATGGAATGAATTGGTCTTTATTGGGCCTATTGGTTTCTCAACAGAATGAGCATTGGTTTCTATTGGTAATTTCCGTACTGGAAAATGCCAATAGATTACCTAATGGTCTGAATTGGTTTTTATAAGAAGTTACAAGTACAGGAAATTCCCAATAGAAATTCAATTGGTAAATACCACTTAAATGTTCAGCGCCTGCGCAATTTAATACAAATGACCACTTGTTTCTATTGTCAATTTTCTTACTGGAAAATACCAATAGATAAACTAATGGTCTGAATTGGTATTTTATCGGTGTGTAGGTACAAGGAACCCTATTGGTATTTACCACTTTAATATTTATTTTCAAAATTCGCCTATAGGTAGGCAACCCATGCATACCTCTCGCCTCTGTAGCACAATACATAGGCCTATAAAGGTGGAATGCCTTGAGCTGCTAAGTAAGCAGAAGCTATTTATAAAATTTAAATTAAATGTTAAACAGCACTATTTTTGAGATTTTATTTAACCATCAAAACACGTAATTTTTTACCTTAAAGACGTCTAAAATGGATAGTGGGGACCAATTCAAACCAATAGCGGTACCTCTGGAAAATCCAAATAGTTCTATTGGGAATTACCAATAAAATATATCTATTGGGAATTACCAATAAAATACGATTAGTCTCTATCGGTCTGTATTGGGATTTTCCAGCGGTGTCGCTATTGGTTTGAATTGGTAATTCATGGTACAGATACCACTATTGAGACCAATTCAAACCAATAGAGCTGCCGCTGGAAAATCCCAATAGCTTTTCTATTGGTCTCTATGGGTGATTTTTAACAGGGATGTTTTATTTTAATAATTGACAATCTATAATCCGAAATCATTTGTCGAAATGATAGCTAGAAATCTGGCACAAACAAATTTGAATTTTTGTTTAATCTAAAAGCATAAATCTTCTTGGAGAATTTGGATGAGATACTGGTAACTTCCCTTTCGGAAATAAAAATAGAAACTCCATTGGAATTAGTATAAGTTTTATACGAAAATAAATTAATATCTTCATTTTCGAATATTAATATTTGTCTGCGATTTTTTTTTTTATAATGGTTTCAAATGCAAGTAGTGAACGATCTTTCTCTACTCTAAAAAGGGTAAAGAACTACCTAATAAATACAATTCCCCAAGAAAGATTTAACTCCTTAGCAATTCTGTCCATTTATCAAGACCTGCTAGATGAAATAAATGTAAAGTGTTATAAAACAATTTGCTACTATAAAGACTTGAAAACAACCTTTTAATTATTAGTATTAGGATTTCTCAATATTTATTTAAACCAAAGAATAATGTTTTATTTATTTATAACTTTTGATTAGTTTTTATTAGTTTAATGAAACAAAATATTAAACTTTTATTTTTTAATTAGTTTTTCTTAGTACTTAGTATTGTTTATATAAACCAAAGAATGTTTTATTTTTTAGTTAGTGCTTTTGATTAGGTAGTTTTTATAATTTGTTTATAAAGGCTCATTTTATATTTTATAGGATACTAAGTTTACTGTTAGATACCAGCCTACCAACCTAATCTACCACTTGACGTGAGAAAGTAAGACTTAAAAATTTAAAAATGTTTTTAAAAAAGTAATATTTTAAAGCATTGGGCGTTGTGTTTGTGCCAGAACCGGGCGGCGAACTAACTTAAACCGGCACTGTACCTACCTATGGTAAAATTAAATAATGCACATTTTTAAACTTGATGAGAAACCTCCCAAAATTGAAACGGTTGTGATTTCCACAGAATTTTTATTTTGGCATAATCTATAGATTATAATAATAAGAAATTTTCATGTAACAGTTAAAACACGAAATTGTTTTTTAATATAGAATCGCTGCAACATGTATACAATACAAAAATGTTAATTGATCAGGATTTATCACTGTTCTTTTCATTTCAAAACACTAACCAATTTTTAATTTTTGTCCTGTAGTTATCAAACACCCTGTATAACATATAAAAATGGAATTTAAATTCCTTTTTTTTAAATACTGCATTATTACTTATTCAAGGTTTAAAAAATAACATACAGAATAATAAGCATTATCTATAATTAGTTTAGGTATATTTATATTTATAAGCTGATAAGCTAATATATTAGCTTAAAGCTATAGTGGTATTTTTCTCAGATCTTAAATAGCAGTTTTAAAATGAAGAAATACACGATTGTGTGCTTATTTTTGTTAGGGTTTATACATTTTTCTCAATGTAGTCCACAAACTACAAGTAAGTATTATTTTTAATTAATTATACTTACCTAACCATAGTTAAGTAATATTATTTCTGTTGGTTTTATGTTTTAAGTATAGTATACCGTTTATACCTTTTTTTATTCTAATATGGAAACTGAAATTTTGCGAAATTCAGTTAAAATCTTATGAGAAATCTCCTTAAATTGAAATAGAGGGGTTTCTAGAAATTATATTTTCACAAAATTTTTATTTTGGCATAATCAAAATGTTATATATGTTACGGCTAATGTGCAAACTTGGATAGTTTATAAACTAGCTGGATAGTTTATAAACTAGTCAAACTGTCAGCTATTTTAATTGAAAATGTATTTTCAAGTAAATTAGCGGCTAGTTTACAAAATAACCAAGGATCTTGGCTAATTTACTTGAATTTATTAGGGAAACTAAAATAGCTGGATAGTTTGTATACTATCCAATTCAATTTGGCTAATATGAAAACCAAAATTTCTAGTAACACAAAATAGCCAAGCTTTATAAAGCTAGTTTGTAAACTAACCAAGTAATTCTCTGGCTATTGCCCATTTTAGTTGGTTTTTTTTGCCCAATGGGGCGGGGTCGGTTGGGTTGTGTTGTTGAATTTGGGTTGGTTTGGGTTTTTTTCTCTCATTTTTGACCATTTGACCAATGGGGCGGGCTCGGTAGGGTTGTGTTGTTGAGTTTTCTAACAAGGAAGCGTTAAAATTTTGCCTATGATTTATTTTAAAAACTAAAATGCACAAAACAAATCCGGTTAAGCCGGCAAAACGAAAAACAATGCCGTAACCTCACTTTTTTAATAAATTAGCCAGAGAATTGGTTGGTTAGTTTACAAACTAGCTAACGCTTGACTATTTTGTGTTACTAGAAATTTTGGTTTTCATATTAGCCAAACTGAATTGGATAGTATACAAACTATCCAGCTATTTTAGTTTCCCTAATAATTTCAAGTAAATTAGCCAAGATCCTTATTTTGTAAACTAGCCGCTAATTTAGTTGAAAATACATTTTCAATTAAAATAGCTGACAGTTTGGCTAGTTTATAAACTATCCAGCTAGTTTATAAACTATCCAAGTTTGCACATTAGCCATAACATATACATTACAAAATTGTTAATTAAACAGATTTTTTTCACGTCATTTATAATTAAAAAAAAATCAGTATCAGGTATGTATATTATATATTTTTTTGTATTTTAGCTCCCATAAATTGCACAAAACCATTTGAAGAATACGCATGTGGCAGTGCATGTCAAACCACTTGTGAAAACTTCGGAAAACCCTGTCCAATTGTTAACATAAGATGTAATGACAGTTGTTATTGTATCGATAATTATGCAAGAAATGAGCAAGGAGTTTGCATTCCAATAAAAAATTGCCCCAAAAATAATAAATGTTAAAAAACAATATTGTTATTGTGTTTTATTAAAGCAGGTATACACACTCTGCTTTAGCAGATATTTTTTATTATATATTTTTTATTATTATTATTTTTTAGCAGATATAGATGTCGCCACTGGTACTGGGTTTCCATATTATAATATGGAACCCCAGTACCAGTGGCGACATCTATATCTGCTAATAACACTTATAAGTATACCTGTCATCTGTCAATTTTTTAATGTCAAAATAACAACCCTTAAAAATTCTTAATAATATATTTGCTTTAAAAATACCTTAAAAACGAAAATAATAACTCAGTCTTTGTTTTATTTATTTAAATCGTTTCTTCTTGCTAAATGGCAACTGCGCCATTTCGCTCTCACTTAATATCGGAACGACACCTGGCGAGGAGCTGCTCAAGTCTTCTTCAGTATCGGCCAAACTTTGCAAACTGTAAAAAACACGTTTTCTAGAACAGCCGGCTTTTTTCGAAAATATCTCGCTTAATGACAACTTTTGGTTAAAAACTAATAAAGGTTTTTGTAGACAACTAAATTTCCCATATTTTATGTCAATAACTTTTTTTTGTAAAATTAATATTAACAAAGATATAGCATTAAGTACTTACTTTGAAACAGCTTCCAAACTATTTAACAACTGATATCCAGACTCTAAAGTGGAACATTCGCCATCAATTGCCGTAAAATGTAACTCGGGATTTTCCACTTCCATTACGTCATCGTCTTCCTCCACTTTCACTCTTACCACCCTTAAAAAACACAATCAAAGTAAAAAAAATAAAGTTGACGTTTCAACGAAACACACTTTGACAGTTTGTCGATAGATGGCGGGCTCTGCGGCACCAATAACGTCGCGTAATGATCGTTGAGATCGATGCAACGTTTTCGTAAAACGTCGATGTATTTAATGACGCGACACTGGTAAAAATCGTTTATCCCGTAAACGCCTCCTAAACCCATTTGCGTAAGTACTCGTTCAATAGCGTGCTGAAAAGAAATTTTCGTATTTTAATGTTGGCATTTTGATTTTTGACGTTTGCGATTGTCAAATGTCAAAAAAATGTCAAATAGTTACAGGAAAAGTTGTTCCATGTGTTTCTTCATCTTCTGCGGCATTTTTGAGATTCAAGCAAATTTTTTTAAGGAATTCTTCCAAAACGTCCGTTAAGACGTCCAAAACGCTTTTGTGAGTTGCTAAAAACATTTTTTTATATATTTTTTAAATAATACATAAAAAACTTACTTTCAAACCCTACATGGGCAAAAATAGTGACAATACATTTTTGTAAAATTTGTTTTACAACCGTTTCACTTAAATCTGGACTTTCAACATCCTCACCCCGCGAAAAAGGCCTAAAAACCGCAAAACATAACCTTCAAAACAAAACTACATCTTAAAAAATATTTACGTGTATTCCTTCTCAATATAATTCAAATTGTTTCTTTGATGTGTCACTTTTAGTTCAGGTGTAGGCGGTATAGGTGGCGCTGCATCTTCAGGGGGGATTAAATTAACTTCCGTAGCCAATTCTGCCACACGAATCATTTCAATCATGTCATTTGCATATTTGTGCAAAGAGATTCCATATAACATAAGGGGGTCCATAGGGGCCAAACTAAAAAAAAAATTGCCTAAAATTAAGTAATTAGTTTTTTGCAATTATCTTCGTAAATATCAGTTTAAGGATAAAATGTTAAATTACAAAAATTGTAGATCTTTCAATTCTCTACAAAAAATATATTATAAATTTTTTCGTAACATGAACAATTTAAGTAATACAACTCTTATATCTCAAAAACACCATAACTAGATAAAAAATAAGATTCCAAGGCTATATAACAATTAATATTAGCATTAAATTACATTATATTCTCATTTTTCGCCGGGTAATCATCTTCAAACTCATTTAAGCTAAAATTGTTCATTGACCGCTCAATATCAGGCATTACGTCTGGGACATATTTATTCTGTTTTTCTTTATCCTCATTTTCTTCTTTTATTTCGCCCCAATGTTGTCTACTCATTTTTCTACTCACGAAAACAATGCCAAGTTTATTTACGAACCATCTAACCTCACTTTTAAATGTCAAAATACTGTCATTGTTAACAGAGAAGTTCTCTATTTTACATTTATATAAAAAAGCAGTGATATAAATTTTAAGCCAATACAAATTACGGGTTTTCTATAATTTTATTAAAAAATACATATTTATATATTTTTAAATTTAAAATTTTGATCATTTTGACTAACGTAGTCCAACGCTATAGTCAAATTTTATAAAGGAAAATGTAAGAACAACATGCTAAATTATATTTTTGATAACTTTAAATTAATTTTTAATAATTTACAATATGTCTTTGGTTATATTTTATTTTAACGTTTATTTTTTCAAAGAATTTTAAAGTAAAAATGACATATTTTACAATCTGGCAACGTTGCTTTGGATGATAACTTGACTAACCTAGTACTTCCTCTGTCAACGGCCATTTTCCTTCTTTTACAGTGACACTCTCAACATGCAGAAGGTATTCTAAATAAATCTAATTATTATAAGTTTAAATGGATTTAAATACTGAAAAATTGTAAAAATATTAACGACTTAATTCTTTTTCAGTCAACAAAGAAAGAACCGATCCACTCTGTCCAAGTTTTTGGCAGGAAAGTAAGTTTTTCATATTGACACACCGACATAACCTCAAATGTGTTACACGTGTGTTTTTCGTTACTTATGGGGTCTTTTTTAGAAATCCGCCACCGCGGTGGCTTACTGCAAAAGGGGCAGGGGCGTACTCAAGGTAAATGGCCGCCCTTTGAGCCAAGTTGAGCCAAAAATGCTACAGGACAAACTTCAAGAACCAATCTTGCTTTTGGGAAAGGTAAGTCGAGTTTTATATTTTTGAGGGTTGATTTTATTGTTTTTGCACCATAATTGAGTTATTTATGGTTTAAAATTTAAGTATTTAGACTTAAAATACTTAAAATGATGATCTTTTATCCCGAAGATGACTGTTTGGTATGAAATCACTTTACGACTGATCTATCACACTTTTAAGTGTTTGTTGGGTTTATTTTGTGTGGATATTGGATGTTTGTTGTATTTTAGGACAAATTCTCTGCTGTAGACATCAGGGTACGTGTTAACGGTGGTGGACACGTTTCTCAAGTTTACGCTATCCGACAGGCTATTTCCAAAGCTCTGGTAGCCTATTATCAAAAATGTAAGTATTTTAGGGGCGTTTTAGGCGTATTTGGTGTTAATCTTGAGTCTTTTAGACGTTGACGAAGCCTCAAAGAAAGAATTGAAAGACATCCTGATTCAGTACGATCGTACCTTGTTGGTGGCCGATCCACGTCGCTGCGAGCCCAAGAAATTCGGTGGTCCAGGTGCCCGTGCCCGCTACCAAAAGTCTTACCGTTAATTTTTTTAGTTTTAATTACAGACATGTTGTATTTATCACTACTATAAATATAACGTATTTCTAACTTTTTGACTTTTATTTTTATACTTTTTTTATTTTTGTTTGTTTTTTTTATAAACTGAGCAAAATAAATGGTTTTTGGTAATTATAGGGAAAAAAGGTAAGTACAGTCATAGAAAATAGTAATGCACATTTTTATTTTATAACATAATTTTACCACTGATTTAGGATAGTTATAATACAATTTAGGTCATTTTGAAATAGGTTTTGGTTATTTTACAGTTTTAATACAGTTTGGGTCATTTTTAGATGGTTTTGGTAAATTTAAAACAATTCTACTAATATAAAAAAAAAGTTTATGCTAATTAATTAAAAATCAACATATTTAATTAATATAATAGTTTAAAAGTTTTAAAGGCATTTTGAATTTCAAAATTGAAAATAAAAATTTGAAATAGTTTTTGGTTATTACACATTAAAACAATTCCTAATATATTAAAAAAATTGTTGATACTTAATAATTAAAAATTAACATTTTTAATAAATATAACACAGTTTTAAAGGCATTTTGAAATAGTTTTTGGTTATTTTTCAGTTTTAATACAGTTTGGGTCATTTTTAGATGGTTTTGGCAAACAATTCCAAAAATATTAAAACAATGTTTATGCTAATTAATTAAAAATTAATACTTTAATTAAATATAATAGAGTTTTAAAGGCATTTTGAAATAGTTTTTGGTTATTTTACAGTTTTAATACAATTTGGGTCATTTTTAGATGGTTTTGGCAAATTTAAAACAATTCCAAAAATATTCCAAAGATATTAAAAAAATGTTGATACTAAATAATTAAATTTCAACATTTTTAAAATAAATAGTTTTTGGTTATTTTACAGTTTACAATTCCAAAAATATTTAAAAAAAAATGTTTATGCTATAGAGCTAATTAATTAAAAATTAACATTTTATTTAAATATAATAGAGTTTAAACAGTTTTAAAGGCATTTTGAAATAGTTTTTGGTTATTTCACAGTTTTAATACACTTTGGGTAATTTTTAGATGGTTTTGGTAAATTTAAGACAATTCCAAAAATATTAAAAAAATGTTTATGCTAATTAATTAAAAATTAATATTTTAATTAAATATAATAAAACACTATATTATATTTCATTAAAATGTTAATTTTGACTTGTTGGTTATTTTAAAGTTTTAATACAGTTTGGGTAATTTTTAGATGGTTTTGGTAAATTTAAAACAATTCCAAAAATATTAAAAAAGTGTTTATGCTATAGCAATTATAATTAAACAGTTTTAAAGGCATTTTGAAATTTTTTTGTTTTTGGATATTTTACAATTTTATTTGTTTGGGTAATTTTTAGATGGTTTTGGTAAATTTAAAACAATTCCAAAAGTATATATATATATATATATATATATATATATATATATATATATATATATATAAAAAATTATGTTGAATAATTAAAAATCAAAATTTTTAATAAATATATAAATATATTTATATTATATTTATATAATACAGTTTAAACAGTTTTAAAGGCATTTTGAAATAGGTTTTGGTTATTTTACAGTTTTAATACAGATTGAGTAATTTTTAGATGGTTATGGTAAATTTAAAACAATTTCAAAAATATTAAAAAAATGTTTATGCTAAAAAAATTGTACTTTTTTTTAACATTTTAATTAAATAAAATAAGAGTTTAAATAGTTTTAAAGGCATTTTGAAATTTTTTTGTTTTTGGTTATTTTACAGTTTTATTTGTTTGGGTAATTTTTAGATGGTTTTGGTAAATTTAAAACAATTCCAAAAATATTTCAAAGATATTTAAAAAAATCGACATTAATGTTGAAAAATTTTTAATAAAAATAATACAGTTTAAACAGTTTTAAAGGCATTTTTAAATACTTTTACGGTTATTTTACAGTTTTAATACAGTTAGGTTAATTTTTAGATGGTTTTGGAAAATTTAAAACAATTCCAAAAACATTAAAAAAAAATGTTTATGTTAAATAATTAAAAATAAATATTATATTATATTTATATAATACAGTTTAAACAGTTTTAAAGGCATTTTGAACTATAGGTTTTGGTTATTTTACAGTTTTAATACAGATAAATTTAAAACAATTTCAAAAATATTAAAAAAATGTTTTTGCTAATTAACATTTTAATTAAATATAGGTAATAGAGTTTAAACTGTTTTAAAGGCATTTTGAAATACTTTTTGGTTATTTTACAGTTTTAATACAGTTTGGGTAATTTTTAGATAGTTTTGACAAATTTAAAACAATTCCAAAATATTACAAAGATATTTAATAAATATTACGCAACCAAAATGCACCTACGAAAGAAAGTACCTATCTATTTACTTATATAAAAGAAAACCAATTTAGCGCTTGATCAGTTTTCACAATGACTTCAGCAAGAAATCTTTCGGTGATAATAATAATTTTTAAAACGGTTGTGCATTTTGCGGACACATCGACAATAGTGCCGTTCTTCAAAAGTGAAATAGGGTATTTTAACGGTGAAAATCCCGACGGGTTTATAAGTTTTTTCGACAGAAAACCCTTGGCCTTAAAGTTGAGAAAGGAAGCGAATAAAGCACAGGAAATTAGACACCCCAATCACAACTATAATGCCAATTTGGACGTGGATAAGGTTAAGAACTCCTTACTGAAAAAACACATGGAAAATTTGGGTCTGGTCGTATCAGAAAGTCAGGTATCAGAAAGCAAAAACCATAATCACAAAGAAGAAAACGGATCCAAACACAAAGACGATCACTACGATAAACACGGTGAAAGAAGCGATGAAGGCTACAAAAGTAGACACCACAAGGACATAAAAGACAAAGGAAGTCAACATAAACATCACAAAACCCACCATCACAAAGAAAAGGGGGGAAAACACAATAATAAACATGAAGAAAGTGATCACTACAAAAAATATCAGGAAGGAAAAGAGGCGGAGAAATCATCAAAGTTTGGCGAGAAAAAAGGCCACAAAAAAGGTCACAAAACGAAGGAATATCACAACACACTGCACCGAGATGAGTATCACAAGGAGCACCGTTTCTATGACGACGAACACAAAAGTGGTTATCACGAAAAATACGGAGATGATCACAGTTATTACGAGAAAAGTCAAGGAGGTAAAAAGAGAGGAAAAAATCATAAATCCGGCAATAAAAATGAAGACTACGGTAAGGCAGGTGAAGAAGATAAAGGGCACAATGATGAAGAACACAAGAAATACTCCAAGGAAGATGGTTATGAAAAACATCACAAAAAGCACAAAGAACACGAGAAAAAAAGTGCAAAAAAAGGGGGTAAACATTACGGGTATTCAACTTAACACCCTGTAGATGATTTCTTACATAAATAGTTAATTTAATGCTTGATTTGGCCCGGAAGAAATCAGTGAAAGTTGCGGTTCAGATTTGCCATAATTTTGTTAATAAAAACAATAAAAATTAATAGTTTTATTTTTCTATGTATTTTATCAAAATAAATCCTATAAAATTTTTAAATCGTCACTTTTAAACAACAATATTTCTTTTAGAAAACGTCGAAATTTTAATTTTCTTAGTGATCGATCAAAAAGATCTTTTTGATATTTTTATCATGCTAGATTTTACCACAGTTCACTCGCACAAGTGAAATCAATAAGATTATAACACAGACTGTGGATTATAAAGTTATGTTCACCAAGGAGAGCGCTGGCCCTTTCCTCCTCTTTTTAAGGGAAATAACAAAAATTTGTTACCACTGCAAAACAATAGTAAATGTTAAAAAAGTCTTTCTATAGCAATAAAATATTGTTGTTCTTGTTCTTAACGTAAGCTATTAACAAAGATTTTCTAACTGAAATAAAATTGATTTGAATTACAACGATAGTTATTTAAAAAAGACAAATATGCCATAGTAAAATGAACAAATTTTACTATAACAACTGCGCATTACTTTATGTACATAAGCGCAATTCATACATAACTATAGATTTAACAAAAACAAGTTTGACAAAGATTTAATATAAACATAAAGTATTTCTTATTGCCATGACAATATGATAACAACTATTTGTTGGATGAACATTTTTTTTATAAAAGCTCAACATTGCTGCTTTATTATAGTAAATTTTATTTTATTTACAGTAAAAAATAAATAATATATAGTTAAAAAAAAACTAAAAACTCGCTTTAACGCCCTAAAAGGTATACCTACAATATTTTGTAATGACTTTGATTTAATAAGTATTAGTACTAAGTTATAACATAACCGCAATAATGATTAGGTATATTTTTTACTTTGTTTACTACTTATGTTTTAACATACTCAAAATTGTACTAAAATTGTTAAAAGAGCAAATAAAAAACATAAACTACCTTTTCAAAGATTTATTTTTTCAAATATTTACAGTGTCCAAAATATATACTCTAAACATTAAATGAGGATATTCAGTATTAAATAAAGGCTTGTTATCCTGCCCAACCAAATCTTTGTATGGGATTTGGACAATTTTTTTGAAGTTAAGTTTTTCTGCTACTGCGGCACTAAAAATATAAAACTGATTGGTTATTTTACTGCATCTATAAATCTTTTATTAAAAAAAAACTTACGTATAGGAACTAGTTGTAACAGTTATTATAAATCTATATCCGCTTTGTTTTGCAAAATTTCTTACATGAATTGCAAGGTTGCCTGTAATATTTTTTTGGCCATACTCCTTTTGGATAAAAGCAAATTTTATCTAAAAATTTTTTTTATAATTTATATATGTGGGTGAATCTCAAGAAATGTCCCCCTGTGTTACCCTGTGATATTTAATTAAACCAAATGAGTTTGACCTACACTTTTATTGTGTTTTGATCTTTCATTATTCACTAGATATTACAGCTCAGGTTCCAGATTTTTAACCGCAATTAATTATTTTTACAATGTTTTAAAAGTCTAAAACCTATCCTCCGTGACTGTTACTCTTTCTAGGTTAACCTATATGTTTTCAAATATCTGAGGTAGTAAAAGCATACTAAAAATATCAGTTCACTAAGTAAATTAAACACATCCAAAGCAATCGAATCAAATATAAAATATTAGGTATTAAAAGAATTAATTTTTATAACCATTTATGTAGGTGTTACAAAAATTGATTCTATCATCCGTGAATCTGTTTTTGCTTTAAATTTTATGCAACGGATGGCGCTTTAATCATTTTAAATAAGCAAAAAACTCTGTTTAAGTTCATTAAGTTGCCATTTAAAAACCTATCCACCGTGAAGTGTAATATCTCAGTAAGTAGATTTGTTTTATAAATATTTTATGTATGTACAATTGCATTTTTAAAAAATATTAAGGTGTCAAAAGATACAATAACTTATTTCAAATATACAAAGGGATGTTGAAAAAAAATATACGAAATCCTAACCTCCGTGAAGCTCTAATATTCCAAATGTATGATTTCTTAAAATTCTTGCATTAGTGCAGAACCACTTATGTTATGTTATTACTAGACCTGGTGGCTTCCCAAAAACCCCATTCTAGACTTACAGTGAAACAACCAAAAATAAAAAATATCATTTTCTCTTGGGGGACATTCCAATTATTATTCACCTGGAATATTTTTTCGACATAATCACCATAAACTCTGGATAGGTCTATAAGATTTTCAGTGTGTTCATTAAACATCAGTAGTTTTTTATATTGAGGATCCTGAAGAATTTTCAGCCTTTGTTCTCTTTTAACTTTGGTATATTCTGTATTTATCATAGCCCCCACAATCTTACCATCATTTTTACCTAGAATAATAATTTTCTTATACTTTTTTGTGTGGAGAGTCAAGTACAATATAGTATGATTGTTAAATTTATAAATGAAAGAAAATTATATTTTCACTGCCTCAATATTTTTAATCACAACGCACTATGGTCAAAAAGCAGCGTTTTGCGGAAAAAATTTGATCAATTTTTATTACAAATAAATATTAATATTTCTTTTTTTAATGTGTTTAATAGTAGTTATTACGTATAATTAACTATATTTTAATCAAAAAACATAACGGTTTTTATTTTTTAAATGGAAAATAATCAATAAAATCAAAACATAATTTTCTAAAAATATTTCTTTACCAAACACTATTGCTTTTAGATGTTTTTAGAAAAGTTTTTAAAAATGTTTTTTTGCTGCCGATAAATCATAGTGCGACGTTTCGACTAGTAAGTTCAGGTGAATACTGAATAAGTTAAGTAGCTACAGGTCACCCGTCTTAAACATAAATATACCTGTATCTACTTAACTTATTCGGTATTCACCGGAAGACGGGTAAATATGCACCAACATTTTTATTTTTTAGATTGCTCCAAATATTCTATTTACATTTTGCTACGTAAGAAAGTCCTTCTTGCAAATATTTTGTCGTCAAATCAAGAAATTGTATGGGATTTTCGATATTCAAGGTTTTGAAAGTTGGTTCATCCTTACAATAAGTTTTCTCCATCAAATTTAGAATTTCATTGTAATCATTTTTAGTTGGTCTGTAGTATATATAATTTGAATTTTGTGTTATCACCTTGAATGAAATTTATAAATTAGCAATAAAAATAATTTAGGATTTTTAGTTACCTACTGGCTTATTGAAAAAGGTAAAACATCTTGTAGGTATTTTAAGGAATGTTGTTTGAAAAAACAATGACACCATTTCATCATATATTTTGTAATAAGTACTCGTTATTTTATAGGTAGTTATAATTGTTTTACGATAAACAACAAGTAATTGGATGTTTAAAATGCGATATTTATTAATTATTTTCTACATTTTGTATTATCGTCAATATAAATTATACACGTCAAATGCGGGGGTAAGGTAATAAAGACAGGTTTTGTATCTAGCCCAATGTAAGAACAGTATGGAATTTCGTAGACTCTCTTCATTTTTAGCCTCTCACATATTTTTGCCCTGAAAAATAATAGTTTCCTATGGTTTTAATGCCTTCATTATAGGATCTGTCTACACGAGGTGTGTTCAGAAAATATCGGGAATTTTCGTTTTTTGAAACAAATATTTATTTATTCGTCTACATTAATGTTGTCGCCTTCAAAATAGTCCCCATTGGATATTATGCACATGTGCCAGCTCTTCTTCCAATACTCGAAACACTTCTATTACTCGATCTTTGGGATAGCCTTTAGTTCTTTCAGCGATGCGCTTTTAATGTCATCTATGCTTGCAAAACGACGGCCCTTTAAGGTTCTGTTTATTTTTGGGAATAGGAAAAAGTCAGACAGAGGCATGTCTGGCGAATATGGAGGCTGGGGCATCATTACAGTATTGTTTTTGGCCAAAAATTTTGTTCAAAATTTAACAATTTTAGAACAAATTTTGCTGCCACGCGTTTCATACCCAAAACATTCGAAAAAATTTCATGGGATGAGCCAATCGATATACCAACATCATCAGCGACTTCTCTGATGGTTTATAACCATTTCTTCCACTTTTTCCATGTTTTTATCGGTTATTAATGCGCTTCGGGGCGTTCGTCATCTTCAACGTCTTCACGGCCATCTTGAAAACTCTTATACCACTTGTAAACTCTTGTTTTACTTATAGCAGACTCACTATAGGCCTTTGTTAACATTTCACAGAACTTATTTCATTTTTTAAGCAAAATTGGATACAAATTCTTTGATCCATTTCTTTTAACGAACGAACTATCGCCGAGCTCATAAAACACGTCTAACCTTAGCGGCTGCCACAGACAAAGTAAACAATGAAAACAGCTAAAGTTTTTATCATACTTTTGGGGCATATATACCAACATAATAAAGACAATTTTATGACAACCGGGCCCTCCGAACCCGCGAAATTTAACAATTCCTGTTATTTTCTGAACACACCTCGTATATGCTTTAGTAGAAAGACAAATTTTCTTTCTTAGAAAGTTCCAAGGCTTTTTAATTAAGAGATGCAGATGAGCTAAAAAAACGTTTTCTTCATTCAAAAGAGAAATATCTTCCGAAGAAATATTTTTGGTTTTTGATTTAAGCTAATAATGTGATATCCTTAAACGAATAGATTAACCTCTCCCCTGAAGTAATTTAAAAAAAATTATGTTAAGATAGTTTCTGATTTAGATTAAGAAACATAGCTCTTGTCCCTATTCAAAAGCGCAAATCTTTCCATTTCTTTTAAGAGATTATTTTTTTCAGTGTAGACTAAGAACCTATTTACATTTTAATTAATTAATAAAAAACAAAAAGTAATAAAAGGTAGTTTGGTTCAGCGTTCATCAGAGAGTTATGGTGTTTTCAAAACAAGTTTATGGTCATCATTTTTTGCATTATTTTCAAAAACACCATACCCCTCTGAAGAACCGTGTATTTCTTACGTAAACGCACTGGTAGCGTCACAACGGATTATTTTGTACCCACAATCTCTCCCCAAATTTCTCGAGAGTTCTATTAACTTAGCAGCTATGCCTCTATAACGGTGCTCTGGGGATACAAAAACGCATTCAATCTAAAAAGAATATTTTGTTAAACTAACATCATAATACACTCACGTGCAAAATAATCGATCCACAAAAATTTTCGACGAATTTCAATCGCAAATAACTTTTTTATTTGATTTCGGATTTAAACAAAAATTAAAAAATATTGTAGATACATTAATGGAGAATTGCTCACATTTTAAAAAATACTAAAAAATATACGTACGTTTATAATATACAGGTTTAAACAAAAAGATGTTTTTTACCATAAGTTTAAGACACTCTGTAGAGTGGCAAAACCGTATACCTATTGTTCTAAATTAAGTTTTATTTATCAAGTTACATCTATTCTTAACAGTTTTGTTTTTGGTTTACCTCGATATATTTATTTTTATGGAAAATATGTATAAAAAAAAAAACATTGCAATTTCCAATATTTTTCTGTATGAAGAACTAAGGTTGCTATGGTCCATCCATAGGCTATGGAGAATGACAGTGACAGTTTTGTTGAATCATCCCATACTTGGACATGTCATACACGGCTTTCAAAAGCTATCAAATTGTTTTTTGCAAATTAATGTTTAAATTTTGAGGTGTCTTCTTACTTTATAAAATGGATATGTCTCCGACTGATGTTGCCAGAGCTATTTATTTAATCCAGGATGGACGGTCACAGTATTACGTGGCAAGTGTTTTAAACGTCATAAGAAGTAAAGTACAAAGGGCAACATCAGTCGAAGACATTTTTAAAAGTAAGAAGACACCTCAAAATTAACACATTAATTTACAAAAAACAATTTGATAGCTTTTGAAAGCTGCATAAGACATGTCCAAGTATGGGATGATTCAACAAAACTGTCACTGTCATTCTCCATAGTCTATGGATGGACCATAGCAACCTCAGTTCTTCATACAGGAAAAATATTGGAAATTGCAATGTTTTAAAAAAAACCATATTTACCACAAAAATAAATATATCGAGGTGAACCAAAAACAAAACTCTTAAGAATAGATGTGACTTGATAAATAAAACTTAATTTAGAACAATATACGGTTTTTCCACTCTACAGAGTGTCTTAAACTTATGGTAAAAAACATATTTTTGTTTAAACCTGTATATTATAAACGTACGTCTATTTTTTAGTATTTTTTTAAAATGTGAGCGATTGTCCATTAATTTATCTACAATATTCTTTAATATTCGTTTAAATCCGACATCAAATAAAAAAGTTATTTGCGATTGAAATTCATCGAAAATTTGTGTGGATCGATTATTTTGCACGTAAGTGTATAATAATAATTCATTACCTCGTATACTTTTTGTACATTAAAACATTTGAATAAGTTTGGAGCTCTCTGTATATGCGCGTAAAATAGGAAAAGCTGTCTTAATTTAGGGTCCTGAACACTGCAAGCCAATTTTTCCTTTAAATCTGGATCCCATGGGTTTGACGTGCAGTTTATACTTGCCCCCCACAATACACCCATCATATTTACCTTTAAAAAGTATTTTCGTATTAAGAAGATTTATAGTTGGGTGAATCTCAAGAAATGTCCCCCGCAATTAATTATTTTTTACAATGTTTTAAAAGTCTAAAACCTATCCTCCGTGACTGTTACTCTTTCTATGTTAGCCTATATGTTTTCAAATATCTGAGGTAGTAAAAGCACACTAAAAATATCAGTTCACTAAGTAAATTAAACACATCCAAAGCAATCGAATCAAATATAAAATATTATTAAAAATTAAAAGATATAATTTTTATAACCATTTATGTAGGTGTTACAAAAATTGATTCTACCCTCCGTGAATCTGTTTTTGCTTTAAATTTTATGCAACGGATAGCGCTTTAATCATTTTAAATAAGCAAAAACCTCTGTTTACGACATTATAGATGCATGTGATTCCTGAAGGTCAGTTAGAATTTATATGCAGATGAGAGTGTTGCTGTTTTATAATTCAAAAGTTTAACTTCATTAATTTGCTATTTAAAAACCTACCCACCGTGAAGTGTAATATCTCAGTAAGTAGATTTTTTGTATAAATATTTTATGTATGACAATTGTATTTTTAAAAAATATTAAGGTGTCAAAAGATACAATAACTTATTTCAAATATACAAAGGCATGTTTAAAAAAAACATACGAAATCCTAACCTCCGTGAAGCTATTATATTCAAAATGTATGATTTCTTAAAATTCTTGCATTAGTGCAGAACCACTTATGTTATGTTACTAGACCTGGTGGCTTCCCAAAAACCCCATTCTAGACTAACAGTGAAACGACCAAAAATAAAAAATAATCATTTTCACTTGGGGGACATCTCAATATATTCACCAATAATAATAAATACCCTACATCTGGCCACATAGGATAGTCCTTCAGCTAGGGATCTTGATGCCCCTTCCAAGCTAATTTTAGGGTCCTCTATTTGTAAGGCAGTGTACGTTGGTTCTTCTGTATAATAGGAAATCTTCATGAGGTCCAAAATGGCATCAGTGTCGCTTTTATTTGCCCTTAAAAAGATATAATCGGACTCCCTCAATGCCTAAAAAACAATATTTATTTAGTTCGTATGGTACAAGTTTTATATACTTTTTTCTTTTTGAACAAAGATATTCCTCTACAGGCATTTTGATAACTAAAGATTTTGTTGATTTTTTTCAAAAGAAGTGACATGTCAAAAATGATTAATACATTGTCAAAAAATACATGGTGACCAACTTATCTTTGTCAGCTCTTATATACAGGGTGATTCATTTAACTTGAAACTTTGAAATATCTCAGTTAGTACACAGTAAAAAAAAATCAACTCTAAGCAACACTAATTAGAGTTCACACAGGTCCACACTAAATAGTGTTGTTTTATAAAACTACAATTAGAGTTAATTTGTAGTGTAATTTTCCCCAAGTAAGCAAGTATGTTTTAACACTATAGCACTGAGGATAAAGTAATTTTACAGTTTAAGCCATAAACTTTAGCCATAAACTTTACAATTTCTACCCCAATTATATATAGATAGATCAATATCATCTTTAAGACTTAAAACAAGACTAACCTGAATAAAAAAAAGAAAATGCAGATAGAACACTATAATTCTCAGGTGACGAATTATCAAAATCGGTGCCTTTTAAAATATAATTTTATATTTAAGTCGTATGGCTTGCTTAAGCAAAATGGTTCCTTAAAACGTAAAAGCTTTAGATCAATGCAATGTTTTACTGACTGGCAACTTGTAAGCAATGAATAATCTTGAGAATTCATCAGTAATCCATTTTTCTGTTATAAAAAATGGCTGATCCCATTGGTAGAGAGGCGTCAGGCGGCTGTATGTCGGGGATTTACCACACGTATACAAATTTTCCATAATATTAATAAAAATGTAGGTATATATTTATATTGTAGCGAGTACCGCTCTGGATATCGGAGTGATGACTCATCGCCGGTTAGTCATCGCCGATGAGTCATCGCCGGTGACTCAGCGCTCGAACAATCGAGAGTGTGGAGCTCGCTGGAATGTTCCAGAAGACCTTGGCGCTGAATATATAAGAAACGGAGCAGTACACGGCAGTTAGTTAAGATTTGGTACTCGCGGCGAAATAAATAAATATAAGTGCAAATAAATAGACTCTTGAACAATAGTGATATATAAATAATTAGTAGTTAAGTGTTTAGTTAGTTTTATAGTGTTTTAAGTGTAGTTAAGTTATTAAATAAATAGTTTAGTTCGTTAATTAACCAGTGCGTGTTTTAATTCACACTACGAACAGTAAAAACGTTACATTGGTGTCAGAAGTGGGATAGCAAAAAGATCTGTTCACGGTTTCGGCCGATTACTCCCTGGCTCACTGTGTTGCGGAAGACCTTAGGATGTCCAGGGGAATAGCGGTTGTCTTTAAAAACAAGTTTGGACGGGTCGACGAGCTACGAAGGCAGAATCCCAAAGTTGGAGAGGTGCTTGAAATTGTGGATAATGAGCAGATAGGCAATAGAAGTATCTTCTATCTGGTAACGAAGCAACTCTCCAATCAGAACCCAAATTACCGTGACGTATGGAATGCCTTAAATAAATTGAGGGATATCCTTTTGTCCAAGGACATCATGAACCTGGCGATACCGAAGATTGCTTGTGGACTTGACGGCTTAGACTGGAGAATAATTAGAAGTATGGTGGAAGTTATCTTCAGATTTAGTGGCATACACATTCTTGTCTGTTGCCACAACCCTAAAAGAACATCCGGAAGGAAGACCGTAGACTGCTACTTCTATAGGACGTCACAATGCAAGTTTGGATCTCTATGCAAATATCGCCATGGAACTGAGGACCATTTTCGGGACGAAAATGTTTTAAGACGGGGGCAATGTAGCGAGTACCGCTCTGGATATCGGAGTGATGACTCATCGCCGGTTAGTCATCGCCGATGAGTCATCGCCGGTGACTCAGCGCTCGAACAATCGAGAGTGTGGAGCTCGCTGGAATGTTCCAGAAGACCTTGGCGCTGAATATATAAGAAACGGAGCAGTACACGGCAGTTAGTTAAGATTTGGTACTCGCGGCGAAATAAATAAATATAAGTGCAAATAAATAGACTCTTGAACAATAGTGATATATAAATAATTAGTAGTTAAGTGTTTAGTTAGTTTTATAGTGTTTTAAGTGTAGTTAAGTTATTAAATAAATAGTTTAGTTCGTTAATTAACCAGTGCGTGTTTTAATTCACACTACGAACAGTAAAAACGTTACAATATTACTAATGTTACAAGTACCAGACCTACTGCCTTAAATTATTGATATATAATATAGGTCGGACATGGACATCCTTTTAACATATTGGTATTTGTTAAGTATTAAGGCTTAAAGAAAAAAGAAGTATAATACTTAGCTAAAAATAAGAATGTCTCCTTATGGATTCACCGTAATTAAAATCTAACTGAACAAAAATGCCACACTTCCACAACTCGATATCTCCGGATATGCACTGCGTAGGTAGATAGGTACCAACCAAACATTTTAAAACGCATTTCGGTTATTACCAGTTTTTTCAGTCCATTTTGCCACTATTGGTGTAATTTAACTTTAATTGTGATACAATATGCACTAGTAGTGTAAAGAAAAAAGAGCTCTTAGTAACATCAAAACAGACAAAGAAATTGGCATGCACTGTATTATACATTTTGTCACTATTTAACACATTAAGGGGTAATAAACACTCGCATTAAGTTTTTCTACCCTTTTGATTTATTTGAATAAGAATTAAATAAATTAGAATTAGAATTAAATAAATTAATTGACAAAATAATGTTTTTTACCTTAAATGAGGTATTTTTATTAAAAATAGTACAATAATCCTTTTAATTAAAGGATTTAATGCTGATGGGTAAAAAGTGACCATGGTGCGCAATTGATAATTATCACCGAATGAAATAATGTATAAAACTTAAACCAAAGGAAACTTAAATATTAGTTACAATTGTAGCAGAATCGTATAAGAAGAAAAATCGAACAAAATTGATTTTTTTGAATTTCTATTAGAAGAACAATATTACAATACAGACTTTACATAACGTTATTGATAAATCGTTTATGTAAAATTATAAAAACAACTTTTATGGATCACTGCGTCTGTCCATTACATCTTGTACATAATAGGCAATAAATTACTTAATAAACCGCATGAGTATTTTTCTACACAAACCATTATTTATAAAAGCCAAAATCGTAAATTCTCACCATTACGGTAGTAACAAATATAAGTAAATTACTTGGACATAAATTTCAGTCGTATAATAAATTTTGCTAGGGGTTCCTATATCTGTACTGGTATTGTAAATTTTACTTTCGACGCGTCCTCTAAAGGAGTTAACATGTCAAAGATGTTGGGTGCGATTTTTCTGGTTTTTATAGCCAGTGCGGAAAGTTTGACCTTACCGGACACTTCAGAGATCACGGGAGATTATTTAAGGACTAAAAGAGATACTCCTGAGGGAATTGAAGATATTTTAGGACCAGGTGAGATATTATTAAGCAGTGATTTTTAAACAACATAAAAACACATCAACTTGGGCTACCCAGCACTAATGAGAACAAAAGTCCAGTAGACAAACATGTTTACAGAGTTTAAAAAACACAATGTTTTTATTGTGAAAATATGTAATTTTCCTAGTGGGGTAGACAAGTATTATTTAGGGTTAAGTAGACAGTTTATAGTTATTGGACAATTAATACTGTACAAACAAGAGTTCTATAAATAGTTACCTTAAAGTCAAATCATTAGATGACGCTGTATACATTTATAACTATCTCAGTCGGTAATAATATAGAACTACTTTATTTTGGGTCCAATATAGGACAAAAAAGTTCGTACGTTACCTTGGTGGTAAGATTTTTGTTTTTTTGTTAACAGCAGGGCTGTGTTTAAATTACAATAAAAAATATTTCTAAAAAGTGAACAGATCAGTGTGTGGTATAAATGTGTTCCTCATGGTTTAAACATTGTCACTTTAATGCGTTTTAATTTTAATTCTGAAAACAAACAGTAAAATGGCCAGTGTCCAATTACTGGTTGGTAAAAAATGTAAATTTCCATTATTGGACATATGTCCAATATCATAAGTTATTTATATCCCGGACACTTACCAGCCACTTCTTTTGTAAAATTGTCCCCTGAATCCGAAAAGACCGTCAAAAACTATAAAAGTTAAGCAGTTTTTGAGATATAGTCAATTCCATATTATATGTAAAATTGATTATATTTCAAAAACTGTTTTACTTTTATAACTTTTGACGACATTTTCGGATTCAGCGAATAATATTTCATAGGAATTGACTGCTAAATGTCCTGTATACAAATTGCTGTTGATGAGAATTATTAGTGGATGCTTTTCCCCTATGACATTTTTGACTAATTCATTTTAGAGAGTAAGTAATATAGTGATTTCTTCGTCACAGGACATCTTGCAGAATAACAGTGATTTAAATACAGTTCATGAAAGAGAACATTAAAAACTAATGGCAACAAAATTAATAAATTCGGACCACCCAAAAAAATATTAGATATATATATATAAATCATCCTGTTCCTGCCTAAACATTATAAATGCTTTACAAACTAGAGATACCACACTTAATGATATTTGCAACAAACTATTTCAGAAGTCAGATCAAGGAATTAGTAGTTACCTTCAGAATCCAGAAAAGGGATGAGGAATCCGAGAAAGAAATATATGATTTATATGATATTTACAAAAACGAAATAAAAAAAATTACCTAAATCAGAATTTTATCTTTAAAAATTATTTAACAATTTATGTTATTTGATGTAAAGTTGTTATGTGTATATAAAAATTTTATGTCCAATAACTATGGTCCATGTGTCCAATTACTATATAAAATGTCCAATTACTATACTTTTTTGCATGTTTTTATAAAACTAATATTAAAATTCAAATATTCTTATTTTTAAGTAAACGCAAATAAAGTTTAAACAAACAAACTATCCTTTTTGTATATTTATAAGAAAAAAACTAAAATCTTTAAAACAAAGGCATATATAAATAAATAATATTCCTTAAGTGTCCAATAACTATGTATTTTACCCTACCTAAAAATATGTAAAGTTAAAAAAATATGTTTGTTAAGTAAACAAATTAAAAGGTAATATTTTAAATTAAACAAAGTTTAGTGATGTAGGAAAAGTTGTAACGGAAATAGGTAATTACATTTGATTTGCCTAGATATGTCATTCTTATAATTTAAGTGTATATTATTAGGGCTTACTAATAGTAAGAGTAAAAATTATACATTTTTTTCTAGAAATTTTAATTTGTTTATTTGCTTTGTTACCTTCATATAAAATTAGATAAACCGAGGACGTTATCCAGTTTAATTTTGATTTGTTAATTGAGAACATTGAATAATTTGCTATTGGGAAATGTTACGTGAAAAGTTGTTAATTTTTTTTATGTGTTCTTTTGGGGTTGCCTTAAGTTACCCCATTGAATATGAGGAGACTTATAAAGTAAAAACGCATATTACTTTAAAAATTCCTAATGATAAAGACAATTTTATCGGTGCAGATAGCGTAGAGAAGTTTTTGGAAAGTAAGTTAGAATGTTAAGAATTGTTAAAAAAAAATTTCATTCCTAACACTAAACTGTTTAAAATGTTACAAATGTAAAATTACTACATTTTACTAAGTAGTTCCATAGTAAAATTACAGTAGAATTGAATTTGAAATTTTGTAAAATTTCTATACATATTCAGAATTTAATAATCAATAAAATTACTAACCAAAATTTGCTATTTGAATTACAATAAGTGTTTGGAAATATACAAATCATTATTTATTTTATACAACTTCTGTTTGTATTTTTACTATATATCATTTTAATCATGTACACTGTTAAAATTTTTTGTAAAATAATAATAATAATAATAATAATAAATTTATTTTCCATTCAAATACAATACAAATTCATTTTATTTAGAATATTTTAAACATAGAAAAAAAAACAAAAAAAAAAAATTGTACAAAAAATGGAAAAATCTCTGGGGTGTGTTCAGGCAGATAGAATAGTTCTATCCCCCGGTTTTACACAATTACAATTACAATTGTTTTGCAAAACAAATTACAAATCAGTGTATACCAATACAAATTTGAGTAATCTTCCAAGACATGTTGGGAAATCTACTAAGATAAGTTGTAATTTTACAATCTATATGTATAAATCCTACACGCATTGTTATTTTACTAAACAGTCTGACAGTTTCTAATAAAAAGCATCTCAGATTTACAAACGTTGTTTGTAATTTGATTTGCTATAATGATATGTAAAATACATAGTATGTACCAATTGCGGCAATCACATGATGTTCTTACATCTCGCCTCGGTTGACTTAGGTGGACAGTATATAAGCTCAGGTGTCTTTCGTTTTTGGTGTGTTCCAATTAGGGGTGTCAATCCCGAGCCCATTTTCCAATCCCGGGCCTTTCGGGACCAAAGGTAACTAATCCCGGGATCCCGGGATCAGTCTCGAAAAAATATATATCATTAATTTTAAAACCAATTTAAACACACCAGTCGGAAGAATGGTTTTCAAGAATTCGTAGGCATATTGTACCCACGTTTACCCCTATTAACAAATAATTCCATTTCTTTTATCAATCGGGCCTTGGTGAGTTCCAATTGGGGCTGTAACTTACATTGAAATTATCAATTTGTGACATTTTTACAGGTTTGACGTTTGAAATATGTTATATTATAGGTTATGTCCACAAATTTATTCTACAGTGACCTGTAATTTAACATTTTCTTTGCTGATATTATATTATAGATGGAACCACTCTTGCTATGTTATTTCAAAGTGTTTGGATTATTGTACGGCGGTGTATAATAATTTGACTTGAACTGAGTAAAAAAATGAAGTGTTTATATATATGCTTATGAATCATAAAGTCCCAATCCCGGGATCTTAGTAATAAGTTACAAAGAATAAAATAGACTTTTTTTTAAGCGTCTGATATTTTTTATATTATAATAATCAAGTTATGATTATTATAATATAAAAAATGTCAGACGCTTAAAAAAAAGTCTATTTTATTCTTTGTAACTTATTACTAAGATCCCGGGATTGGGACTTTTAATCCCGGGATTTTCGGGATTGGATTTTTTACGGGATCCCGGGACCCCGGGATTTCGGGATCCCGGGATTGACACCCCTAGTTCCAATACACCAAATTGCCCGACATGGATAAGACCCAAAATACGTATATCTGTCTAGCTGTCTGTCGGTATTTGAAGTTGGTGGAACGCACTTAAAACAAAAACTCTGGCGAGGTGAAGGTTCAATTTTTTTAAATCTTTACAGTAATTACAGTACAGAAAATTGCTTTTTTGTAGTATAATTACTAGATATTTTAAGTGTAATTTGTTTTACAAAATAACAATATTTGTATTGGGCGATTCCGCGGGAGACGATTTTTGACATAAATTTTTAAATCACAGTATTTGTTACTTTTTTATACCAATACAAAGAGAAAGATATAAATTTAATAATAAAAAAACTTTGAAGAACTTAAGTTATTATTTGAATATTTAGCGCGCTCAGAAATGGTGGCGCCTGAAGACTTCATGCAAACCATTCATCGACACTTCATAATTTTTCCACGAAATCGCTATTACCGGTGGTTTGAGGTTATATTTCACTGATGAATAATGAAGTCATAACATTTGTTTATTGCCTTATATAAAAAAATTAAATATTTATTATTATTTTTCTAACGATATTGATTAAATAAGAAACCATTGTTGGTCAGTTGCACCCGCGATATAAAAGAAATGAAAGTTTGGTTTTCTTGAAGAAATAAATTGGTAATTTTTTGAAACTTTGTAGAAGTAAGAAGAAATAAAAGGAAAACTTGATTCAGTCGCAATAGAAGGTATATTGTCATTTTAATTAAAATTAACGTTGACTAAAATGAGTTGCACCCGCGATCAAAATATTAGAATCGCGGGTGCAACACTTATGACTCTTACGATTACATTAGGGAATTTTTAGCGAGTTACCGGTAATAAAAAGTTAAAACCATTTTATTTTAGCGAGTAACCGGTAACTGCATGAAATGTCAAATGAGTAACCGCGGTTAAGAATTGAGTAACACAGATGTTGAGTAGTGTTACTGGTAGCGGTAAATATTCTTCTCTTTTTAATGCAAGTTTTTTGTTTATTTTTACTATGTTTGACAGTTCTCGATATCGAGCTTTTGAGTTTAGCTAATTTTACCGGGTTTTTGGGTTGAACCAACGGTTCAGTTAATTTTAAAATTAAAAATGATTGAAATTCGAATGGTAAATATAAGCCTTAATCATCAGGGAAGGGATATAAATTTAGAAGTAGATGAGGAAACGGCGAATGTATTGTTAAATGGTAGGTAAATATTTTCATTTTTTACTAGATACAAATTTATTTATTTTGTATATTTTTTATAATTTTTGCTATATAATTCTTTTATATCCATTAAATTTCATAAAATAGCAAACTAAACTAAAGGTAAACAAGATTTAAGGTTATGTCGAACTTTTTGACATTTATGTCAAATTAGTTTTGACAACCGCTACTAAAAAAAAAACGTAGAAAAGTTACAAAAAAAGTAATGCAAAAGTTACGCGTTTCTTATTTTTACAGCGATTCTGAAGATGAACCTTAAGGCTGATAAATCGCCGACTATTCCAAACAAATAATTTATTTAAGTTACATAGGAAAGTGCTAATTAGTGATACAGCATCTATGGTCTCATATTTTTAATTTAAAGTTACATGGAAATGTTTATATTCACTACAGTGAGACGAGTTGCACCCGCGATAATTTTATGTTGCACCCGCGACTGGATAAAAAGTGAATAATTTATAATATTTATTTCTTTTAATAATTTTATTTAAGTTATTAATTAGTTTATTTTATATTCTTTTAAATAATGTAAAAATAATTTAGTAAATATTCCATAATTAACAGACTTTATTCATTCTAGCTTCAGGAACTTTAATGGTGGGCCGATTTCGTTGCACCCGCGATAGCACTTTGAACCTCTCCTGTGTCTATTTATACATTTTATTAAATGTTTTTTATATTAATTTTTGTAAAACAGATTACAATGTAATCCTGCGACTAGTCATTTCTTTAAAAGGAGTTTTTATTTTCTTAGTAAGAAGCCTTGAGTGAGTCTAAATGTTGCACCCGCGAGTACGGAATCGCCCTATTGTAATATTGCGAAACGAATTTTCTTCAGTTCGGTAAAATTGTAAAATATATTTTGTAATTTTCTTAAACTGAGTTAAAATAAATTGTATAGTATAATTACAATATACCATTTTAAAATTACTAAACATATTTACAATAGAAATTTTTAACAGTGTATTTTTGGTTCCTCTATTTTTGTATAGATGTCGAACTATACAAAATTTATATTAATTTGTAATACATTATTTTTTATAATAGTAAAAAAATAGTATGCAATCCGTTTAGAAATTCTAGATATTAATTTTGTACCCATTAAGAAAGGCAAGAGAATAAAGATAGTAAAATAGTATATTATGTATCAAGTTTGATAAACGCCATTTTATAAACAAATTTAATGAGTGTATAGAAAAGTTTATAAACGAGTTACATACTATACTTTTTCTACGACAAATACTTATTATTATCTTAAAATGATTTAAATCAAAAATTCGTATAGAGCGCCATCTATGAAACAATAAGGGAATCTGTGTGTCACTGTCAAATGTCAAATTATTATATTTTATAAACACAGATTATAAAGGTTATAAATCGAAATGTATTTCTTGAAAATTGACAGTTTTTCACAGTGAAAGTAAAGAAAATGTTTTATGAGCACTTTACAGTGGAGCCCGTGCCTGAATTTAAGTTATAGTTTACAGCCGGCGAAATTAAAAGGTCAGTACAATGTTCATATAAACTTTTCAAATATTGGCGTTGAGAAACTATTTAATACTTATGTATTTTTGTATTGAGATAATAATATAATTTTCACATTTAGTATTATTTTACAAGATAGGCACTTTATTTTAACGATTGTATGACATTTGACAACTGTCAACTAACTTCAGCCCGTAACTAAAGCGCCATAAAGCCACAACTTGTCAATGTGTATTTAAAAGGTCACTTAGTGTCATGGAAACATGTACTATAAAGGGCGTTTTAAAGGTGGGAGTAGAAAAAATATTTTTTTCCAAATTTCTATTTTTTTATAGGTATTCAGGACGCCTTCTTCCACACCTACGGCGACGACAAAGATGGCGACGGAGATCTACAGGGTTACTCGAAAAAATACGACGATGACGGTGAAGACGGATACAAACATTTTGACAGCTACCACAAAAAAGACGGTGACAACTATGCGTTCGAGAAGCATACGGAATACGGACAAGAAAACAAAAACGAAGCGGACGCCGGGGAAAAATCGCAAAAGTTGCAGGAAAACGAAGAAAGTAGGTCTTAAGTTTTAACAAAAATCGTTTATCCAACACATGACAGTTATGACTGTCATTATTAATGTCATTTTAGACAAGTAAACTATCAAATTATTGTTAGTAGTAGGAAAACGCTAACGGTTTATTCGAATTTGAAGTCATTGTAAAATTCTTCGGTTCATTGGAACCAGACGCTCCTATATCGGTACAGCTGCTGATATTGCTGGAAGACGCCGACGCATTAGAACCTTGTATTTTTTCTGCAATTTGTATTTTGTTATGCACCGATTCTTCTAGGTATCCTTCTGCTACCGTCGAGGACTTCCATCCTCCGTGACGCTTCAAAGTAGTCATGTTAGCCCCTGCATTGGCCAAAAGAGTCGCCGAAGACCTTCTCAGGCAGTGACCGGTGTAGAGCGCTGGTTCCTCCAATTTCAAAAACATTGCAATTCTTGAAGGTATCTTCGGCAATGTGTTTATTCCCACACACTGGCTGGTACACCTCCCATTTTTGTAAAAAACAAAAAAGCGGCTAGAACTAGTATTCTTTGGTCTCAAAGACATGTATTTTTTACACAAATTGATCGGGTTGACTGGAAATCCTTCTTCAAGTATGGCGAAACTTCTCAATTTCTTGGTTTTATAAAACTATACTATAGTGTCTGGCAGAACTACGTGAAAATATTTCCCTTTGCCTTGAATATTTTCTATTTTTAAATTGACCAATTCATCGCATCTACAAGCACCGCTAATCCCCATTATCAAAGCCACTTTCATCAACAGGTACTCGTCGTCGGGAGCTTCGTTCAAAAACTTCTCTATTTCAGGTCGTTCTAATGTCTTGGACTTCTTTGGTTTGTATCCCTGTGATTTGCTTTTCAAAAAGCTCGTTAGTTTGCCATATTTTGAAATGTCGATTTTTTATAAAGGTCGATTTTTTACAAATGTAAAAAATAATCCAATAGAACATTTTCATCGATACCTTTTATCTTCCGTGAATTCATTCAAGACTCAAACATTTTGAACTCCTTGTCGTAAGCATCTCGGGACTTTTCTGGCAAAATCTGCATCGCTGCTTCTTCAAAAAAGCTTCCCTTTTCTGCAGGGAAAACTGACAAGTGTCAAAATGTAACAATGTATCATGCCCGTGGCAACCAAACCAACAACCTACTTTGACCAAAATGTAAAAAAGTCACTGTCAAGTCATTCTAACATTTATAGGGTACTGAGACGCAAGTAGCTTTTATTTGATCACAAAGCTTATTAATTATTATCTCATATCTTGTGTTATGTTCCCTAAGTCACTTGAGAATTTATACCAAATATTTCAACATAACACACTAGTATCATAAATAACTATTTTTTTATTTTTTATTACATAAAAGTCTTTGGAATTTTATATTTGTTAGGTACACCCTGCATTTGTATACACTTATATACACTTAAAAATTAAAAACTACGTTTTATTTATTTTAGTTTTGTTTCACAATTAGCATATAATATCTGATATAATATCAAAATAAGTGGTATGCTAATTGTAGAAGAAAACTAAAATAAATAAAACGTAGTTTTAAATTTTCAAGTGAGTCCATTTCAATTAAACAATTTAAAAACAAATTAGGCGGGCCGGGAAAAGGGATTAGAGACTCAAAAGTAGGACTGTAGTAATTGCTTGAATTAATTTAATTAAATAACAGTGCACTTTTGGGAGCGTAGATAAAGGGCTAAAGTGTAACTTATTAATGCGACTTAACTGGTATTTATTGTAGTTTGAATTATATTGTAATATACAGTCTGTAAAAGGTCTTTACTCATTTCCAGAAAGTTTCGTCAAACTTCCAATATAAAAAATGCGGATGCGGATGCGGATGTAAACAAGTGTGCGGAACTTCCGCATTGAATTTTTACTTCGCCTGGCAACACTGTTGAAGATAACCAGACGTGTTAGTTTAGGGTATTTTGATAACATGATTAATTAGGGATATCTATTTTAGCTACATATCACGTAACTGATAACAATTGAATGAGATTTATATTAAAAATAATAAATAGAAAGTTAGGTGTACTACATACTTGTTATGAAGATTTTTATCAATACGTTAATTATTTTTTAATGATGACTTGAGCGAAGGTTATCAAAATGCTCTTTAATATTAAATATTTTATTTTTATTTATTTTTTTCTTTATTTACAGTAAATGATTATGATGACGCAGAAGAAGAGGATGAAACTAAAAATGTATACAAGGTGGCCGTTCCATTAAAAGAGTAAGTGATTTTTTTATTGATAAAAAAATAATTTTTGAGTAAAATATGTTTTTTATTAAGTGGGTGAATAATATTCACTGAATATATTGAAATGTCCCCCAAGTAAAAATGTTTATTTTTTATTTTTGGTTGTTTCACTGTCAGTCTAGAATGGGGTTAGGATTTCGTATGTATATTTGAAATAAGTTGACACCTTAATATTTTTTAAAAATACAATTGTACATACAAAAAATATTTATAAAAAAATCCACTTACTGAGATATTACACTTCACGGTGGATAGGTTTTTAAATAGCAAATTAATTAACTTAAACTTTTGAATTATAAAACAGCAACACTCTCATCTGCATATAAATTCTAACTGACCTTCAGGAATTACATACATCTTTAATGTCGTAAACAGGTTTTTGCTTATTTAAAATGATTAAAGCGCCATCTGTTGCATACAATTTAAAGCACAAACATATTCACGGAGGATAGAATCAATTTTTGTAGTACCTACAGCACCGCATAAATGGTTGTAAAAATTATTTCTATAATTTTTAATAATATTTTATATTTTATTCGATTGCTTTGGATGTGTTTAATTTACTTAGTGAACTGATATTTTTAGTATGCGTTTACTACCTCAGATATTTGAAAACATATAGGTTAACCTAGAAAGAGTAACAGTCACGGAGGATAGGTTTTAGACTTTAAAATACTGTAAAAAATAATTAATTGCGGTTAAAAATCTGGAACCTCAGCTGTAATATCTACTTAATTATGAAAGATCAAAACACAATAAAAGTTTAGGTCAAACTCATTTAATTTTTTTGGGGGACATTTCGTGAGATTTACCCAAGTATACCTACACCGAAAAAAATATATTCGTTGAGTTAACATTTGCCTAAATGTCATTTTTGAAAATGTTGTTTCAACAAAAAACCTATTGGATTAATCTATATTTTGGTGTCAAAGCAATAGTCAGAGTTTGTCAAAGTTTATTTGTTCATTTGACAATTTAAAATATTGATCTTACATGAACTAATTGTTTGAATTAAAGTTTTTATCCTATTTTGATTTAATAGCTGGAATTGGTTAAATCAAATACTAAAATTGTTGGGATTACCTAAAAAAACTATTAGATTAACGTTTAGTTGCTGTTTAATCCACAACATTAAATTTGTTCATTTAACAAATTGTAAATGTTATTTTAAAATTTAAAATGTTAAATTTGCATTCATAAAGTTGCCTTAACACTCTAAGAATGTTAAATTAACAAAATTAGCAGATTGGAACAAATATCCTAATTTTGTTCATTTGACTGTTATTTGTTGTTTAATTAAACAATACAATTTGACATTTTTAGATGGTTAAGTAAACGTGCAAAAACCATTGCTTGTATTTAAAGTGCATAAAGAGTTGAATTAATATTTTTTTTGTTGTTTCAACAGCTTATTTTTTTCAGTGTACTTGAAAATGTCTAGAAATTAAAATATGTACCTACGTGAGATGATATGACCTGATTTGATTCATTTGATATTATCGGAAGCATTTGTATATCTAATAGTTTGAAAATTAAACTTTAAACTTGGAAATATTGATTTTTAAAAATTTTAGTTCAAATATTTTTTTCTACAAAATTTTCGGTTTATACTTGTAAAGAATCATTTAAATGTTAGTCGATCAATTTTTAATACAAAATTCTTACATTACATTTAAATGTAAGTTTTAAATTTTAGAGTGGTAATTTTTGTATTAAAAATTTGTCGACTATCATTTGAACGACTCTTTACAAATTTAAACCAAAACTTTTTATTTTTAACAATTCTAAATTGATACATTTGTAACACAAAATTAATTTTATAAAATATTTATTTAGGATTCACAAAATTCTGCCCAAATAAATTATACGGGTTATTTTCAAATTTCTTGTACATTTGCGGTCCCTTAACTTTAATATTTCATAAAAAATTAAGTTTAACGCCATTTGGAACTTTCTTAAGTGTTTTTTGCAACTACGAGCCCTGTCTCAGTGAAGTTGGCCCAACTAACAAAAATAGTTTTTTGAAGATATTTAGAATATTATACGGGAATTAAATTTAACACATTGTTTTAATTAAATAAATAACGTGTATACCTACCTAATAAAAAATATTTAAAATTCTCTTATATTGTCCGTAAACCAAAAATTAGGAAAAAAAAATATTTTAAATAAATACATTTTAATTGGAAACTACCACTGCGTAACATCTCGTTTATGGCTTATTACTGCCTGTATACGTCTCGGCATGGTGTCAACCAATTTTTGACAATCATCCAAACCTTGTAAGTTTTAAACCCAATTTTATGACAGGTTGCTCTTGAAAAACATTTACTCGTTGCCTGATTCCACAAAACTTTTAATTCACCGTAATTAGCCCTACGATTTTGAACGATAATTCTTCTTAAAGCCCTTAAATTTTTATCAGAATAGTGAGGACGACTTCCATTTTTTGGTTTCTGCGCCACAGATCCTGTAATTTTGTGCAGTTTAATAATATTTCGCACTGTATATCGTGACAAATTAATAGTTTTAGCGATTTGTGCAGCGGATTTTCTTTTTAAATGCAAGTGAATTATCACTTTTCTTATTTCTTCAGAAACAGCTTTTCCTCGGGACATTATTATTTGTCAACCACACCGAAAGCATAAATATATACTGGAATGTCACGACTTGCTTACAATTATTTAAATGTCAAATATTATCTTTACTTTTAGCACAGCCGACTTGCATTAAAAAATCTGGCCATCCAAGTTAATGCATTTTTGTCGATTTTTTTGTATTGTAACCAAACATCCAACTTAAAACTAAATAATATACATACACATATTTTTAAAAAAATTTACAACATGAAGATTGACCAAGAATTACATTTGATAAAAAATTGTTGGCTTTTCATCGCATAAAATTACAAATTTTATATTTTGAGTGGTTGGGCCAACTTCACTGAGACAGGGCTCGTATATATTAGCAAAATTGTAAAATTTTATATTTAACTCCTAAATAAAATTTAAAAAAATTAACACATTCATTTCATTCATTTTTTATTTTGATGGCAACAAAAATAGGATTTTGGTTGATAGTACACTGAAAAAAATAAGCTGTTGAAACAACAAAAAAAATATTAATTCAACTCTTTATGCACTTTAAATACAAGCAATGGTTTTTGCACGTTTACTTAACCATCTAAAAATGTCAAATTGTATTGTTTAATTGAACAACAAATAACAGTCAAATGAACAAAATTAGGATATTTGTTCCAATCTGCTAATTTTGTTAATTTAACATTCTTAGAGTGTTAAGGCAACTTTATGAATGCAAATTTAACATTTTAAATTTTAAAATAACATTTACAATTTGTTAAATGAACAAATTTAATGTTGTGGATTAAACAGCAACTAAACGTTAATCTAATAGTTTTTTTAGGTAATCCCAACAATTTTAGTATTTGATTTAACCAATTCCAGCTATTAAATCAAAATAGGATAAAAACTTTAATTCAAACAATTAGTTCATGTAAGATCAATATTTTAAATTGTCAAATGAACAAATAAACTTTGACAAACTCTGACTATTGCTTTGACACCAAAATATAGATTAATCCAATAGGTTTTTTGTTGAAACAACATTTTCAAAAATGACATTTAGGTAAATGTTAACTCAACGAATATATTTTTTTCGGTGTAGGTAATGCAAAACTAACTTAATTATTTTTTTTATTAAGGGTTGGAAAAAAATACCTAAAATCAAATCCCTCTGCAACCTACAGACAAAAACGTCAATCTGATGATAGAAGCTATGAAAGAAGAAGCAACAGACGTAGAGACAGATATGATGGTATTTTTTTTTAAATAATTTTTACAAAAACTTTTACTATTTAAATGTAATTTCAGATGATGACGATGACGATGATGACGACAGAAGGGGCCGTCGTTACAGACAATCTGATGAAGATGACGATGATTACTGAAACGTCTTTCTATCTAAGCATATTATATTTAAGCCATATGTTATACTACTAAAAATGTTTTCGTTTAACCAAAAATAAATCTACTTAAAAAAATCCATATTTTTTTAATTATTTATCCAAAAGTACCCCGTGATATTTAATAAAACCAAATGAGTTTGATCTACACTTTTATTGTGTTTTGATCTTTCATAAGTAAGTAGATATTACAGCTCAGGTTCAAGATTTTAACCGCATTAATTATTTTTTACAATGTTTTAAAAGTTTAAAACCTATCCTCCGTGACTGTTACTCTTTCTAGGTTAACCTATATGTTTTCAAATATCTGAGGTAGTAAAAGCATGCCAAAAATATCAGTTCACTAAGTAAATTAAACACATCCAAAGCAATCGAATCAAATATAAAACATTATTAAAAATTAAAAGAAATAATTTTTATAACCATTTATGTAGTAAAATTGATTCTATCCTCCGTGAATCTGTTTTTGCTTTAAATTTTACGCAACGGATGGCGCTTTAATCATTTTAAATAAGCAAAAACCTCTGGTTACGACATTATTCCTGAAGGTCAGTTAGAATTTATATGCAGATTTTGCTATTTAAAAACCTATCCACCGTGAAGTGTAACATCTCAGTAAGTAGATTTTTTGTATAAATATTTTATGTATGTACAATTAATAATAGCATAGCATAGCACCTTCACCAATTTTTCTTATTCTGGTAAAAAAAATTCGTAAATTTTCACTAATAAAAAATGGTAGGGAATCCCAAAACTATTTTTAGCTCAATAAAAACCGACTTTTCTCGGAAGCCATTAACATTGAAAATGCTAAGTTGACTGATGATTTTAAATACGTATACTCTGATAGCAGCAAGACCAAAATATTGTGGGAACGTCTGGATATAAAAGAAAACAAAACCGATAAGAATTAGTGTAGTCAACGCTCACATCAAATGCTGTAGTTAAACTGTTCTAGATTAGAAATATCCGGCCACACAACTACTTGAACATGTGTTGTGGATTTTAAAGTGTGAAATTGTGATTTAATTTATGTTATTTTGTTGTATTATTTTTCGTGTAAATTAGCAGTAAAAATGAATAACACAGAGGAAATTAAAGAAAACGGGAAAAAAGTGCAACATTACTATGAGGAAAACTATGTGGATACCTATTTTTCGGATAACAAAATCAAAATTCCAGATGAAAAAGAAGTAAGATATTTTTATTACTTTTGACACAATTTTTGACTTTTATGGCTGACAAGGTGTGATTCAATAATGTAACTTATGTAAACATCACATGTTTTTTAAAATTTACATGCATACATACAACATATCATAAAAATTATAAATAACAATAGTAAATAGCTGTCAAGGTAATATACAGTAAAATTAGTGGGTAAACTACCAGGTTAAAAATAGAATTAACTTTTCAAATTACCTAATAATTGCTTTAAAATTTAAAATTGTTTTACAAAAATTACCATACATACCTATAAATATTGATAACCCTATAGGGTATAGATACCTACCTTGGTTGTCAAAAAATTGTATTTTTCTAAATACAGTTCATTTTTTTTTATCTGACAATAATATTTATTATTGATCATTTACTTGTCAATTATAAATAAAAAGATAATTATGCCAAAAATAATAGCAACGAATTCGAATGTAAAAGCCCTTTTGAGGGCAAAACTTCATTTAGATGAAATTATGCCACAATGGAAGAAAAAGTACATCGCCTTATGGACATTTTTCGAGTAAAAAAGTAACGAATTTGGTTTTATAAATATTACATCACACATTATTTTCGCATTATTCACCATTGGACAACATTTACGTTCACAAATAAATTTAATTTCTTTTATATAAATTCTTTTCAAAGCGAAGATTATTATTCGCTAGGAATATTTTCTCTTCTGGGCCGTAAAGCAACCTATATTTAACTACTTTTTTAAATGATTTTACTCATCCAAGCACCACCAAAGCCAAATTAATTGCATTTTTAACTACGAATTTCGACAACTCAACTTGACAACTGCACAATGTAACCTACAATAATTTATACATAACCACAATTAGATTTATAACTAGCTTAGTTTGTTTTAATCAATGCGACCAACTTGACAACTGTATTTACCAACCAAAACCCTAAATTTGCAACGTTGCCGCAGTTTTTTTTTAAAGTAACGTTTTTGGTTTTACAAATATTAAATCAAACATTATTTTCAGCTAAGCAGATCAAAAATTTTCAAAATTTTAATAAATAAGGGGGAAATAAAAAAAAATAAAAATTAATTTGGTTCCCTATTTACCAACCAAAAAAAATATATATTACAATTGATTGTTTTAAAATCAAGTTGCTATTTAATCCTTTTAAAAAGCAAATTAGTTTTAAATTAATCAATCGAGAGTATTATAAAACCAGTATAAGATCTATAGGGCTTTAAGAGGAAATACATTTTTTTATTTTAATTTAAAGAGTATACATTAAATTATTTGCATAAGAATAAGTGGCCTTTAAATTTTTTAAATTTTAACTATAAAACCAATATGGTTTTATTAAACATATTAAAGCACTTATACACCTTAAATAAATCAAAAGTATATTATAATTGTTACTTGAAAGGAGACCATGTATAATTTTCAGCCAAACCCTTATAAGTACTTAAAACAATTGAAAACATTTAAGTATGTAGGAATCAAAATGTTATATAACCAATTAAAAATCTTAATTATTTATCAATTAATGAAAATATTTCTGATTAGTAAAATATTGACCTTTGTTTTTTATTGATTAATTTTAATTAATTTTATAGGTTTTAATATTCAGAAATTTATATTTTAATACAAAAAAATAAAAATTAAATACCTACCGATTAAAAATTATAACTTTTACATTTGTTAAAAATTAAATTACTAAAAACACCTACAATTGAAAAAAAATTATAAAAGTCGTATTGTAGATATACCTACTAATTTTTCTTTTATTTTCCAATTTGAAAAACAAAACAAAATAATCACTCATTAGTTTTCAAATAAAAACAGTAATTTTTATGTCACTCTTTTATATTAACATTTGAAAACAATACAAATTGTATAACAATACATTTCCTGGTAAAAACCTTGAATGAAAAAAATACCTTTAATTAATAAAATTATTAATTCTAAGACATTAATATAAAAAGAATTTATATTATTTCCGTATTGAATGGATATGTTAAAATGTAAAATAATCACTAAATCATATTTTCTACTCCCAACTTTAAAACGCCCTTTATCGTACATGTTTCCATGATACTAAGTGACCTTTTAAATACACATTGACAAGTTGTGGCTTTATGGCGCTTTAGTCACGGGCTGAAGTTAGCAACAGGTTTTTAGTCACGGGCTGAAGTTGGTTTTAAGTTAGTTGACAGTTGTCAAATGTCATACAATCGTTAAAATAAAGTGCCTTTCTTGTAAAATAATACTAAATGTGAAAATTATTTTATTATCTCAATACAAAAATACAAAAGTATTAAATAGTTTCTCAACGCCAATATTTGAAAAGTTTATATGAACATTGTACTGACCTTTTAATTTCGCCGGCAGTAAACTATAACTTAAATTCGGGCACGGACTCCAATGTAAAGTGCTCATTAAACATTTTCTTTACGTTCACTGTGAAAAACTGTCAATTTTCAAGAAATACATTTCGATTTATAACCTTTATAATCTGTGTTTATAAAATATAAAAATTTGACATTTGAAGGTGTCACACAGATTCCCCTATTGTTTCATAGATGGCGCTCTATACAAATTTTTGATTTAAATCATTTTAAGATAATAATAAGTATTTTTCGTAGAAAAAGTATAGTATGCACCTCGTTTATAAACTTTTCTATAAAATGGCGTTTATCAAACTTGATACATAATATACTATTATCTTATGAAGTGGTTTCATGGTGAAACCACTAGGGACAAAAGGGTGAAAACAAAATTTCTGATATTAAAATTTATTTTTAGGAAACATTCAGTTTTCGAAAATTATGGGCGTTCACCGGCCCAGGTTTTCTAATGTCCATAGCCTATCTGGACCCAGGGAACATTGAAAGCGACCTGCAGTCTGGTACCATAGGAAATTTCAGGTTGCTGTGGGTACTTTTTGGGGCTACAATATTAGGAATGGTTATGCAAACCTTGGCTACAAAATTGGGTGTTGTAACTGGGCTTCATTTAGCTGAAATGTGCTACAGGCAGTACAAAAAGTTTCCCAGGCTGATATTATGGATTATGGTTGAGATTGCTGTCATTGGGTCGGATATGCAGGAAGTCATAGGCACCTCGATTGCTATATATCTTTTGTCGAATAAAGTGTGAGTACTAGGGTGATTCATTTCCGCAAAGTTTTTGTTTTCTTCGGTGCTCAAGCAAAATATTAATCTGCATATAGAAAAAAAAAATTCTCAACAAGTTTGAGCTCTTAATAAAAATTTTAAGTACTTACTATTTAAATTTAAAGTTTTACCGTTTAAAATGCATGTAAAAAATATATATTTTTTTTTCAAATTTCTAATGCTTACCCACCTTTGACAATATTGCAAATCGGTTTAATACACCTTATGGGGAATTTCACGCTCTTTAAAATTGCTTTTGAATTTTTTTTGTAACTCGCATTGGTTCACCAGTAGGAGTCGTCAAAGGACAATTTTTAAAAAAAATCGGTTTTTTTCAAAAACAATAAGAAAATTGTAACGTGGATTTTGCAATTTTTCAACATTTCTGTCATATAGCAAAAAAATATAAATGAAGATTATTTAATTTTTTGAAGCGAAATTTGAAATATGTTACATAACCTTCTGTATATTCCGATTAAAGTTTTGTTGTTTTTTTATGAATTTATGTGTTGTTTTCATATTCATTATGAGTGAGAAATCATAATAATTTTAAAAAAGTTCTTAGTGTAGGGAAATATAATGATAATAAATAGAAAAAATCAATCTAAATAACATTATGGGTTGGTATTTATCAATTTCTTACGTTTTCAGTTATAAGAATGGCAGTAAATTCATTAAATATTGGTTGGATAACTTTTTTTTTATGAATCAGCCCTTTTTTCTCACTACTTTTGGCGATTTTGTCGAAAAAAATAAAAAAAAACGATTTTTTCAAAAACTGTCCTACGACTCCTACTGGTGAACCAATGCGAGTTAAAAAAAACTCAAAAGCAATTTTAAAGAGCGTGAAATTCCCCATAAGGTGTATTAAACCGATATTTTGCTTGAGCACCGAAAAAAAAACAAAAACTTTGCGGAAATGAATCACCCTAGTGAGTACACATATACATTTACAAAGGTTTTTAAATCTCCAAATGATGTTTTTAGTGTTCCTCTATGGGGCGGTGTTCTTATAACCATAGCCGACACATTTACATTCCTATTCCTCGACAAATTCGGCTTAAGAATCCTGGAAATGCTTTTCGCAGTCCTCATAGGCGTTATGGGGATAACGTTTGGTTACGAATATATTGTATCAGGTCCAGACCAAATGGACGTAGTCAAAGGAATTTTCATACCATGGTGCAAAGACTGCGATTCAAGCGTTTTACTGCAAGCTGTTGGTGTTATAGGGGCCGTTATTATGCCCCATAACCTGTACCTCCACTCAGCCCTGGTAAAATCCAGGGATATCGATAGAAAAAATAATAAAAAATTGAACGAAGCTAGAAAATACTATTTTATCGAAAGCTCCATGGCTCTAGTATGCAGTTTCATTATAAATGTTTTTGTTGTATCTGTTTTCGCCAATGGTTTGTTTCAGAAGACCAACAATCAACTGGTAAGTTGTATAACAGTTTTATAAATGTTTTTACCACGTTTTTTTAGCTCAACCAATGCGGTAATAACACAGAAATGTATAAAAAAGCTGTAGAAGTGTTTCCTGTAAGTAAATTATCACAAAATTAAACAAATATTAGAAATATTCCCAAACACCAAGACAAAAAACAAAGTGAGTAAAGTACTTCTTCAGAAAAAACTAACTAAACTGTTCACTTTATTTCTATTCTGATAGATGTATAAACTTTTATAACTATCTAGCAGTCAGTGCATTAAAAACCTAATCTAAAAGTTTAAAAGCGTGAAGTGAACTGCCACCACCCACCTCAACAGCGGCATAAACCTGGAAGAGACCAATTACAAGGGGACAAGGAGCCATATTCAGATAAGTTTTTAATATTTGCGTAAATAAGAATTCACCCAGCCTACGGGTATGTTTATACCCTCCCAAGTGACAAATCCGTAGAAATCAACAAGAAAGAATAAAATAGTTGAACAGGGTTAACGAACCCAAATAGACCAAAGATACCGAGACCTTCTCGACACGGTGGTCAAAACTAAAGTATAGGACGAACAAAAATGCCAACCAAAACTGATAGCATAATCTAATTATAGACTCTTTTGGTAACACAAAAATGTATTTATCAAAATCCCAGCTGATCCTTTATTAAAGTTTTGCATATTTCTTAGTATTTTAAAATTGTTTATGCCATTTCGATAAAATACTCTAGTACCATCATCAAATGTTTTTAAAAATTTGGCAGATACATGACTGAAATATGGATAAATTACATTATAAATACAAAATAATGTAAAATACAGTTTGCAATATCTTATTTATTGTTTTAAGGTATCTAATACAAAACTAATAAATAACTAAAGATTCTTTGAAGCAAAATCGATTACTGCTTGCCTTAAATTTTCAGTAAAACTTTTTCTTGGGTTTTACATGGAATTGTTTTTAACATGGAAACAGTATTTTTAAATTCTTCAGTCTCTGTACAAACATGCTTCTTACATCTAGCGATATCCCCTAGAAAGGAAGAGCATATCAAAACTTTAGTTCGTTCGTCCGTCCTCTTCCCTTAATAATTTTTTATGCCCTTTATATCTTGCCATTTTGCAGATAAAGCACATACATTCTTGGCTGCCGCAAAATTCTCTAGCAATTTCTAAATTTTGAAAATTTGGCAATTGTGGCTATGGAAAAATACCGTTTTTACCATATTGAAGTGGGTCATTTTGAATCACTTAAGTTAAAGTGTTCGTTTGAAAAAGTCTGCAGGAATTTTTATATTTTCTCAGAAACCCTAAACTCTGAATTTTTCGATTACCAAAAACAATTTTGTCTCCACAGCCAGCACATACCTTCTTTCGATTTTCTTCATGGCTTAACTTGAATTTCGGTTTAATTTTCATTTTAACATACTATTTTTAACTTTATAAAGTATACTTTAAATAAACAACTAAAGCAAAATGTCACTTGCGTTATAAAGTATGGCAATTTTTTTCATAACCACCTTAATTATTGTTTTACAAAATTTGCAAGTTGTAATTATTTCATAGACAAACTTCCAGTATTTTTTGTTATAAAAAATGTTTATGATGTAAATCTTCGTTTTTTTGTTGTGTTTTGTTTTGAGTGGTAAATAATAATAGGTGACTCAATAAAATAATACTGGGGAGTAAAGTAATTTAAATGATACAAAGTTTATTATTTTGCTTAATTTTATTAAAATTGTACAGGTAGTTTTAGTACAATAATTGCAAAATAATATATAGAAATAGAAAAACAAAAAAGTTTGCCTGTTGCCCCTCCTTGTCCTACACTCCACTAGCCTAAATCGGGCGTATGGACGGTCAGGCGACAAAATTCCGGGAATGGCCTTTACCATCGAAACTGTTGGGGAATATTTCTGATATTTGTTTAACATATAAATAAAGTTGTCCTTTTTCAAGTAGGTATCACAAAATTATATTAATAAAAATATTTCGTAGATGGATGATGAGTATGTAGACGCCGACATCTACAAAGGCGGCATATTCTTGGGGTGCGCCTATGGCACCCTAGCAATGTACGTATGGGCCATAGGTATCCTAGCTGCGGGTCAAAGTTCAACCATGACAGGGACGTACTCAGGACAATTCGCCATGGAAGGTTTTTTAAACTTAAAGTGGGACAAATGGAAGAGAGTGCTTTTTACTAGAAGCATAGCTATGATCCCCACATTTTTTACAGCTTTCTTTAGCTCTTTGAACGATTTGACCACGATGAACGATTATTTGAACGCTGTTATGAGTCTGCAGCTGCCGTTTGCTGTGATACCGTGCATTGCTTTTACCAGTAACCCGAAAATTATGGGAGAGTTTGTGAATGGAATGTAAGTTTAGAAAAAAGGTTTAACCATTTGACAGATATTTACTTATTGGAGTCGATAAAGCATATTATTACACTTCAAGACCCAATAATTTCATTTTGTAAAAACAGTAATAACAGTAATAACTCACAGGCAAAATAATCGATCCACACAAATTTTCGATGAATTTCAATCGCAAATAACTTTTTTATTTAAATTCGGATTTAAACGAATATTAAAGAATATTGTAGATAAATTAATGGACATTCGCTCACATTTAAAAAAATTACTAAATAATAGACGTACGTTTATAATATACAGGTTTAAACAAAAATATCCTTTTTACCATAAGTTTAAGACACTCTGTAGAGTGGCAAAACCGTATATTGTTCTAAATTAAGTTTTATTTATCAAGTCACATCTATTATTAACAGTTTTGTTTTTGGTTTACCTCGATATATTTATTTTTGTGGAAAATATGGATTTTTTAAAAAAACATTGCAATTTCCAATATTTTTCTGTATGAAGAACTAAGGTTGCTATGGTCCATCCATAGGCTATGGAGAATGACAGTGACAGTTTTGTTGAATCATCCCATACTTGGACATGTCATACAGCTTTCAAAAGCTATCAAATTGTTTTTTGCAAATTAATGTTTAAATTTTGAGGTGTCTTCTTACTTTATAAAATGGATATGTCTCCGACTGATGTTGCCAGAGCCATTAATTCAATCCAGGATGGACGGTCACAGTATTACGTGGCAAGTGTTTTAAACGTCGCAAGAAGTAAAGTACAAAGGGCAACATCAGTCGGAGACATTTTTAAAAGTAAGAAGACACCTCAAAATTAACACATTAATTTACAAAAAACAATTTGATAGGTTTTGAAAGCTGTATGACATGTCCAAGTATGGGATGATTCAACAAAACTGTCACTGTCATCCTCCGTAGACTAAGGATGGACCATAGCAATCTTAGTTCTTCATAAAGGAAAAATATTGGAAATTGCAATGTTTTTTAAAAAAAATCCATATTTTCCACAAAAATAAATATATCGAGGTGAACCAAAAACAAAAATGTTAAGAATAGATGTGACTTAATAAATAAAACTTAATTTAGAACAATATACGGTTTTGCCACTCTACAAAGTGTCTTAAACTTATGGCAAAAAACATATTATTGTTTAAACCTGTATATTATAAACATACGTCTATTTTTTAGTAATTTTTTAAAATGTGAGCGATTGTCCATTAATTTATCTACAATATTCTTTAATATTCGTTTAAATCCGACATCAAATAAAAAGTTATTTGCGATTGAAATTCATCGAAAATTTGTGTGGATCGATTATTTTGCCTGTGAGTGTATTTTTTTCTTCTTTTAGGTTGACTAAAGTAGTCTCAGTGATCCTGAGCATCGTCGTGATAGGAATAAACATATTTTTTGTTGTGGAAAAACTGTCTGCCAACCAATTTGACACAGGCCTACTTTTCCTTATTTTCTTGGTTGCTTTAATGTACATCTTATTCGTCGTATATCTGGGAATACATTTGTATATTTCTTTTGGAGATAAACAAATTGAAAGCCATCCCATGATTCAGATGATGGTGGTCCCACCCGAGATGAATGTCCCGAAAAATAAAATTTAGGATTTACTTTGTAATTTATTATTTTTTTGTTTATTTTTATACGTTTTTGTATAAAGTGATTTAATTTTTATTCTGGTGTTTTATTTATTTTTATCAGTACCTACATGTGTTTGTATTGTGGTTAACCACTGAATATTTATTTAAAATATATTTAACAATTGTGGTTTGTGTTTTACTATGTTTGCCATTAATTAAAGAAAGATTAGAACGTTACCTATTTTAATTAATTAATTTATTGAAATATTTTTTCAAATTTAAATTTTAAGTATATACAGGGTGCAGGAGTGATAATAAGTTTTTTCCCGGAAATTTGAAACGCCCTGTGGGTTGTACCAGCTTTAACAGCATATGAATCATATAATTAAACTATAGCTCCATATTTTCTTAACATTTTGTTTTTTGATTCACATCGCTATCTATTTTTTAAATGGGATATACGGTTAAAGACTAAATATCTCCAGTTTAATGTAAAATGAAAGAACTTAAATAGGTAGGTCATGGAAAATAAATAATGGTGTGCAAATGTCATTTTCATTTAAGTTTTCTGCATAAAGTTATTGTAATGGAGCGCCAAGTGAGAAATTTGAATCGTGATGAATGTAAGAATTATTACATTGGCCGAGCAAGGATTAAGCTACCGTGCCATAGCTCGGAGATTGGGAGTTAATTATACCTCAGTATCCCGTGTTATTCGACGTTTTGAAGAAACCAACGATCATAACAGCCGTGATGGGCAGGGAAGGCATCGAATGACAACAGCCGTACATGATTTTCCTTTATTTGCATGCTTTGAGAGAACGATTTGTAACAGCAAGAAATCTACAGGTACAACTTAATGCTATTCATAATTTTCAAACAAGTGTGTCCACCGTAAGAAGACGTCTTGCGTAACAGAATTTGACCTTCGGAATTCCAGCAACAGGACCGAAGTTAAATGCAAATCATCGTAGAGCAAGCCTGCAATTCGCCAGACAACATATTGGCTGGAATATTGAGGATTGGCAGCGTGTACTATTTACAGACGAGTCCAGGTTTTGTTTATTCAGCTCTGATCGGACGTCCAAATGAGCGATTTTCACTGTGCAACATTGGTGAAACCACGCTATTTAATGGAGGTTCTGTAATGGTTTGGGGAGGAATTTCCTTGACAGCTCGCACAGAACTCGTCATTGCTCGTGGAGGTACCATGAATAGTGTACGATATATCGAGGACATTTTATCTGAGCATCTTGTCCCTTTCGCCCCGTACATCGGCAATAGTTTTTTACTGATGCAGGATAACGCAAGACCTCACACCGCTCATATAGTGCAAGAGTACTTACATGAGGTGGGTGTTGAAACTTTAGACTGGCCTGCAAATAGTGCGGATCTCAACCCCATTGAGCATTTTTGGGATAATATGGGTAGACGACTAAGAAATCATGATCCCTTGCCTGCCTCCCTTGATGACGTAGCAAATATGCTACGAGAAATATGGAATGTCATTGATCAAGGCGAGATTAGACATCTGGTTTCGAGTATGAGCCGTCGATGTGAAGCCGTAATTAGAAGTAGAGGCGGAAATACGCGATATTAATATTCTTTAATGTTGGTTTGGTGAATTAAAAACAAAATGTTAAGAGAAGATGGCTATAGTTTGATTACACTATGTAACATGATATTTGTTTATCTGGATTTTATTACACAAATCGTATTAGGCCATGCCCCGATTACGTAACATACATTTGTTTTTTCAAACTGTCAAATTTTCAACGACAGCCGTCAGATCGTGTTGATGGCTTTGAGTGTCATTAGGGGACATCCATTAATTACGTGAGGCATTTTTCTGATAATTTAGACCCCTCCCTCCTCCTTGGTGAGATTTGGTGAGATGTGGTAGACCCCCCACTATCCCTCACGTAAGATTTTGGCCATTAAACTTTCTTTGTGGACAACATGTAAAAAAAATTAATATTTTTTTTTAACAAAAATTGGATTATAATACATATTTTTTAAACTCAAAAGTTAACGTGAGATTTAAAATGAAAGGTTTCCTTGGTAACCACAAAAGAGAAAATTATACTGACCTTGTCAAAGTTTTATTAGGAAGTTTTAAAGAAATGGGATGCCGCATGTCGTTTGTAAGTACCTACACTATTTGCATTCGCATCTTGACTTTTTTCGTGAAAATCTGGGAGATGTCAGCAAAGAACATGGAGAAAGATTCCATCAAGATATTCGGGCAATGGAAAAGTGATAACAAGGAAGGTGGGATGCGACAATGATGGGTGACTATGTTTGAAATCTACTTCGGGAAGAAAATGCATCATATAAAAGAAAAAGTCGTATTAAAATTCATTTTTGAGCCAAGATTTAAAATCTATGTTAAGAAAATATTTTTCTAGATTGTATATTTTGTTAAAATAATAATTCTGAGTTGAATTTCTTGCCATTTCTTGTCAATATTTTTTTTTGTTTTTGATAAAACTGCGTTTGATTATATTATATAAATACCCCTTAAAAAATAAAAACTTATCACTACATTTTTTAAATTAAGTTAGAATAGGTGTTTGGCACACAAATATTGATAATTTAACAAAAAAAATCCAATAAACAAAACAAAAATCAAATTTTGTTACATACTCTCTTAAAATGAATTAGTCAAAAATGACTAATTTAATAGTTGTTAGTGACTTGTACAATGGTTAACCATGGAATACCACGGTATCCCAAAATTTAACATCCAGTACTTATGTAAAATTTTCCCCTGAATCCGAAAATACCGTCAAAAATGATAAAAGTAAAGCAGTTTTTGAGATATAGTCAATTCCATATTAAATGGAAAATTGACTATATCTCAAAAACTGTTCTACTTTTTTAACTTTTGACGACAGTTTCGAATTCAGGGGACAATTTTACATAAGATTTGGCTGTTAAATTTTGGGATACCATGGTATAACATGGTTAGCAATGGTACAAGTGAAAAAGCAGCCACTTATAACTATTAAATTAGTCATTTTTGACTAATTCATTTTTAGAGAGTAGTGTTATAAGAGACATATGCTGTTATAGCTGGTACAACCCACAGGGCGTTCCAAATTTACAGGAAAAAAGTTATTATTACTCTTGCACCCTGTATATACTCAAAACGTAAATTTAAAAAAATATTTTAATAAAGGCATCATAACCAAAGAATAAACCTACCAAATTCGGTTTGACGGTTCGTGAGATAATGCTATCGCACGCCATCTGTTATTCTTTAGCGTATTATTTACTTAAAAAAATTTATTGATATTATTATTTATTTGACAGAAAAAGTAAATTTTTGTTTTTTTTACCATCAACAAAAATTTACCATAATCAGCAGATAAAAATGTTTAGATGACTTTGTTGTGGGGTGCTCAGGTTTGAAGCTTGAACTTGTGGCAGGTTTAAGTTTCAAAGTGAGAGAATCGATTTGAATTTGGTGTCGGCAGTGTAAAGAGTCGTCCTTTATACCCGACCCGTCCCAACTTCCGGTAACTCGATTTAAGATCTGACAAAATAAATTTACTTGTTGGAGAAACAACAATTAGAGAAACCGACTTGGCCCTTACTTTAATAAATTAAGGGACTTTGAAACAAACATAGTGGATGTTTTACCTGTCCCACTATTAGTTATTTCTTACACGTATGCCACTCAGTATTTGTTTTTTACCTTAAAATTAAGATTAAGACCATTTAATATCGGTCCCTATATAATACTACAAGTTTTGTGTTACAACAATACCAAATATTAAGTCAAATCATTAGATGACGCTGTATACAATTATACAATTATAACTATCTTAGTCGGTAATAATATAGAACTACTTTACTTTGGGTCCAATATGGGACAAAAAAGTTCGCACGTTACTTTGGTGGTAAGATATTTGTTTTTTGTTAAGAGCAGGGCTGTGTTTAAATTACAATAACAAATATTTCTAAAAAGTGTTCAGATCAGTGTGTGGAACAATTGTGTTCCTCATGGTTTAAACATTTTCACTTTAATGCGTTTTAATTTTAATTCTGAAAGCAAACAGTAAAATAGCCAGTGTCCAATTACTGGTTGGTAAAAAATGTAAATTTTTACTATTAGACATATGTCCAATATCATACTCTATTTATATCCAGGGCATTTACCAGCCAATTCTTATGTAAAATTGTCCATTGAATCAGAAAATACCGTCAAAAACTATAAAAGTTAAGCAAAAACTGTTTTACTTTTATAACTTTTGACATTTTCATAGGAATTGACTGCTAAATGTCCTGGATACAAATTGCTGTTGACGAGAATTATTAGTGGCTGCTTTTTCGCTATGACATTTTTGACTCATTCATTTTTAGAGAGTAGGTAATATAGTGATTTCTTCGTCACAGGACATCTTGCAGAATAACAGTGATTTAAATACAGTGCATGATAGAGAACATAAAAAACTAATGGCAAGAAAATTAATAAATTCGGAAAATACTTTTAACATGCCACCCGAAAATATATTAGGTATATATAAATCATCCTGTTCAGGTCTAAACATTATAAATGCTTCACAAACCACACTTAATGATATTTGCAACAAACTATTTATGAATTATATGATATTTACAAAAACGAAATAAAAAAAATTACCTAAAACAGAAATTTATCTTTAAAAAATATTTAACAATTTATGTTATTGGATGTAAAGTTGTTATGTTTATATAAAAATTTGTCCAATAACTATGGTCCATGTGTCCAATTACTATATAAAATGTCCATATTACCTTTACAAAACCACAAAAAAATATTTTCTTTTGTTAAAATAATTACAAAAATCTGATTTTTATAACAGTGTGTAATCCAGAGTTGTCTGAGGAGCGACGTCTAGTTTAAAGTAAAAAATATGTGCCCATGTGGCAAATAATTTTAAAGAACACTGCACTGCACTGCGTCAAATGAAACAGTTACATCCACGACGACTTTTTTCCACTTTTGCCCTCTGCTGCCCTTTTATTTGTACGAACGTGGCCCCATCAAAATCTAATTTCGTATGAGAAGGGTCCAATTTATGATTTTATTGCGATTGTATTAA